GTTGTGATTTGGCGCTACATAAATAAAATTGAATTGAATTGAATTGAATTAAACATATATCTGGTTCTACAGCTGTTTCTAAGGTTCCTGAGTTTAGAGATAAGTCGGTGCCAGTTGAGGGCAGGTCTTGGTGAATTCTGTTTCTAATAGTTAGAATTTTATCATTAAAGGAGCTCATGAAGTCGTAACTACTGAGAGCTATAAGTGTGCTGTCTGCTTGCATACCAATTTAACTGTCTGCTGTGTGCGCTCAGTGCATCGCGGTTAAACACACTGCTTCCTTGATTGTTTTGGAGCGAACCGTTTGCCGTGCTGGCTGTCTCGCTCTTGCCTGTGGGCTGACTATGTGTGTGCACTGTGGAACCGTGGAGGTATGTACGCATTTCTCTCGTACTGCAGGCCATTTAATTGAATATATACCATGCTAAACATTAATGGTGCTAAATTCCCCCTCCCTCCAGTGATCTGCTGCACTGCTGCCTCGGCGGGAGGTTGAACGGCGGCTTGGTCCGTCCCTGTGGGATTGCCCTCTGCCTGGTTGGCCCATTTCCGGCTCTGTCTTGGCTCTAAGCAGGCTTGCCGGTTTTAGTATTTCTTTGTTATTGGGTCTAAATATATTACATTTAGTTCATACAGTTGGCATTTTGTTTTGGGTCTGTGTGTTATTTTCAATCGTCTGTTTTCAGTTTGTTTGGTCTGAGTTATTTGATTTGCATGTTTTTATTCATTTTGGTGTGTTTTGATTTATCCATTTTGCCACTGTGTATTTTATATAGTATATTGTACTTTAAATTATTGTAAATGTAAATGTAAATGTAAATGCTCCGTACTTGTATAGCGCCTTTCTAGTCTTTTCGACCACTCAAAGCGCTTTTACACTACATCTGCATTCACCATTCACACACATTCATACACTGAGCCTAAGTGCTCAAACGGAAACTAACATTCACACTCACTCATACACTGGCGGAACAGCCGCCAGGGGCAAATCAGGGTTCAGTATCTTGCCCAAGGACACTTCGACACGCAACCAGGGGGAGCCAGGGATCGATTAACGGCCAACCCGCTCTACCTCCTGAGCCACAGCCGCCCCAATAAATTATTACACCCATACTTCTATTTATTCAGTAATGGCATGCCTTTTAATTAAATTGGATACATAGTATTTGTTATTTTAGTCAAATTAATTTAGGTCTGTTTGTCTTCAATTAGTATTTTGTTAATCAATAAAATAATTTGTTTAAATGTGAAACACTCTCTCTGCCCTGGCCTTATTTCAGGTGTCCCTGTGTGACATATTTTTTAATAATATTTCCTGGGGTGAAATTCCCCAGGTGGCGTTGTTGGCAATTTAAATACAGAATCACACCCATGTCTTGTTACACAAGAATTCCAATATCCATGTGAGTCATAGGCTTTCTTGTAGTTAATACAGGTGGTGCACAGATTGGTATGCCTGCTCTTGCAGTCTCAAGTGACTGCTCTATCAACCAGTAGCTGGTGCTTTGCTCCCCTGGTATTACTACCCATCCTCTTCTGAGCCCTGTCCATGTATTGAGCCATGTGCCTACTCATCTTAGCCGCTATGATGCCTGACAGGAGATTCCATGTTGTGCAGAGGCAGGTTAGTGGCCGGTAGTTGGATGGGATTGTTCCCTTCTGGGGACCCTTCATGATCAGGACTGTCCGTTAACCATTCTGGGTGGGTCCCATCCATCAGCAGTTGGTTCATTTGTGCTGCCAGGCGTTCATGGAGCGCAGTTAGTTTCTTCAGCCAGTAGGTGTGGATCATGTCAGGGCTTGGTGCTGTCCAGCTAATGGTTACTGGATCTGGTTCAGGGAGATTGCTGTGATCTGTTCTTAGATTCACTAGCCACTGAGCATTGGTGTTGTGGGATGCCTCTTTATCCCATATGTTCTTCCTGTACTGTTCAGTCTCAGCCCTGGGTGGATCTGATCTTGTGTTATTACCCTGCCACTGAGAGTACACTTTGGATGGTTTGATGGAAAACATCCGATTTATTCTCCAGGCTTCTGCTTCTCCATTGTATCTCTTTAGGCGGGTAGCCAGAGCGGTAAGTCTTTGTTTGGCAGTCTCCAGAGCCTCTGGTATCGACAGCTTTCCTTGCACCTTTCTGTAGCTCTGAGAGCTGACTAACCTCTCTCCGTGTTGCCTTGATCTTGGCCTCTAGCCTTCTCCTCCATGGGGGGAATGCTCTTTGTGGCTTGTGGTGTGTTGTGCATCTTATAGCCAAGCATCTCTAGGATCGCTGTGGCGTACATCAGCTCATTGGTTTCGGTTATGGCTTTAGTATAGTATATAGTGCTGCATTCACATCTTCTAGCAGACTTTCCAGAGGGTACCTTGTCACTTGGGGGTCCAGCTTCAATGGTAGGTCAGTCGTACTTATGTTGAGTGATTCTGTGCCGTAAGGGCTTGTTGTTATTGGGGCTTGGGACCCAATCTCTGACTGTGGGGATGATGATGACATCTCCCCGCTGACCTGTCGTCCTGGCTCCCCCTTGCCGTAGCATATTTGTTGTACTTTGTCAATACCTAGTTGTGATAGCAGTTGCCGTTTGCGGATGTTAAAACACTTAGCTAGGAGTTGCTTCTTTGTCAGTGTTGATGATGGGTTTTGAAGCATCCATATATCCCACAGTCTCTGCATATAACCTCTCTCAACGGGATTGCTTATATAGTAGCTTTGCATCAGATCCATATTTTCTGCTCTAGTCCTTGAATGTCTTGTTCCAGTAGCCCATTTGTCATCAGGTTGCCCTGGTTCCCTAACACCTGACGCCTCCCTTGTTGACTCGGGCGACGTCCGAGCCAGTATGGCTCTTGTATTTGCGGTTTCACTCATGCCTGAGGTAAGCTGGTAGCATTAAGGACAGAAAGAAAGTGTTCTTGTGGCATGAGGCAGATGGACATGAGGGGATTGTCTGAAACAGTTTGTGTCCGTTTGTGTCTAAGGTAGGAGGCCACAGCCACACAATCTTTTTTGCTCACCCCTGAGTCCTGGAGGCGCACAGGTCCTTAATTGATGGAAGATTGCAGCCAATCACCTTCTCAGTAGAGCGAATGAGCTGGCGGTGGCAGCAGCTCCCTTGTCCCTGGCGGTGGCAGCAGCTTACCAGATGGCGATGGAGGAGGTGAGGATGGACTCAGTGATGGCAGTGGAAAAGTGCACCATCATTGACTTTGGCAAGCTGAACTTCTTCAGCTACCTCTGCTGGACTGTTTTTGGTGATGGAGGTGGTATTCACCTCCCACTTGAGGTCCTGGGAAATGATGCTGCCCAGGAAGTGGAAGGACTTCAGTGTTGAGTTTTGTTGTATTGAAACGTTTCCATTCAAACTATAAATTACTATTTGTGTGATTTTGCGGGCTACTGTCTCCAGAGCGTTGAACTCCAGATTGTTCTGGCTGCAGTAGCTCACCAGATGTAAATGTAAATGCTCCGCACTTGTATAGCGCCTTTCTAGTCTTTTCGACCACTCAAAGCGCTTTTACAGTACATCTGCATTCACCAGTCATACACATTCATACACTGAGCCTAAGTGCTCAAATGGAAACTAACATTCACACTCATTCATACACTGGCGGAACAGCCACCAGGGGCAAATCGGGGTTCAGTATCTTGCCCAAGGACACTTCAACACGCAACCAGGGGGAGCCAGGGATTTGAACCCCGACCTTCCGATTAACGGCCCACCCGCTCTACCTCCTGGGCCACAGCCGCCCCAGATGGTCAATCTCCCACCTGTAGGCCGACTCATCCCCACCAGAGATGAGCCCAATGAGGGTGGTGTCATCCGCAAACTTCAGGAACTTCATGGACTGGTGACTGAAGGTGCAGCTGTTGGTATACAGGGAGTCCAACAGGAACAGAGGGATCCACCTGAAAGTGGTGTAAGACAAGCTCAGTTGGGAGAGCTTGCCCTGCAAAAGATTGTATTGATTTTCATGGTCTGATTTTCTGACTTGTTCTGTTTGTGTATGTAGCTGATATCCTAATTTTTATCAAGAGTGTGGAGGAACATGTTCTCCATGTTAGGCAGGTTCTCCAGAGATTGTTAGACAACAAACTGTCAAAGCCAAGAAGTGTGAATTTAATGTTAACTGTGTTTCTTTTCTGGCTTATATGTCAGAGCAGGCAGGTGAAGGCAAACCTGGAAAGAGATACAATGCTGTGATGGAATAGCCAAGACCTACCTCCCTTAAACAGCTACAAATGTTCCTCAGCTTTGCCAATTTTTATGACAGGTTCATCAGGGACTATGTAGAGCTGCTTGCCGTGAAAGTTTTGGACTGCTGCAAACCTGCATTTCTTGCGCTTGAACAGACTTGAACTGACTCGACTTGAACAGACTTCTGTTTCTTGTTAAAAAGGGTGTTGCAGGGTGTTACTCGTAGGGATCCTTGTGTTAGACACCTGGTGTAATCTGAGCCTGTTGGTGGCAAAAAGATCTACTGCACGGATTCCAAAACTTTATGTACCTACTAGTCATTTTGACACCGAAATATGTAAAAAGAAATATGGTCCAGGTTTAAAAATACTGAAATAACCCGTTAAGTGCAGAAATATGTAAGCATATAGAAGGATCCCTTTTATCTGGGTGATTTTAACAGTATATGGAACCCGCTCTTAGACAGCTCCTCTCCCCTCAGATAGAAAGAAACAGCAGCAATGAGTGAACTACACCTTAAGCAATGGCTAGCATCTAGTTACTAGTTAGTATTACAGTTGTAGTCGTTTTAGTACATTTCTCAGATCAGAATTGAAATTCTCAAAACTACATGTTCAACCCTCACATCATGTCGTCACTTGTGCACATCGTAAAAGCAATTTCTCATTATTTAGAAGAAATAATAGCAATTGTAAGTTGCTTTGGACAAAAGCGTCAGCTAATGAGTAAATGTAAATATTCCAGTCTTCTATTGAGTTTATACTTCCGTGCAATCTGTTGGCAAATAAAAAGGCAGACAATCTGTCTTGTATGTATGAACAGTACCATATTTATTCAAAAGACAGTTTGGATGTACAGCAATAATAATAAGATAAGAATCAGGAAGGGAATTCAAGGAGAAAGCCTTTCAAATGAAGGTGAAGAGAAGAAACTTTCCAGTGCTTGGTTTTCCATGTGTAAACTGTAGTAACAACATGTTATTGGCATCTGTGGTGACAATAAACTCTGGATGAGGGTCACAAGTCAAGCGTGTGTCTCGTCCTCGTGCTCACAGCTCAGACTTCAGGAGCTTCTTAGCCGTCTGCATGTTGGTTTTCACTGGGGGACAGGCAGGAAACATTTACATTTCATTAGTCTGTTCCACGGACCAACACACTGCTGACAGAGCATAGATTTGGGGAAACCTCACAGTGTGTTAACTGCAGTACTTACAGAGTTTGATGTCACTTGGTTCATAGGCATACATGCGGTTGGCATAGCGACCTGTGATATCGGCCCTCACGGTCATTGTGGGGTCTGTAGAGACATTATTGGTAATGTGTGAGTAAAAGACTCAGGTGCCACCTTAGAGCAGACAGGAGTTGTGCATGTTGACAAACTTAAATTGTAAGCATCTTCTTCGCACCAGTGTCAACCAATCAGCTTCCCTATAAATGGTGTGTTCAAGTGTTTCTGGATATTTTAAGTAGCCAAATATTTCCAGTTGTATATGTTTACATTTTTATTTTTAAAGCTGCAAAGACATTAATTTTAAAATTCCATTCGTCACTATTTGTGGGCCAAGAGGTATTTTTTAAATAATGATAAAATGTATGTTTTGAAAGAAGAAATAACACAATTGTCCTCTTAAAATGTTAATTTAACGTCTTTTCTTGTTGCTACTTATAGCTATTGTAGCAATTATAAGTACCTATTGCTAAAGGTTTTATATTTCAATCCTTGTTTTAGATACATTTAGATACAATTAGTTATTTTATGAAGCCATGTACATATAATATATATGTATGATTGGCCAAATATTTGCTTTGCTAAATAAGTACCCTTACTTAAGTATTTTCATGCTACTTCTAATCCATTGCAATTCAGAGGGAAACATTTTTACTGCACTACATATATGATTATCATCATACAAAATATGTGATGATGATAAACATACCCAACAGTACAGTTAAAATTACTTCCACTTTGACCAGCTACAAAAGGAAATGTCACTTACACATAGTATAGTAGTAGTATAACACTCACAAAGGTGCAGTGTTTTTCTGTGCTGTATGTACGTTTTCTTTTGATACTTTAAGTACATTTTGCTAATAATACTTGTACTTTTTTTTTCTTTTTTTTTTTTTTTTTTACAAAGCAGGACTTTTACTTGTAATGTAGTAACTTAATACTGCAGTATTACTATCTTGATTTAAGTAACTGGTCTGAATACTCAATCCTCTGCTGGATGCTATAATTGTCTAAAGCATCTCACAACCAACATCATAGGTTTATTGAATGTCATACTCTATTAGCACACCATAAAATACTTTACAGTTAAGATATCATTTTGTTGATCCCCAGGAGGAAAATAAAATAGTAGCAGTAGTGTAGACACAGTTGATACATTATCTCTGGTATGAACGTGAACACATAGCGGAACTCATAATGTCGTTAAAAAGGTCAACGGTCAAAATGTCATCCACGCTCACATTTGCGACTGAGAGGCACTGTGTGAAAACTGAAACTTTCACCCTCGAACAAAACAAAGTAGGCCTTTTATTTGCATAAAACAAACAGGAAACTGTTTACAGGAAAAGTTGTGTTACAAGCAATAGCTCTTACCGACAAAAATGATTCTGGGAACATACTGTCCGTCAGGAGAGAGATGTTTGTCTGTTGTTTCATACTGCAGGTGAGAAAGAAGACTTTATCATCAAACATATCAAATTCTGAACCGTAACATCATAGAGCACGGGTGTTTTTAAAGGCCCTACAAGCCTATTCTCCAGGATGTCGCCATACATTTAGGCACACTAATCACAGTTTAGCAACATCTGAATGACAATGTGAATGTGACAGTTGGAGGGTGTTTGCTTATGATGACTTTTTTTTTTCAAAACTTTAACTAAAATTGTTACTTGTCTAGTCATGAATATTTAATATTATAGACAGATTTGCAGAGGATTTAATGCTGAACAGTAAAATGAATGGATAACAGATTACAGATTCAGCTGTACACAGCTTTAAAACACTTTTACCAAGGTAGTCAGATCTGAAAAGTCCCATAACTCACCACTAGATTGAGGACGATGAAGTCCTCATCGAGAACTTTCTGGATTTCATTGTCATCAGCCAAAACCTTCTTCAGTGCTGTGGGAGAAAATTTTTTTAAATTCACACAGTCCAGCGTTTACGGCACACGAGTCTGGCACAGAACTGCACCAGGATGTGTGACGTCACACATGAGCAAACAAATGACTGCTTACTCTTCAAACAGGCTGGGCTCTTAATTCAACAGAACATGAGTAACTTAATAACTCAAACAGTAGAAGCAAGTTTTTTTTTCCAGGAGTTAGACTCACCCTGGCTGTGTGGGCAGTTCTCAAGGTGAAAGATGACCATCAGAGGCTTGTTTCTAAAACACAAATCAGCTTCACTCAGGCCAACATGTAATCATTAAGTTCAGTCAACGTCAGAATTAAAGCAACATTTTGATGTCAGCATTAGAACAACTTCTTACTTTGACCTGGACCAGTAGAGAGCCTCCTCATAAGTCTGAGCCCAGATCAGCTGATCACCCCAACCTGGACAGACATGGGCACCATTAAAGATCAATGACAGTCTGCTTCAGTATTTATCACACTATACTACAGTCTCAGTCATGCGGATGATGCTCACAGACCTCTGGACAGAGTCTGAGGGATCCTCTTGCCAGTCTTCGGGATGTATTTCCCAAAGGTGGAGGACACGGCCACCAGGACCAAGAGAGCTGACAACACTGCTTTGATCATCTTTAGAGGTTTACTGGAACATCAGGGGCAGACAAAGGCAGGAGTAAAGTAATGACCAAGCTTTACCTTGTAGAAATGTTCAGATTGCGTGTTCAAAGAAGGAGCAGTGTCACATTTACATCACATTTCCCCTCCCTTTGAGAAGGAAACGCTCTGATCTACGTCCTCTAGTGGTTCAGAGCACAGAAGAACCTGCTGGGCATATTTTGAGTTTATTTTGTTGACATGTTCACTGACAGACAGGAAACAAGCGACACGCGCCACAGGAATCTAACAGTGGACGTTACAGTTATTTGGTATGCACTACATCCATTTGCATTTTGGGACACCAGGAACTGCATTTATGCCAACAAGTTATTTCTATGTTGCTCAAAGTTATTTGAAAATTATAGTATAGTTAGACTTTCTGGTTATATACAGGAAAGGAACAAAAAAGAAAGGAGATCATTGGCTGTAAAGATTGACTCTAATCAGTGCAATGTAACCTGAGAGATATTTTTAAAATACAATGTGAATATGAAGAACCACCAGAGGGTGACTAAACTAAATTATAGAAAAACTTCATGCTTCACCATTCCCATTTTGTTTCATATTTCAGCTAAATGATTATTAGTCTGCCCATCTTTGTTTCTTGCAAATGAAAACTACACATAACTTTAAATCATCAAATGTTGCTTCTACTATCCTGAATCGAATCAACTGAGTAATTGAGTACTTTTTCCAGCCCTGACACTGAAAGACTGTAGACTTCTGTAGTTATCATGTGCTGATTGAAATAAAAGTCAAATATCTAAACAATGATTTCCCTGCAGTTGAAATGTCTGTGGTGACAGGCCCAGTATCTTACCTGTTTCCGACTTGGTCAGGTGAGGATGTAGGTGGACCGCAGCTCCGGGATCTGCTGTACCTCCACTCTCACCTTTCCCTATTTAAACACCTGTCCCGCCGCGGGCACGCCCCTTCCCTTCCCCCACGGTGACTCAAACTTCTTCAACGTATTTGTGTGCAAACCAAACTCCCATGTGAAAACTGCTAATTTGTTGTTTCCGTGTGTGTATTGCCAGGCACCGTGTTGTAAGATCCCGAGTGTAACATTTAACGTCATGATAGAATGAACCCCTAAAATCGGCATTGTCATAACTTTTAATTTTGTTCAGCCTCTTATTTAGTTAATCGATCACATGTAGACCTATCATAAATTAAGATATTTATTTTTCTAAAATGTTGCTTTGGTGTGTTATTTATATAATGAATGTATCAGCAGACTGTAATGTGTTAAAACTACTATTAGGCTACATGTAGCCAAGTCTACCATTCACGTGTTTGCCAGTAAGCAGCATTTTTTCTCAGTCTGCATGAATGAATGCGGGCTGCAAGAGACCAAGTTTCACATCCGTTTGTTTGCATGCCCATTACTGAGATTCAAATCTATTCTGTTAATAGTTTTATGCCGTTTGGACGCCGTGACAGATAAAGAATAATCAGTTTTACTCTACGTAGCCTACACGGGGTTATGGTGAGACGGGGTGTTTGGCTTGCATCCAAGGACCAGTCAGCATTTAATTAAGGAACGCGATCGGGGGCTGGGTGATGATGATTGGTCTTTATGTGATTGGCTCAAGACACAAAGGTGCAGCTGAGTCTTTACAAAGTCAACGTACTGATTCAGTCATGAAGACGAACAATGACTGATGTCTGCCAGGTTTCATAAGCGCAGCCGTGAACAGACACATCAAGGAAATGTTACATTATAGGCTAAGACTGGTTTCAAATTGAGTAGGCTATAATTAAATAAAAACATCTTAATTTGCGCACTTTCTGCACGTCAACGGACGTGAAGGAACTAAAACGTGAAGGTGCTGTGCGGATTCTGCCCGAGCTTTATCCTGAAGCATCAGCAGTGTCCTGTGTCCTGCAGCAGGGAGCTCGGTGCGACCTGGCTGCTATCAATGGCAGCTTTGTTCAGTCTCAGCCCGGCCTGGGCCTCCTGACAGCCGATCTGCCCCTCTTTACTGCAAACCTGTAGCTGCGGCTTAAAGCTGCAGCCTTTCCTCAGCATTGTCTTTCTTCTGTTTGATTCTGTTTATCTGTGCTGCACCTTGAACAAAGTTAATGTTTTACACCATATAAAATACTGAAACACAAGGAGCAGATTAGACATGTTTTGACTTAGCCTATGTTGTCATTTTTATTTTTTCAATGTAAGCTGTATATTTTCTGGTGACATACAATACATGAGCCCCATTTGTGGTTTAATGAGTATTTAATAAATCCTGTTTTTATGAGGTGTTAATTAGAACATACACTGGCACACTGGGGTAATCCTCCTCCAGAAGGACATTTGCTTTGTCTGTTTAGCTCTTCAGTGCATCAGGAACAACGCTCTACTGGACTCGTTTGACCTCTGACCCTCTGGAAAAGGCTGCAGAGCATTTGGATAAAAACCTTTTATCAATCATATTCAAACAACGATGAGACTTCATATGGAGGACATAGATAATTTTGCAGAGTGCCAGCAGTCCTTCTTATGGAGACTTAAGAAGACGACCTTCCCGTGCCAAGTTCTTGTTGATTTTCTCTGGGAAGAGAAAAATATCTTCAGCTGCAATAAACACTAAAAAGGTGGATGTAGTGTTAACTTACTCTTTAAATCAGAATATAATAATCAGTGATCATTAGCACCCAACAACAACGTTATTAATTCCAAAGGTATTAACAAATATTGTAAGAAAGGTAATCGAGACATGTTTCATTGGTGTGAGAGTTTAGTTTATTATTAGAAAGTTTATTTCATCTGTAACACCAAACATATGGAAACAAGGTTTCCAACAAGACTGATGAGCAACTGGCACCTTGCTTGCCAGCCTCTGCCATCAGTATGTGTATGTGTGAATGTGAGTGTAGTGCTTGGAGTGGTCAGAAGACTAGAAAGGTGCTATCCAAGTATAATCCATTTACATTTACATGATGAAAGTTTCAGCTTGTGAAAAAGGTGAAAATGAAAAGGGCCCATAGTGCCAATATTTTGTGTGGTCACTATTATTTTCCAGCACTGCCTTAACCCTCTTGTTCACCAGAGCTTCACAGGTTGCCGCTGGAGTCATCTTCTACTCCTCCATGATGACATCCTTTTTATAAATGGTCTGTACTTATAGTTCCTTTCTTGTCTTCCAACCACTCACAGCACTTTACACTACCTGTCACATTCACACACAGTCAGATGCTGCCACGCGAGGTGCCAACTGCTCATCAGAACAGAGCAATGTGCGGTTCAGTTTCATGGATCGTACCACCAACCTTTTGACTAGTGGACGACGTGCTCTTCCTCCTGAGCCGCAGCTGCAGCTGTGTTATTGTTGTATATGGTAGGTTGTGGATTTATAAACACATGACCAGCAAAGCCCATGAAAATAACAAACAAGCAATATTTAGTGTATTTAATATTTAGTTAGTCCATCTCTCAACAATTTCTGACTTCCGTGCCCTGTCCCATTGGTTCCTATGGCTCAGAGGAAGGAGAGACATCAGGCTGTGAGACACTCACAGGACTATAAAGAATATCACCAGACATATCTTAAGCGTTAGATTGGTTGTCCTCGATGCAGCTCAGGACAGGTTTCAGGTCTGTCTCCATGGCCTGATTCTGTAGCTCCTCAGGGTCTGGAGGAGTCCACATAGCTTAGTGCTTGGCTCAGTTGTGTCCTCTCTAACCCTAACCCTACCCCTGCTACCTGTAAGCCATCTAGTCGTAAGAAATAATGAACTATCCTTTGAACATGGATGACATGTAAGGCACAACAAACTCTGAGGTGTCCTGATACACACATTACAAAAATACCACGCCAAGACGTGAAGACAGCCAATCAGAAATGAGTGTTTTCCCCGAACATGGAACAGCATGCAGCTAGAACTGCAAACCCAATGAAGTGTTCTCCCTTCTGCCTTTGTCACATAGATGGACATAGCTAAATGTTTCTGTGGGAGAATGTTACAAAAGCTGAAATAAGTCTTGTTGTTGGCCTGAATCGCTGAACATGACAGATCTCATAGCCATTTCGAACATTACCTCTGTTCACTCCATATTACTTTCAGATGTTTAGCATTTGAATCTTAAAAGTTTCGTATTTTTCAGACCGAAACCATCTACAGCATTCACAGGGAAGAGGCCAAAGGTCATCAACCAGGACTCAGTGGACGGCAGGAGAAAGACTATGGAAGACGTTCTCTTCTGATGTCTGAGAAAAAGGTTACCACGTGACTGAGGTTCATTACCGAACCATCTCCATGGCAACGGAAATCTAATCAGAGGACCTTGTGTTGAATCAGTTTTTGTCAAACCAATAAGTCATGTTGTTTTATCATGTTAGATGTCATCGTGAATGAACCGTGTGCCTGTTTTATTCCTCTGTTTTCTGTTGGACGCTTTGCATTCTCAAACCAAACGTCCCCGAGTACTAAATAAATAGAGTTTTTGAGGCTGTGTGCTGCGATGTTGGTTCGTAACAGGATGTGGGAGCAGTTCAGTGCTGAGGTGTCCTTAACCCTCCGCTCTCTGTATGGCCTTTCACTCCATGTCTCCTTCTCCCCGTCACTGTGTGTTGTAATAGCACCATGTCAATATTTGAACTAAAGGGCAGGGTTAAAGGCCGCGCCTGTTAACGCTTCACATCAGCAGCTGCACTCAGCCCTGCCCTGATAACACGGATCTTTCACTCACACACACACACATGCACACACACTGCTATTGGCCGGCCAGCTGGAATAGGATGCAGCTTCCTGGTTTAAAGTGAAGCGGAATGCAGCCGCTCGTGAACGCCTGAGCTTACCTCAGAGCAGAGAAATACTGACACACACGCTGTGTTAACTGATTACACAGGCTTTTTACTAAACACACCTTTCACTGTTTCACCAAAAAATGATCAGTGTGGAGACAACCTGATGAGCACATTATTATTTATTCATAACATATGAATTAACATGTCTTTACAGGCCAGTGGAAACATTTATATGTATGAAACCCCCTGAGGTTAAAATGTTTTACTATATGACAATTTTATTTCCAGAAATTGTAAAATCCAGTGTGTCACTCAGAACTACCCCAAAACCTAAAACTGGGTCCGCACAGACCACTGTTCAATGAAAGGAAAAACAAGACATCTCTCACACCTTTTTTTTTTTTTTTTGCAGTTTGCTTTTTTATACTGGGTAGTTAAAAGTAGAGATACAGAAAGTAACGGGGAGGTGTATGACATGCAACAAAGGGACAACCCAAAATGCATCAGTTTTTAAACGCATCAGAGCCACACGATTAGGTCATATCACACCTTATTTAGCCCTCATGTGAGTTAATGTTGTCATTTATTTATAATCTCAAATAAACTCAACCCAAATTACCAGACATCAGCTGGTTAACATGGGAAATTTTGGGGCCTTCGGGACCCCTTGACGTCTGAGGCTCCAGGACAGTTGCTCACTTTCATTGCATCATTTCTAGAACTGTCATCTATTGGGTTGCAAACCCATCATGAGGGGACAACGACTGGCTGGTTGGCCCAGCAGGAGTCAGAGATGTTAGGAAACTTCTACACATTTGGCCGCAGGTCTTTTTCTTCTTTAAAGGTCTGCTGCTGCAGAACATTTTCACCACAGGGCCCGATGGTGGTGCTGCCTGTCCTTTAGTCTGACATTTATTAATGATGCTTAATATAATTTACAGTATATTCCACCAGGGATCCTGTAGGATGGACACTCACTGAGCGCCACCATCAGGTTTTTAGTGCCACTACAGGTGAGGTGTGAGTATGTTTCTGTTCAGCGTTAAGAGTATCCAACATTTCAGCCACATTCATTCAAACTGGATACATGACACAAAAATCTAGTCCTGCACTAATCACTGCGTGTGTTAGGATTATGTGGCAGTTCTTGTAAGGCTCACAATATGTAGATTCAGCTCTGGTCATCCTGTCGCTGTAGTTTGTACTGTTCATACTACACTTGTAAAACTGCCATATGGGAGAACATGTGCTTTGTCTCCCATCTTTTTCAGTGGAGTCGTGCTCGGATGCATCACTTCACAGCCAGTATGGACAGAAGGAATGAAAGTATTTTCAATGTACACATGGCATGTTAGCGTTCTATAGCAGATCTAAAGAAATGTGAACCCATCCTTTAATGTAGTCATCTACACTGCGTGTGGCTCTCAGCGGTCCCACTTTCAAACAACAGCTTCATTTATGTTTGGACATTTATTCAATACACAGTGTACAAAAGAATTCAACTGAAAATATGACTATGAATGTGTGTTCTGTATTCATACAAACACATGAATACAAACATTTCATACTGACAAAAAACCCCAGCCCATGTTAAAAAGGGCCAACGTTCTCATATCAAAATAAAAAAGTACATGGAGGGGGAGGGAACAACAGAAATATTACATTCTTACAGTCCCACAAGAGACGCACAGGTCATTGTTTTCACAGAAAACACTTAATATCGCTGACCCACAGAGCACCTGCCTCCTAACACTGACAGTAACCCCTCCTGGGTTCAGGGAGAAGCCGCCCCCCTCTGACAGGACCGTGACACGTTTGACGCTCATGATTGTCAGGCCCCACACACGTCAAGTTGCTGAGCCAGAGCAGAGGGAAAAGATTCTATATAATAACACACTCCTGTTGTTTCTTTCACATTCAATATCTGCTGCTGTAAGAAAAGAAAAAAAGCAAGACCTGTTCATCAGGTCAGCACAGTTCACTTCTATTTTCTGCAGAGGACAAGGGGGAAATAAAGCAGCTTAAATTAAATGCAGTTCTTCTTCAGGCCCAGTTTGAATGAATCCCAGCTGTGGCTTTTCTTGCTGGCCTTTATCTTTATAAAGTGCTTCCTAAATGTTTGTCTCAGATTTCAGAATCATGTAATAAAGAAAAACATTTGACTCTTCTGTACAAACCTAACGGATGAAAGCACATCACATGTATTACACAGTACAACAGCCTCAATAAGAAGGGAATTCAGTGATGTGGAAGGCTCTCTGCTGAGCAGGAGACTTCCATTTGGTCGACCATGTTAATGGTGTGGAAAGTGACAGAGCAGATAGGCAGCAACTCAGACATAGTGGTCAAGTGTGGTGTGTTTCAGTCTCACTGTTAAAAATGATCCCAATAAAAAGAGTCCCATCAGTGATCATCTCACAGCCCCTCAGTCCACGCCCCTCTCTCCTGTCTTCTTTGTTTTCTCAGGTAAGGCAGAGCTCACTGTTCCAGGCCCGTCTCCTTCAGACACGTCAGAGTCTAAGGACACCACCCCAACTCGTTCTGTGCCTGTGTCACACCCAGCGGCCCCCACACCGTGCAACGGTTTCATCACAGAGAATGCCTTCCAGAGGCCAAAAGTTCTCACAGCTGTTCCCAGCAGTGTCACCTAGTGTCCATGCTGTGGGTGCTGGTTGTGTTGGTTGTTAGCGGGGTGGTTGGGAGGCAAAGGTGGTCCATTTACGCCGGGGTGGTAGAAAGCACAGTTGCTCTCGTACCTGCAGCTTCCCTTCATCATGAAGTGACGACACACAGGCCTTTTGGACATGTCTGACAGGAGGAAACACAACAGTGTTACAACCACACAGAGACACAGCCGGTGTGTGAGGAGAACAGGCTTTTATTAGAGACGGGTCTATTTCTAACATGCATCTCAATATTATTTCAATATTCTTCATGCTGCGGAATATTCCATGTGAGCTATTATTTTCACAGGTCACTTCAGCCCTACTCAGATTTGGATGTGGCCTGGTGTGTGCTGGTCACGCCAACATTTGAGACTCAGATATTATTTCAGACTATAGGGGAACTCCAAATCCCATGTCCCACATACCATTCATGTTGTTGTGTCCTCCTCTGGGCCCTCCTCGTCCTCGGCCCCTGAAGCCTGGTTCTCCTCCTCCTCGGCCCCGTCCTCCTCGGTGGAAGTGACCCCCCCTGTGGGGCCCTCCTCTCATGGAGTCATCTCCCCAGTAATTGCCGTTGTCTCCTCGGCCCTGGCCCGGCGGCGGTCCCATCATACGCGGGCCTCCACCAGCATTGAAAGGTGGCCCATGGTTGTGAGGGGGCGGGGGGTGGTTGAAGCGAGGCCCGCCGGGCGGGTTGTTGGGGGGGTAGCCCCCGTTCATGGGCATCTGCATGTGCATGTTCATGTTGTTCATATTGTTCATGCCTGGCCCGTGGCCCAGCAGACCCTGGTTGACTACACAGAAGGAAATGAGGGTTAAATAACAGCAAGTAACAGAAGGACCAGCACAGGTGGAGGAATGAAAGAGTTTACCTGGTGGAGGTCCACCCTGGTTCTGGTTCTGAGTCTGCTGCAGGGATCCCAGTAGCTGTTTAATCTTGTCTGAGAAGTCCGGCTGCTTGATCAAGTCTTCAGTAGACTGGCTGCCAGAAGCACCCTGATGACAGACACAATTCAAATCAAATTAGCTTTATTGGCATGAATGAAACACCAAAGAAACACAGCCTTCTCCCGCTGACTGACGGGACTAGATATATTTACCATGATAGATGAGAGCAGCTCCTGTACGTTGACAGTGGGAGGCACGGGGTTGCTGGCGGTGTTCGTGGGTTGCGGGCTGCGGGAGCTGTTGCTCAGGTTGACCATGAGGTTGGCCAGGACAGGGGGCAGCTTGGAGTTCTCGGTCTGAGCCATGGCAGAGGCCTGTTGTGATGTGGTTTCCATGGGCTCGGCGTAGCCGTCATCAAGCATGGACGAGTCCTGCTGGGTAGACCAGACTGACAGCTTAGCGGGCAAAGTATTACACAGACATGTGCTGACTGTGTTTAATAAGAGAAATCGACATGAGAGACAGTGTTTTGGGTGGACTAACCTCATCCAGAGGGATGAGACGGGGAGGCATGGGTTCATAAGGCTCTGGGTCTGGTTCATGTGGACTGTCAGGCACACTAGTGAAAAGAAAGGATGGGAAATTGTTACCGCACATTGCAGGCAGACATGAAGGGTCAACGACTTAGAGAACGGTCTTGGAAAACTGATAAACTAGCAGAGATCCAGCACGCTTCATCTGCCGCCTTACCTTTCTTTGCTGAGGAAGATCTCCTGCAGAATGCCCATCTCACGATCTCTCTGGGTTAGTTTCTCTGTGCTGTTGGCCCCAGGGATGACCAGGCTACCGGTCAGCGTCAGAGGCCTCGGGGGTGACCAGGGTACCCTCTCCTCCATGGTGTCATGGGAGAGCCGACGAGCCATCTCAAACGTCTGCCGGTCCATCATCAGCTCTCGTTTGGCGGCCTCACCGAAGTCCTTAATCTTGTTGACGTTGACTGTGAATCAAGTGTAATCGTTATTCTTTATCCAGATGGTTCAGACCCACCGCTGTCTCCGAACAGTAAACACCAAACCAGACACGTTGGGGATTCAGAGCCACACGCCTACCTCTCTCTGTCTCGTCCAGATCAAAGTAGAAGTAGTGTTTGAGCTGCTCCTCCTCAGCCCAGTGAACCGTCTTCTTCTTCTTGCCCTTCTTGGTCAAACTTTCTTCTTCTCCGCGCGGTTCTGCCAGAGCGTTAGGCTTCTCACCTGCAAACAAGAGACAATTAAAGCAAAGCTCTTTAGATTGCACTGCTCAAACTTGAATTCAACCAGATTAACAAACAACAGAATATTAAATTCAATAGGGCTAGGCTCCAAGAGGCTAGAGATGATACATCTGCCTTCCCAGTTTCATACAACCGACGTGTGCATCCCTAACAAACTGTGCCTCTCTTACTCACCATTTTCAAAGGTGCACTGGTCTGCAGTACGTGCACACCGCCTCAGTCACTGGGACATTTTAATTTACAAAGTCCTTCTTAGCTAAATTCCCACTTACTTCACTTTTAAACTTGAAATATGGAAATGATCATCTTCATTGTCTGGACATGTTAATGCTACTTAAATGTGTGCTTTCACATTAATTTACTGTTAAATTCCATGTTTCATGGTCAGATCTCTCCTGTAAAAGAGAGCCTTGATCTCAGTGGGATGAACCTGGTTAAATAAAAATCTGAATTTGTAAGGACCTTACCGTTGTCAGAAGCCTCGGGGTCCTCAGAAGGAACAGGGGTTCCAGGCTGCTCCGGCTCCTGGTTTTCATCAGCAGGAGTGATGGAAGCAGCGGTTTCTGGAGATGACGGTTTAGCAGAAGATGAGGAATATGTAGAGGGTTTGCTGTCAAATGGACTCGGCTGAGGAGATAAAAGCAACAAGAGAGGGGAGTTTTGGATTATATTTTATGTGTAAAAAGACAAAGATGTGAGTTCAGTTCCTAGTTCTTGGAAAATCTTCATGAGGACAAAGACTGAACCTCACTTATTTGCAACAGCTACTTACAACAGACAGTGGAAATTATTACAGCAGTACAGTAAAGTCCATCAGGCTTGGTTAAAAACAGACAAGAATCCCATTTGTTCTGGGGTTTTGGGAAAAAACTTTCAACAATAAATAAATATATTCTGAGGCTGTTTTGGACCAGATGAGAAACTACTGAGAGCAGTCAGTACCTTGTTCGACGTGGGGGAGACTGCCTTGGTATTAGTTGTTGTACCAGTACTAGGTTTCTTCTTCTTGATCTTGATCCCGGGGACTGGGGCAGAGTTCAGAGCATCTAGGAACCCTGTGCACTCCATCGCTGCCGTGAGGACACAAGAGAGCAGTGAACACCACAGCTGCCACATCACTATCACTTCTTTAAAATGCAGTTAAATGAGTGTCTGTGTAAACGTACGCTGAGCTGGAATGATCTTGACTTTGATCTCTTTGGCAGAGTTAGAGGGGGTGTTCAGAGGTTTGTATTTTTTCTCCAGAGGCGGAGCATCTGATGGACCAGTGCTGTGGGGGGAAAATCAACATAAAAGGAAACATGTCAGTACTATCATCGGCCACCTGAGGGCCGCACTGAGCCAGCTGCATGAATACACCACAAGATGGTGCTGTGCTGTGGGAGTGAGGACCTTTGGGAGGATACAGTACCTGGGCCTCTTGAGGACTGGAGGCTTGATGTTGTACTTGTCACCCAGCTGTGGGGCAGTGGGCGTCTTCTTAGCAGGGGCCGGGTTGGGAGTGTCCATCTCCAGTCCTGCACAACACAAAACATGTTGATTATTTCATTCCTAACACTTAGGGCCGACTACATCTCTGCTCATCAGGGGAGGTGTACCTATGGAGCGGATCTTTGCGTGGCTGGGTGCATGAGCTTTAGGTTTCTCCTTCTTCTTCTCCTCATCGACACTCTTTTCCTTCACGTCCCGCAGCGGAACCTTGCTCTCCTCTTTCTTCTTTTTCTTATCTAAAAGATGAATGAAGAGGGTTACGAGCTGTTGCGAGGGTGAGTCATTGTGAAACAAGAGGCACGTTTAAAAAGTAAAATGATGGATGTGTACCAGCAGGAGAGTTGGCACTGCTCGAGACACTCTGGGAACGGATCGTAGCCATCCAACCGTCTACCAGCACGGACGCCAACTTCCTCAGCTCTACAAAATAAAAGACAAGAATATTAGTGGGCTGCACGCTGCCGTCTATGTAAAGTTTAAAGTGTTGATGTACCGTCAAACTGACCTTCGGTGTCTGCACTCTTGCTCAGCTGCTTCACCAGCTTGGCCGTGTTGTTCTGGGAAACGATCAAAGCATAAACAGTGGGTTAGAGGCTGCAGTTGCTGTGTACTGTACTGGAGGTGGGTTCTGGTGTACCCAGTGAGACAGTACCTGTTTCAGGTGGTCCACTTTGAGAGGCAGCTTCTGTAGTGTGAGCAGGATGAGCTGCAGCAAGGGGGTGTTGTTGGCGGTTTTAGAGTAGGTGAGCCAGGAGTTGAGCAGTCTGTAGCCACCAACTCTGATAAACCTGGATGAAGGAGGGAACGAGTGGTTTAAAGAGGCACGCAGTGATGGACTGAAATGGTCCCTGATTACACTTGCAGATCAATGAGGACATTAAAACATGGTAATATTAACTCCTAACCGGTTACTTTCAGAAATCATTCTATTCTCTGTCAGTGCAGAGGCAAACTAACAACTGCGCCCCTCAATTCTTTGTCACTTTGGCCGATGAATCCAAATTCACTGTAGTGAGTATTTCTGGCAGCACCACAGTGTACGTGGGACTGAGTCCAAATAAACTAGAATGGAGCTTTGCAACAGACAAGAACAAGAGACATCAGGCTTTGGATACATACACTATACTTGTTAGAAGCACCATTCAATGTTGGGTTGGCGTATTTCTGTGGGATTTATTAAAAGAAATCTACTAAAAGTTTACACTAAGTTATAAATAGCACTACATCAACAGCCAACTGACATCAGGAAGGTGTGAGAATAATTACTGATCAGTATACAGGAACATTTACATTTACACCAGAGGGGAGCTACAAAATGTTGGTGATATTGACCTGTTGTGGGAAACTTGAACTAGTGAACTCTGAATTATTGAATGCAACAAAAAATAACATCATGTGAAAGTGAGTTATAAGAACACACACAACTTGTTACTGACTCAAGGAACATTTATTTAGAAATGCACTTCACTGTGTGCACTGTTTAATTCAAGTCTGAACATTCCACTCAACGTTCTTTTGGAAAATGTATGTATGCTTATTTTAGTAACCATTAATCTTTACAGAATTACATTTTATATGAGTGGCCTTAAAAGCTCTTGAAAAAGCTAATAAGCAGACCTGAAGTGACAGTAGAGTTCACAGACAACTTCTTCATACTTTTAATGTTAATAAAGACCAAGACTTTCAACATACAACACAGCATTAAGGCCTACCTGTTCAGAACATCATGGGACTTGGTCTGCAGCAGGATGTTCAGGTACATACATCTACTGACCATCTTGGTAGAAGCTTTCATGAGGCTGCATTAAAGAAGAGCAGGGGTGTTAGTATAGCAGCTTTGTTTAAGAGTCTAAAAGTTTAAAATCATAGGGTACCAGCAATAGGTCATGTTTAATTTCAGTTCCTCACCTAAACACCTTTGGGACTCCCTCCAGGCTGCGGAGCTCTCCATCCTTCCCCAGCAGAGCCTCCACACCCTTCAAAATCTCTCTGGGGTCCACTGGTCCACCTGCCATATCTGAAACAGACACCTCAAACAATAAATATACATGCCACCGCGCAGGACGAGGGTGGATTACATTTTCTAGAATGTCTTTGGTAAAAAGGGCCCTAAACTGATGTTTACTGAGGACTTTTTGCCTGCCAAATAGAAGAGAGCTCCATGTTACAGAATCCCAGACTGCACAATTTAGGACTGAACAGCTCCAATCTGTTCTTTCCCAAAAACATTCCCATTGAGGCTCAAAAGCTGCTTCACATCAAAAACACAAATCTAAACTGCACCAGGCCAACATGGTCCCAGCCTTCAGATTCCCCTCTCCACCAAACACAATCCAGACTCTGCTTTGACTCATCAGTGACTCGGTGGTTCAACACCAACCTGTTTGCACCAAGCAGAGTATCAAGTCCATCAAAACTAAGGGCAAAATGAACGGCATTTTCATCAAGCTGCCAAACAGTCCTCCTTGCAAAGCCGTGACTCAGGAGCAGAGCTCTCTGACCTTCTATACAGTTAAGTCATTTTAATGAGACACAAGAAGCAAACAATATCTGGAATATGACCTGGCTGACATAGTCACATACAAATCAGTGAAAGTACAGTCGTTGCTCTGGCAGTCAAACATCCACAGTACATGACAGCTTCAGTGCACAGCCTCAAGATGTTTGGAGTGGTTCCTGGGGCCAACGTGACACCAGTTCAGCAGGGACATGGGCAGGAAGCTGTAACTTATCCCTCCGTGCCAGAGTGTCTTCTCTCTGGAACGTTACTTGCAGGACAGGACATGTAGTCTGACAGTATGTTGATTTTTGTGTGTGAGGCAACCTTTTATTCTACTTCAGGCTGTGTTTAGAGACAACAACAACGCATAACAAAACTACATGTTTATAAAACTGACATACAAAATGTAACTCAACCTTTTTACTCAGTTTAACTGTTTCCCTAAACCTAACTATTGATATGTTTTCAATATCTCTATTTGTTGTTTATTTATTATTATTTGGATGTGTATTAAACACAAAACGAGGTGAAAGGTCAAAGTTTTGTTAGAAAAGTAGCAAAAGAGGAATTTTTGCAAGAAATGTTACTGAATGATTTATCAACTTTTTAATAGCACACGTCTATCACAATCATTCACATTTGTGCAAAAGAAAAAGAACTCACAGGGATAATGGAAACAGACAATACCTGAAAAAACCTACTAATTAATATGGTATCTGATGACAAGATGAAGGGTACAAGTTACACGCACCAACACACTAAAATGTGATTGAAGGTAATTGTATGAAGTATGAAATGCTTGAAAACTGTAGAATTAGTTTGTTAAACACTCATCAGTGTCCTTTCAATTGTGATTACCTGACGGAAAGTATCTATATATTGGACTACAGTGGTGTTAATGACATCACCATCAGCTGTTCCAGCCAGAGGGTACAAGTCAGGCCACTCACTGCCACCTACAGGTTACTTTGTTTCCACACTGACACTATACTGTCTGTTACACAACAGAGAAATGCAGTAAATATCAATGCAAGTGTTAGTGCAACACCCCATGACAATGGTCTGAACCGTCACACATTAATCTAAGGGTAAAACAAGCTCATGACTGAAAGCTCTTGGATGTTTCATCATTCCAGTATGTCAACTAATTATCTTTGAAATGGCCAAAGTGATCCAAACAAAGACTTCCAACACTAAGACAATTGGCCTTTATGGATTTGAAAAATTATCACGACAAAGGGTCTTATTATTAACCTCCACATGGTTCATGATTAAACTGCTCGGGTTGAGCCTTATAAGCATGCACTTATTTGCCATGTTTATGCATTTCATAATGAAACCATTTTGTGCCAAATTTGTCAATCGTCATGTCACAGAACCTGCAACCCTGGTGGAAATCAATTCATTGGAAATGTCATGATGTGAGGAATCAGTTAGGTCTTACCCGTGTAACTGTTGTAGTAGAAGTTTTATATAGTCTCAGACCTCCACAACACTGCAAATAACCCAATTCCTGTAAATGTCACAATTGTTACACATATATATATACACACACAATCAGTGTTAAAAACGTGGCCCTGGGTCCTGGTACAGTGGGGGGAAAGAACATTATTTGTGCAGAGTCACACTGTGTTGTTGTTATATATCTCACTGGTACATTAGTGCAAAACAATCTATGCCTGTACTCAATGACCAAGCTTTCTACAACAAATATTTACAATAGTTTTATAACGGTGTCGCAACAGCAGACTTGACTGAGTAAGAAAACAAGGTATATATTTATAAAGGAGACACAGATTGAAGGTCTGAACGCCCTCGGTTACACAAGGGCAGATCACGCTGCCTATATATGGCTTGCGCTTAAGCATCTGTCATAGCTGGGAACAGGCCCGCTGCTGTGACTTAGCCGCTCGGCAATGGGAGGGAGCAGGAGGCTGACTGCTAATCAGGGCCCTCCCTCTGTTAACCACTTCGACGACGGCAAACCAATCCCTATGTTACACAAGCAACAATGGCTCTCAGAGCAAATACTGAGCTGGTCGACAGAAAAACAAGGCGACGTACAGCAGACATCTAGCGAAGCATACGCGCATGGCACTCAAGACACCGCGATGGACATCAGTCTATACTTCGGTTTCAGTTTTGTAAAAACTCCCAAGAGTTGCTCCAAGAACACGGCTAGCCCCCGGAGCTGTCCGAGGACGACAAGCAAACCACAACCAATCCACCATTTTGTCAATCCCGACTGTTTGTGCTTCGAAAGATCACTTCGCTTGAGTCATCCTGCAATCTTTATCCACAGATTGCCGAGTAAATGGTGCGGGCTTTCGGGAAGTCACTGTGCTATAATTATCAACATTTCAATAGAGTGCTTCATAAAATATGTCCACAATCGTCAAACTAACGCAATCTTTATGTATAGATTGCGGTGGGTGTTCGTTCCATGGAGAAGCCCCTACAAAACAAATCTGGCAGGCAAAAAGTCCGACTTCATGAGCAGGAACTGGCTTTCTATGCCTACGGCAATCTTTATGAATAGATTGCTTATGGTTATTTTACGAATTTACTGGCTACATTTAATTTTATTTGCACAATTCGCCCATTCCGTCTCACACACAAAGAAACGGAGCCTTGTGCCTCCGTCCACTTTCCTGTGTGAGCTCATACTATAACATTGTCTATTTTCAAATTGTTTGCCAAGAACCAAGCTAACTTACGGTGCCTGCTAGCCAGCTACCGCTAGCTAGCCTATTCTCTACGCCTATTTTCATTTGATTGATCTCAATTCAATTTAACTTCAAAATAGACTTACTATTGATACTATAGATCCTCAGCGTCTCGGGTATATCAGAGTGTGCTTTTCATGCACTTATATCTCTTATTTCATCAATTTTATATCGTCAACCTTCATGGTTTTAATATCAACTGAAAGACTTCTTATGGGTGGGGCTGTGATAGCTATAGGCTAGCCTTTCCTTCAGGAACAAACTGGAGGCAAAAATGGTAATCAAATGTCCATTACTTGAAGAAAAAATATGAATTTGAGTAGAGTTGTTCAAAGTCCTCGACGGTTCAGTCTTCGGCAAAGCAAATTCATACCTGCAAAACACACAAAAAACACATTTAATTTCGGCTCAAATTTCGTCGTCCTTTGTCTATATCCAATTCATTTGCTGGTTTTAGAATATATTCGGTAGGAATTTCGCATTTAAAACGAACAAAACGTTGAAAACAAAGCTTGCTGTCTTTCTGACTACACTTACCTTTGACCAAATCCAGGAATGAGCTCGAAAGGGAGGGACATAGCTTTTATACTACGTGACGTTTTTTACGTCACGGGCAGCGTTTTTTCTCCGTTTTCACTGAAACAAAATGGTGGATAAACGTCCTTCCCCGTCCTGCCAAGGGCATAATGGCGGATGTCACATTTCGCCAAATGTTATTTTGAATTACTCTCTACATTCACTTTGAAAGCATTGTGTGTTTATATTAATAATAAGATAATAAACAATACCAACTCATGTTGTTGATTTAGCTGGATTGTAGTGATTATTTGATCACTTAAATTTAGTAAATATTATTTCTTCAAAATGGCGACCGGTTTGTCTGTCAGGTCAGGACAGTGATGCTCACAAGCCCAAGGCATATAACGTTACATACAGAGAATGTAGCATTTAAACAATCTATAACAGACCAAAATAAAAACGACAGAATTTGGATTTACACACAATTTAAAGGATATATTTGTAATTCCGTTGTGATATTACATTTTTACGCTTGACATAGCAACAATATGGCTTGATCTTTGACCTTTCACCTACAACCCCCAACACAACAAGGAGGGGAAAATGGCTGCCTCCATCCCAGGAATCGTGAAGGCTTTTTGCCGTCTTTCGCCTTCAATTTTACATCCATTACGACAGTATCAGGTATTACATCTATTTGTGCTGGTGATATACCCATGACGATTACTGTGTGATATTTTCTACGAGGTTTAACGTTATCATATGTTTAAGTCAGAAAAAACGCTGGACGCTAGGTTCCTATTCCCCACGTTAGCTAACTTAGTTAGCCGAGAGTAGCTGTTCGTCAACTTTTTGTAATTAGAATTTGATAGTGTATCGGTAATAATGCACAGTCGGTACAACGCGGGACATTGTAATGTGACTCAGTAAGGTGGATTTTTGGCTTTGGCTTCATTTGACAATAGTGTCGTATATTAATGTCGCCTGTGAAAGCGGTATTTTATTTTTACGGGTTATTTAGCTAACGTAACGGTATCAATGACCTTATTTCATAAGTGTAGTTATGGGCTTTATGCATCCCTAACAGTTAGCATTAGCGGCACTATAATGGTCCGTTATGAACAGTGTTGGGCTGTACTGTAATAATATAACTTTTCCCAGTAACTATGTAGTGTAACTAATACTTTTCTAAAACAGTAACGTTAATATTATTACAGTTGCTAAGGCAAGTAACGCTACGTTACTCGTTACTGAACGCACCATCCTTGACGTGAATCCACGTGTGCGGCAGCTCAGCGGGACCCGACTTTGTTGTTCATGTCAGCTGATAGCCAGAACTAAAGGAAAAATGGAGAAGAGGCGTTCTTTCTACAGCTGTAAGTAGCTGCTGCTATGATTGTGTCACAGTCTAAGATGCGAAGAACATCGTCGTCTTGTGTAAACCAGCAAAAAGCTTTCAACCGCGAACATTTCTACATCTGATTTATTGAAGCATCTGTTGAAGCAGCACAGCAACGTGAAACTTACAGAAAGAATCTCCGGCAGAGCTTTCACTGATGCTGGACTCGTCGGGAGAGAGTGGCGTTGTTTGGGGGGAAGGGGTGGTAGTGAAACCAGTGTTTCCCATAATTAGCCTATAATTTGGATAATTATCAACGCTGACCGCCCCATATTGATTTTCTACTTTTTTTATTTGGCATATTTAAAATCATATTTGACTGAGGAGCATATATTTGTGCAGCACCTCGCTCATTCTGTGGGAAACTACTAAAAATATTGTAAGGTAACAAGTAACATTTTTATTACCCAGTAATAAGTAAAGTAATATTTTTTTAAGGAATAATAAGTAACTAGTAGTATATTATGGTTATGAATATGTTTGGCATGTTGTGACGATGATGTCAGTGGTGAGGTGTTTTTCTTTTGGATTCAGTCCTGTCTGCAGAGGCTACCTGTAAGAACATGCCCGGGTCTCTCTCTGTTTGTACCTCCAAGTCGCTTTTTCTGCAAAGCAGCGTCACTCCAGGATGAGGATGCTGCTCGTGCTGCTGAGGCGATCTCTGCCTACAAGGACAGACCCTGGGATTACCTGGAGAGTGAAGGTATGTAAAGGAGAATCCAGTCTCATCTTTAGCGCTGATTCTTGGTTTTACTGCATATTCATTTCCCATGACAGAGTACATTGAGAGGTATGGAACCAATCCAGTGTGGGCAGGCTACAGGAGGAACCACAAAGGAGGCATTCCCCCACAGAAGACCCGCAAGACCTGCATTGTAATATTTCTACTTGAATCCAGCTTTAGTTCCATGCATCACATCGGTTGTTTAAAGTAACGTTAACACTGTTTGTGTTTCTGCAGCGAGGAGACAAGATATGTGGAAACCCCTGTCCAATTTGTCGGGATCCAAACGTTATTATCCATCATCAGGTGGGTTAGCATCTCATTCACTCTAATTGTCTCACATTAAACACACACATGCCTTGAGTTACAGTGCATTGTAGTGTTCTGTTATACATTAGTCTGGATGTTTTTATTCTAACAAAGCACTATGCAAACTCACCCGTTAAGCACGGACCTGCCAGGTACGGGGGAGGACGATTGATTTTCACGCGAAATGCAAATGAGAAATTGTATGGAACAGACAGTCTTTATCATTGTCTGCTCGCCGATCTATAGTAGCCACACAGGCATTCGGTATATCAAACGATTTGTCTGCTCAATACGAAGAGATGGAGACCACTTACAGCCTAACTTACAATTGTACTTACTTTGGAAGCTTTATGTTATTTGGAACATGGTTGTATGGACAGAAATAGTGCTTTGAAGAAAACTCCCAATACCAGTGAACATATAAACAGTGAAAATGGCCAAAACATGGACAATCGCCTGGTATATTTTTGAAAAATTGTGTAATAACTGTTGTATATTAATTTCTTTTCATCAAATTTAAAGTTGTATTCCAGGTGTATTAGAAGATTCAGTTGCATTATAATCAGTTGGATGATGGTTTTGATGGTGATACTGTGCATGTCACCGTATTTACTTTGTGACGACTCCCAGTCTGTTTTCCGTCGCCACAGACGCTTTGAACTCCCGAGTTACATTGAGCAACAGACCCAGCTCGTTCTTGGTCCTTGCAAAAGAAAATCTGGTGTGGTTCTTCGTCTGCATTACTTTATTCTTTCGCCAGATCCTCTGTAACTACAGAATAGCCCATCTGCTTCATGTTTACACTGGCACGAGCATGTCCAGTGTACGTGAACGGCCACTAGATGTGCGTTTTCAGTCGTTCTAGCATGGACGGAGATCAGCTCTGATACACAGCTAAAATGCTGGTGTGGAGAGAGATCGTATTTGTTTAAAAACCCAGTTTTTAAACTAAAACGGAGTAGTGTAGATTGGGCCTAACATTTGAGGAACATAAAGCATCACAAGTAAAGTGAGAGACCTACATGCAACAATAGATACTAGAAAGAGCTATAAACTCAAACGGCATCAACGGGATAGATACCTAGGGGAATCAAGCGTGAGCAAGTAGTGCAATCTAGTGAATTGTAAGGAGGTAGAAGAAGAAGAGCACAGGAAGTGCATGTGAGAGGTTAGGGGTTTGGAAGTTTTTTAAGAAGAGATCAGTTTTCAAGATCTTCCTGAATTAGAGAGGGACGTAAGAAGATTAAAGTTTCTGTACTGACATTTTAGTCTATAACGTGGCAGAACATTTTGAAAAATGGCATCATTTCCCAGAATCCAAGCTGGTGTCTCCACGTCTTGCTTTGTCCAATGGTCTAAAATCAAAATCAATAGTTTACTTTCATAGAAGAGAAGTACAGGTGTACATGGAACAGAAAGTAACATTTGTCAAGGTGGAACCTGCGAGTTTTGCTTGAAAACTAATGATGCACAATATGGATTTCCCCAACGATCCGATAGCTTATCCAGTAATTGCCCATTTCTCATGACCAAACTGATCCGATAGCTGAAAATTTCTTCACATTTTTGAAAATTAAAACGAAGTTAACTTGTTAATTTTTACACACCTGATGGTAAGAAAGGCTAAGATCATCTAAGTCATTTACAGCAATATTTATAATTTAATATTCCATAACGCTGACCTAACTGACATCACTTTTGTTAACACAATAACAACAAAGGACAGTTCTGACTCTTATTTTTTTTAATAAAGTATGGCTTTCATAGAACATGAAGTCTATCAAAATATTTTGCATAAGAATTCAAAATAAATCAAATGGACTGACATAAGATGTAGTACATTGAAACAAAAAAGTAGGAGGAAGTGGCTCTATCCAGGCGCAGCAATATGACTTCATGAGCGTGACAATTTCATTTTCCAATATGATTCTGGTAATGAAAACATGCCCAATATCGGCAATATCGATCATTTATTGGATGGATAATTATCATGTATCTCTATTGAAAACAATTATGGATTTTCTTCAAGGTCATTTGTCATGTTACAACACAGGGTTGCACAATGAAATGTAACTTGTAGCTCCTTCATGCTACAAACATTAACTGCATAATGTTAATGTATATAAACATATATACAAATATTTCAGTTTACAGTAAAATAAACAAAGCAAACAGCCGCTTATATAGATCAAAAAGCCTATAATCCTAAACAAATGCTGTTCAAGTAATTTGCTTATAGTTATCAAGCAGTCCGCTGACAGTCTTCATTTTGGGTCGTGGTCCATACATGGGGAAACCAGTGTGTGTATGCATATTCAGATACAGCTACCGGTCAGCCAACTGACCGTGGCGTATCCATCATGCACCGCAGGGCCGGATCTCCTCTGCTCTCCAGAGAAAGAAAATGGGACCAGTCAAAATGACATCCGTTAAAACTCTGACCATATCTTAATATTGAATGTGTAAAATGAGTTTTCTCTGTTATTGTCTTTCATTTACACACACAGGCCTGAAATACACACACATGCACACACAGGACCCATAGATTCATTCATTGTTAACTTTAGACTAGACTAGTAAGTAAATTAAATAATTGTAATGCAATATGTTTATTTTAATTGTTCCTTTTAAAAAATGCAACTGCTTGTCAAAAAGCAAGACATATTTTTAGTGTAAGATATAATTTGTTTTTAGCATGTCACAGCATTGAACCCTATATGCTTAATACTCCACTACATTACAGAGGGAAATGTGTGTTTGTGTAATTAAATGATAAAAATAGGGCAACAAACTCTCACATTTAGAATCGGTGTACAGTTCCATTTATATTCCAAACACAGCTTTATATTGAGACGTTGTAACGTGCAACTGATTGCCTCATTTCTTCTCCAGTGCTACGCTAACCCAAATGTATCTTGTCCTGTAGAATGTTAAACTGTTGCAGCAGTTCATCAGTCCCCACACTGGAACGGTGTATGATCCCACTCGAACTGGTAAGTCAAAATGTCATCAGATTATGTCAGGATATATAAGGGTCTTTGATCATGTTGTGATGGTTCTACTGTCTCCAGGTGTGTGTATGAAACAGCAGAAGAAGCTAAATGAGGCAATCAACGCAGCACGTAATCATGGTATGCAACACAAAACACGACTTAATATCAAATATGGAGCGCCTTACTTGAATGCTGAGTTCACTTAACAACTGCCTTTGTGAAGTTAAAAAATGGATGTCAAATAATTTTTCAGACAAAACAGAAATCCTGGTCATCGGGTCCCAGCAGCCTTTTCATGTGTTTAACCCAAAAATCTACTGATGGACTCCAGACTGTCCAGAACTCAGCTGCCAGGCTTTTAACCAGAACAAAGAAATATGACCACATCACCCCTATTTTAGCTTCATTACACTGGCTCCCAGTATGTTTTAGAATTGACTATAAAATTCTATTGATCACTTTTAAAGCTCTTCATGGCCTCTCGCCTTGTTATATTTCTGACCTTTTAGTCCCATACACACCAGCACGTACCTTGAGATCCTCGGGCAGAGGTCTGTTGTCTGTTCCAGAGTCTCGACTGAAAACTAAAGGGGACAGAGCGTTTGCTGTCAGGGCCCCGAGGCTCTGGAACAGCCTGCCCGAGGAAATCAGGTCGGCTGAGTCAGTGAACTCTTTTAAGTCCCTTCTTAAAACATACTTTTATAGGAGAGCCTTTCCCGATCTTATCTGACTTTATTTTATCCCTTTTATTTTATTCTGTTTTACTAATTTTATATTTATCTTAAACATGTATTTTAGTCTTTTCAATGTTTTCTTGCTTTTATCTTGTATTGTTTTTGTATTATTGTCTTCACTTGTTAAAGCACTTTATAACTTGTTTTTGAAAAGTGCTCTACAAACAAAGATTATTACTATAAACTGCCCTTCTGAGGTCCAGTTATCATTGGGATCACAGGGATGTGAGTACTACTGCATTTGAATCAGATGTTTTGTCACTGACATGAGAACTTATCAGAATATAAGGCGTGGTCTGTATGTGACCCCAGAATTTAGTCCACTGATCAGGTTTTACAGACTGAGTTTAGTCTTTCCACACCAAACATAGGAAAACTTCATCAGATGCCAGATGTCTTTTTTTGCACAACAGAACCACCTAAGTATCACCAGGTAACAACACCCTGTGTCCTTTTTCAGGTTTACTCCCCTTTCAGATTCCGTATGTGGAATTTTCAGCAGAGGACTACTCAAATTCCCATGACGCTGTGGGCTCCACACCACCTCCCCAGTTCTTAACCCCTGGAAACACGTGGTATAAATGGTACGGAGAAATACAGCCTGATGAGAATGACGTTGCGAAAGTCAAGAAGACATACAAGGCTTACTTAAAGTGATGGAGTCTACAGAAGCCGTCCTGTTGCTCGTGCTGATGTTTCTGCCATTCACTCACTGTAGCTGTATGGTTTGCTGTACACATGTACATGTCTACTGGATAGTGAGTTTCCAGCTTTCATATGCTACAGGTATGAAAATAAAAACTGCACCATAAAACATGAGAAATGGATTTCTTTTATTATTAAGCTTAAGATCTAGACCACAGGTCATGATTCAAGACATTTACCTCCCTCTATATTAATAGAATGCATGGTAGGATAATCTCTCCAGTATTTGTCTCCAACCTATTAAAAGATGAAAGGAATAGATACTTTCCAACAAATCCAATTTTCTTTTTATTATCTGTTACTTTGTGAGACATGTTGGCCGGTCCAGATGGTGCAGCGTGTCCTGACAGTGCCTGTGCGATCATGGGTTGACCTTGTTGACCATGGTCTCTCCCAGAGCCTCCAGCACCTCCTGCTTGTAATCGTCAAAGTCTCCGTTGATCTGGTTGACTGTGCAGTCCTCCACTACCCACAGCTGGCACTGAGTCTCTGTGATGAGCCGGGCATCGTGACTCACAATGATCACAGCTGGACAAGAAGGGGAACTACGTTAGTACTGTCATAAAGAGCCAAACTGTACAATTATTGTTGTCAGGATAGTCGCTACAGATGGCACAACGTATATAGTGACGCCTGGTGGCAGGACTGTAACACTGCAAGTAGACAGATTGGGAAATGATTAGTGTTGATATTGAGTGGGGGAAACATTGCATCATCAGGATACAGTTATACACAAGCACTCAAGGTGAGCCACGGCTAAGCCTAATATTTTGCTATGTGTGCGCCGTGAACTATTCAGCTGGAAACGGCGTAAATTTGAGTTAACAACCAATGGCCTTCATAAAAAAAGTGCTGGTATGATCCTTGGATTTTTAGCTCATTAGTTGTGAATGAATCCTTTCTGATGGCCAGTTCTTACTGAACCACTCTTCTTACCTCCTTTGTATTCATTGATGGCCTCTGATAAGGCATCGATTGACTCGATGTCCAAATTGTTGGTGGGTTCATCCTATCAGAGAAAAATAAGCATTTAGTCACAGCATTCCTTCAGGTGGTTCATCTTCAGTGTGGATAAAAGGCTCCGTGGCCCTTACCAAGATCAGCACATCAGGCTGACGACAGGACAGCTCAGCAAACACTACTCTGGCCTTCTGACCACCTGTTGGAGATGAAATCCAGACACAATGTTAGAAAATGTCTCCTTCCCGACAGCTGATACCCTCTGTCTGACGCTTCATGTTCATACCGGAAAGTTTGGAGATCTGAATGGTGTGGGCGTGGCTCTCTAGGCCAAAACGTCCCAGGCACTTCCTGCCATCTTGGTAAGGAAGGTTGAAGTTCCTCATCAGGTACTCTGTGGCGGTCTCCTCCATGTTCAACTGATCAGCATACTGCTGGTTGAAGAAGCCCACTTTCTGCATGCACAGAACAGAACACCCAAGTTACTCGTCTGCATGTAAACTGACCAATCACTACAACAATATCTCATTACCAGAATAATCAAGTTCAGCAGTGTTGCTGTCTCACCGCGTGCTCACAGTGTAAAGGTGACAAACACATTTCCATTAAGAACAGAACAGAGCACCGTGGGCAGCCCTGCTCAGGTATGGGAAACAGTCTGTACTTGCATAGCGACTTTCTAGTCTTCTGACCACTGAAACATCTTTACACTACAATGTCACGCTCCCCTATTCACACAAATTCATACACTTTTTCCAATAACATCTAGAGACGGTTTGGGCAGATATTAGCTAATGAATGCTAGTTGCTAATACTGCCCTGTGAATATGCATCATCCATGTTAGCTGTGGCTTTCTGGATTGACTTCAGTGAGACAGTTCAGTTGACCAATTACTAATCCCCATTGTTTTGCTCATTAAAAATAATGAAACTGTTTTATTGTTATGCTAAATTAGGTTGATGCAGACACAATTTCACACTGCATACATAAAGATTGCAAGGAATCGTTTCCTAGTAATTAACTAGTAATTATTGATGTGGCTTTTACCATCAGTGATAGCGTTACACCTGATGATACTGAAAACATACAATTACTGTGACTTTGCTTCATGAATACTAGTTTCATCTGGCAAGTACACCTTGTGGCCCGACAGGCTAGCAGCAGCCGCAAAAAAAACATTTCTAACACAGTAAACATTTATGTTTTGTGAGATCAGAACTTTGTCACTGCAGACAAACTACATAATGGTGTCCAGAGGCTTCTAGCCCAGTGCACAGCTGGTCAGTATGTAAGAGTCAAACATCAACAGTAAGTTACTCACCAGGCGATGATTCTTCCTCATCTCACCTTTGGTCTAAAAAACAAACATCCAGTTAAGTCAGCAGAACATATGATTTAGTTCAATTTTAAATTTTGTGTATCAACACACGTACCGGGGTTAATTTCCCAGTGAGCAGCAGCAGCAGGGTACTCTTCCCCACACCATTGGGTCCAACTATACAAACTAGATGAAGGAGGAAAAAATGAATGTCAGCATTTAATTTTTTTTCCTCCACATTACCCTAAAATCATAACAGAAGCTGCATACTTACTCCTGGACTCCATGTCAATTCCAAAGTCCACATTTTTGAAAAGTGGCTTCTGACCCTCATAGCCAAAGTCAACACCTGGATAGGGGAGAAACCACTGAGTCAAAATGTTGACCACCTTTAAGCAACATTCTAAGTCGAATTATTTGTTTCCATCAGCTGGTGTTAAGAAAATACACTATGACGCGATCAAACGAGCAACAGTGACTCTGGTATACTACAGCTTTTTGTTCCTCAGATGGCATTAATATGATTTTAATGGACGACACCCACAGGCTGTGGATTTGTTTGGTCAGCTGACAAAAAAGAAGGAGGTATGACATGCAAAAAGGTCTCTGGACGGATTAGCCCACATTTGCAGCCGTCCACCCACTCCAGGTCAATTTTCACACCTTTTTTTAAATGTAAAAACTGCATTTCAAAGCGGAAACTGAAATTACTATCAGTAAAATGTCATAGTAACAGTAACCAAGGAAGATAGGAACATGTTTTAAGCTTTGCCGTCTCCCCTCTGTGACATTTATTTGACTGACAGATACTGTTGTCCTGATGATGTCCTGACTGAAGGTATGACATGTAGTCCGCCCTCACCTGCCTCCTTCTGTGTATCTGTGTTTAGATAAGTTAGCAGCAGCCTGTACTGCTGAGACATGTTCGGTACAGTTTGGCCCTGAGCACTGCAGGGGTTCTTACTGTGAAGTCCCAGTATGGGTGGTGAGAGGGGAGGTGGGTTGGGGAAGGTGAACTTGACGGTGTACTCTTTAGGCCTCTTCAGAAGCTCTGTGGCGTCCTGGCTCTCCTCCTCCTGACTTCCCTTCTTCTTGCCTTTCTGTTGCTTCCTGGTCAGGACATCTTTAGTTTGCTTCTCCTGAGGGGGGACATTTAAAGACCGGTGTCAGCTGCAAAAACCACCTGAGGCAGAATGGATGGATACAGCATTTGTGTCAAATGGGAATGGCAAGGGGTGGCATACCCCACAGCTTAGCTTGAGTCAGAGGTTTAAGTTGTTCCTTAGCTAAAGACTTTATAGGCCTGTTTCAACAGCATCAACTGTGAGAGTGAGGAACTCGTGATCCTTCCATGAAGCAACTCACCTTGCCCCAGTGATGGAGCTTCAACTGGTGTGTTTTGATTCATGTTTTTAATTCATGTAGGCTAATCTGTTAAGAAATTGGTTTTCTCTTTAAATCCTGGTTCATTTCAAAAAGGGGTCACCTTTCAGATTTATGAAACTGGTCCTTGGGGGGACAGCCATACTCACAGCCTGTTTGGTGGACTTGCCACCTGCCTTCAGCTCTTTGAGTTTCTTCTCCTGCTTGTCGTACTGTTTCTGCAGTTCCTTCTGCTTCTGCACGTACATCTTCTTGAAGGTCACTGAATCAAAGCAAAGAAAAAGCACTCAGTAAGTAAAACTATAAACTAACCCAATCCCAGTTTCCTACATCATCATCTCATAATAGCAACTGCTTCACAAAGAGAGCACAAGAAAACACAAGTAGTACAGCCATGTGGTTTTAAAGGAAAACAGATAAAAGCAAAAAAAAAAAAAACATTCTAGGGAATTAAAAGACAGTTGAAATAAAAGTAAAACTCAAGTATAATCAGCAGACACTTTGATAAAAGCTGGTTTTAAGAAGGGACTTTAAGGAGATCACTGACTCTGCCAACCTGATTTCCTCCTCAGATCCTCCTCATTTTTAACCATGGATGGTTAAAATCTATTCGAAAGCTTACTGGGAGCCGGTGTAAAGAGGCTAATTCATCTCAATCCTCCCATTTTCCAACTGCTCTTCTATTTTAGAGCATTGATTATTAAGTTTAATTCCAACTGTGAGAGCTACAAAAAATATGTAACAAAACTGCTAGGCAAACAGTGAATTTCAACACAGACATGTACCTCTACAGATTCAGTTTCAGATGCATTAAGGTTCTTAGCTAGAAAAAAACCGACAAAACAAATGGAGGGAAAAAGATAATTGAATTGTATTAATTTCAGAATCATGTTATCTTAAAACAAATATACACATCCCCGATCTGTAAGGACACTTACAGTAGTTCCCTCTATAATAGTAGAGCTTCTGGTTGTCTAAGTGGACGATATCTGTACACACATCGTCAAGGAAACTCTGGTCGTGGGAAACTATGAGCAGAGTCTTCTTCCAGCCTTGAAGGTAGCTGAAAGTGGAAAGAGAACGCACAAATGTCTCTACAGGACCAGCACAGACACACAGCTACTTCATTCTCCTTAGAGAACATGCAAATCTAAATTCACGTACACTTCTTCCATTTAGGAGCACAGTGAAAAAAGTAACAAAGCTTATTAACAAACAATTTATTACATACATATGTATACTGTGTGTGTGTCTTCACTGGTTTCACATCATAATTGCACACAAGGAGGAGGACTATGGAAGTGAGGAGCCTGGTACCTGGACAGTCGGCATGATGTCAAAGCTTTTTAAAACATTGAAACAGATTTTAAAACCCTGTTCACTCATCACATGATGAGAGAAACACTACTCAGAAAACTCTACTCTGATTGGGGCACTGCGGCTTGCTGAATGTGGGACGCATTTAGTAAAACAGATGTAAAATAAGAGACCGTTCCACCTCTTTCACCAGGAAAACAACAATGTAAGTTGTTTGTTCAGCAAGTTGTAACGACCCACATTTACGTATATAAATAAAAAAGAATGGTGTTCATCCCTCTAACAGAGTTCCACAGTTGCTAAGGAGCCCTGAAGCTGTTCTGGAGGCTGGTGGAGGCCTGACTGTGTACTGAGACGCTTCATGCTGTTTTTGTCTTTAATTTGTCACCATCTGTAACGCTGCTTAGCTAAATTAATTATTATAAACTACCTTTATTAACTACACAGTGCTGTGATCCAGGAAAAGCATTAGATTGAAAAGCTGCTCGTACTTATTGAGCCAGATGACGGCGTTCAGGTCCAGGTGGTTGGTGGGTTCGTCCAGCATCAGGAGAGTGGGCTCCATGAACAGAGCTCTGTGGGGACAGAAGGTAAGTGTGTGTGAAGAAGAACATCTAACAGGGTAATGATGGACCAGTTTCATCCATGAAGTTTGTAATGGTGTACCTGGCGAGGGAGACTCTCATTCTCCACCCTCCAGAGAACCTTTTGGTGGGTCTGTTCTGCATCTCAGGGGTAAATGACAAACCAGCCAGGATCCTTCTGGCCTTGGCCTCAGCTGCTGCAGCTCCGATTGCCCTCAGCTCTTCATAGACCTGAGGAGCAGCAGAACCAGAGACAGGTCAGATGGGGATTCAAAGCTTCAGTGTGAATATTTGAAGCTATGTCGAGGTTCTGGGGCTGGCCCAAATGTCACTTTATGAGCTTTGAAGCTTCGACGGCGCCGGCAGACAGCTACTGTTCCTGCGAGGCAGTGGTGGCCAAAAGGTTAGAGAAGCGAGCTTGTGACCAGGAGGTAAAGCTGGGTGTCCAGGTGTGAATGTGTAACTGTGCGATTCTGGCTTTAAAGGTTTAAAAAAAATAAAATACTGTCGCGTTTCGCCGGCTGTGAGCAGGCAGTAATTTATTTCAGCAATGTATTTCATAGATTGAAGCAGAACAACAGAAGGACGAAGGCCCAAAAAGGTCTGGCAATGACATGAGTGAGTGAGAAACCTGACAAGCACAACTTGTAGACAGGGAGAAAGAGAGAGAGAGAGCTGTGTTCCTTTATTTACATGTTGTGGAAAAGGTTGTGTTTAACTTGTGGCCAGGCTCCCAAGTGCAGGACTAAGAGAGGGAGGAGATAAAAGAGGAATATTTATTGCAGTGTTGAAGTGATTGGAAATTGAACCGGGAAAGAGCGAGATAGAGTGGAAGACTAGATCCTGCAGAACCAGGTTGGTGGCTGCAGTGCAGAGCAGAGGGAACCATAGCTGAGAGTCCAGAGGGTGAGAGGCTGAACTGAGCAGGTCCAGAACAGATCACGGGAATTTATTAAGCGGCCGGGGGTCCAGGGAAAGCAGACAGGATGAGCAGAAAGTAACACCACATTATTATGCAAAATTCACTTTTAGCTTTTTGTTCTTAAACCCCATAACTGCCACAGTCATCAGTTTAAAGCGCTCCCACAGAGCTGAGGGCTTCATTTTGTTTTCCCTTTAATGTGAACTGGAGAGTTACGTTCACTGCTGTGAGGGGAGGTCAGGTGTGCCAAGAAAAAAAAAAAGAAGATAAAAATCAATATTTGAATCCTAACACTGAAAACCGAATGTGTACCCAACAATCGAATACTCAATTACTCCTTTCCTCATCAGGAAGGAAGAAGTGGTTCCTGCTCGCCTGTTATAAGGCTAGATTTGCCATATAGTATATTACATGACAACATCTGTGCAAGTTAAAAATAATTTGACTTCACCCCGTTGACCGTTTCTAACGGCAAAGCAGAGCACCAACCCAAACCCTACAGTCCGCAGGTAACAGTAAAACATATGACACTGGCAAGCATCTGAAGTTCCCACTTGTCCTGGACAAAGTACAGTTGATATAATGGATGTGGATTCCCGCGGTCACAGCTGCTACCACCTCACTTCGCCTGTTTCTCCTCTGCTCCACTTGTGTGTCCCCTACGCCCACACATACAGATGTTCGGTTGTGCTGCCTTTCAATCTATCTGGCCAGTAAATGACAAGATTTTGTTCTGGAGCGTTGAAGAGATGGTTCTGGGATGAAGACATTTATGTCCGAGACACAGAGGTACAGTGGCCCTAACTAAACACAGGTTCCTGGTACTGGATATGGTCTCTCACCTTCTCCAGCCTCTCAGCCACACAGTCCTCTCCCCTCTCCAGACGAATCTGGAGCCGTTTCTCCTCCTCCAGAAGCTTCAGGCGGCGGGTGTCGGCCTTCAGCACCGCCTGCACCGCCGGCGTGTCATCAGCTACCACCTCTAACAGGAACACAAGTACATGACACAGTCAGCGGGAGACCACAGGATAGAGAAACAATGGAGAGCACAGGTCCCTTACCCTGTTCACACAGCAGCACATCAATGTTGGGGGGAATACTGAGCGCTCTGTTGGCTATGTGTTTCAGTAATGTGGTCTTTCCTTTGCTGAAAGATGGAATGATGACAAGAGAACACTGAATCAGTTATCAATTTCTACCACAATGAAACCTGCAGTGGGCTATTCCTGCTTGGGCAGCAGCACTATTAAGAGAGCAGGGGAGCGTTTGGAGAGGATGAAAATGATGTGAATAAACTGCAGCAGCCTCAGTCACCACATCGCAACCCAGTTTCACAGCTGGAAGATTTTGGACCACCGGCGAAACGATATAAACTTATCTTCAGATCTATGTAGTGCTGTCAGTGACGGTCTCTGGCGCTGTGTCTTGTTGTTCTCTCTGGCTGTGTGTCTTTCTGCTGGACTTGGCTCTATCTGGATCTCAATGAGGTGATTTGATTAAATAAAGGTGGTGTATAGAAATGAAGGAGTATCTGGTGGAGGAATAGGGACCCAACTGTCTGTCACCTGTCTGTATGTGTACAGTGAAGTCTAAACCATAAATTGTAGTGCTGAGCTAACTGCAGATAAATTGGTATCAGTGTACAGCTGATAAATGACAATTTAAAAACAGAGAAACTGATCCCTCAGTCATGTTATGAGTGTTGTGGTTGCACAGGTTTTCCACCAGAGGGCAGACTGCAGCTCCCCTGTTGCCGACACAAGTTCAGTATTATTTCTAACAATGAAAAAAAGTTGATTTTTAAACTGTAGTATGTCATGTTACTTTGGTGAGGTCTCATAACTACACATAACAAATGCTAGGGATAATATTTGTTTGTTTTTTCTTCTCTTCAGAAACATAAAGAATATTGGCTGATATATTGGAATTTTGGATTTTAAAATGCTCAAATATCAACATTGTTATTGTTCTTAAAACTCCTGTATCAGTTGGGCTCTATAGTGTATGTTACAAAACATTTTTTAGGGGGTGTTACACAGTGCAGCTATTACCAGCTAATAACAGCTTACTATGACATATATTGTAGATATGGCTTTAATTACTCACCGGCCACTTTATTAGGTACAATTCATTATTAGGTTCAATTGCTTGTTAACACAAATTGCTGAACAGCCACATAGCAGCAACTCAATGCATTTAGGCATGTAGATGTGGTCAAGACAACCTGGTGAAGTTCAAACCGAGCATCAGAATGGGGAAGAAAGGGGATTTAAGTGACTTTGAACATGGCATGGTTGTTGGTGCCAGACGTGCTAGTCTGAGTATTTCAGAAACTGCTGATCTACTGGGATTTTCACGCATAACCATCTGTAGGGTTTATAGAGGATGGTCTGAAAAATATCCAGTGAGCGGCAGTTGTGTAGAAGAAAATGCTTTGTTGATGTCAGAGGAGAATGGGCAGACTAGTTCCAGATGACGGAAAGGCAAAAGTAACTCAAATAACCACTCGTTACAACCAAGGTATGCAGAACACCATCTCTGAACGCACAACACGTCCAACCTTGAAGCAGATGGGCTACAGCAGCAGAAGACCACTCCTGTCAGCTAAGAACAGGAAACTGAGGCTACTATTCCCACAGGCTCACCAAAACTGGACAATAGAAGAAAAATGTTGCCTGGTCTGATGAGTCTCGATTTCAGCTGCAACATTCAGATGGTAGGGTCAGAGTTTGGCATAAACAACATGAAAGCTTGGATCCATCCTGCCTTGTATCAACAGTTCAGGCTGCTGCTGGTTGTCACAAAGCTCAAGTCATCTCAAACTGGTTTCTTGAACATGACAATGAGTTCTCTGTACTCCAGTGGCCTCCAGTCACCAGATCTCAGTCCAATAGAGCACCTTTGGGATGTGGTGGAACGGGAGATTCACATCATGGATGTGCAGCCGACAAATCTGCAGCAACTACGTGATGCGATCATGTCATCATGAACCAAAGTCTGTGAGGAACGTTTCCAACACCTTGTTGAAAGTATGCCACACAGAATTAAGGCAGGTTTGAAGGCAATAGTGGTCCAACCCGGTACTAGCAAGGTGTACCTAATAAAGTGGCCGGTGAGGGGGTGTTGAAAGATAACACGAAACGTCAAAGATACGTTTAAGGTCACTTAGAAACAGTGTCTCCGTTACATCCCACATTGTCCACCTGGAAGTCCTGACGAGAGTGTGATCGATTAACTAATTCCTAAACTGTTCAACACCCAATCATACAAGGTTGTTTATTTGGCGTTATACAGCACAAGGCTGCATCACGAAACAAAATTTGTAGTTCCTTCATGTGACACACACAACATATAATTAAGTGTAGGTCTATTTTAAAATATAGTAACATCCATCCATCATCAACCGCTTATCCTGCGTACAGGGTCACGGGGGAAATATAGTAACATGTAAAATAAAACAAAACAATATATACAGTTATTACAAGTCTCTGTGCCTCTATTCATAGCCAATAACTGAAAATAAACTCGATATTTACCCATTTGGCCCAACCAAACCATATCTTCTTCCAGCCACAACCAAAAGGTCAGCATTGACGAAAAGCTCCTTGCCGTGAGCAGATATACTGAACCTCTCCAGCTAACGGACACACAAGAGATCTTCATTAACAGAGAATGCATTTCCCAAACTTTGTTTTTCATTTTTAAAAGCTTCTTAAGCATTATGGTTCACATTTCAAGAGAACAGGATTTTTAGACACAGGCAATTAAAGCACATTTTAGGCCATTCATTGAGAAGATTGTAATAAGAGTGTAACCTTGATATCAGAGGCATTCTCCAGCATGGCCTGTCTAGAGGACATCTCAGCCTGGGAAATGGAGAAATCTCCCTCCAAAGCATTCTGAGCTCGAACACTGGCCACCTGCCGCTCATACTCCATCTGTAACGACGCACCAACACAGAGAAATGAGAAGCCGAAGGACACAAAACAACACTTGTCATATCACCAGAGTTATTTTCTTTAACTTAAGACTTAAAGTTTAACCTAATCTACAGAAGACAGATTATACCCATGTCCCAGTAAGAGTGGGCAAGATTAGTTTTCTACCAACACACATACATTTCTAACACATTGTTACCACATCAAAAAAGAAAGCGATATTTAGATTTTATAGGGCTCCAGTCAAAGATTAATTTTATTAAAGATTAATCTGTTATTGTTCGGATTAATCAATTATTCGTTTGGTCTCTCAAATGTCAGAATATAGTGAAAAATGCTTGTCACAGTTGCCTAATGGCCAAAGACATACACAGCAGAGAAAAGCAGCAAAAGCTCACACTGGAGAAGGTGGAACCAAAGAACATTTTATAATTTACACTAGTCAGTTCTATCAACTGACTAATCAGTTGATGGTTTCAGTTGGCCATTTCCACACAGAAATACGAACAGTTAAAGTAGTAGTGTTGCATATTTTTGAATACTGGAACTGATAATTATAGTCATAATGACAATAAGAATAATAAATAACAACAACAACAATTGCGGCTGATGTTAAGGAATCTTAAGGCGTGTTGCTTAAGTTTTAAAATGTGTTTCTAGCTGTTTTGCACATTCAGTGTATGCCTGTATGTGTCTACATGCGTATCTGTTTGCTATATAAATGAAATAAACTGAAACTTCATCACACGTTTTCACAGGCTGAACAGCTCTTCTCATGACTTTGACATGTAAAATAAATAAAGATACATAATTATCCCAACATAGCAGCAGACATAGTGAATACCTGTTTCTTTTTCTTCTTCTTCTCCTTTTTGCTAAGGTTAGCCAGCGGATCATCTTCCTGCTGCTTGGCCTGTTCTGCTATGACGTCCTCAGCACTCTGGTGGTTCCAGCCAGAGAAAGGGAAACATTAACACACTGACCCAACCCAGAGAAGGGGACAGCTTTGTGGAGGACAGCTTTGTGGAGGACAGACATACCATCATCATGCCACCACCATCACTGTCCTCCTCCTCCTCATCCTCGCTGTGTGGTCGCTGAGCAGGTTTTTCTTTCTACATGGGGTTAAATCAGAGAACGGTTACCTGGAAGACGCTGAAAATCAGATCCAAATAAAAGAACAAAAACAGATGTGCTTATTACTTGCCTTTTGTTGCTCTTTCTTCCCTTTCTTTGGCTTTTCGTCCTCATCGTTTTCTGGTGACTAAAAACAAGTTGTTTTTTTTAACTAATCCTTTATTTTCTAAACCCAGCTAAAAACTCAGACATTAAAAATGCATACAAAAAAATAATAAAAATAAAAAGGTGTCCAGGGTTAGATCAACACATTTTACTCTGCATCGAAAATGAAAACAAATCAAATGTATTAGCTTTTCCAGGAAAGCATCAAAGAAAGCCACACTTTCACTGACCGTCTTCTCTTACTGAAAGTATTTCAGGCTGTGTTGTACGATTAAATTAAATTTAATAAATAAATGAGGAATAATGGAAGCCTATGTTTGCTTCTTTTTATATGCCATGCTGTAGATTAGTGAGGTTTTTAAAGCTTTGCAACATTGTAGATTTTGTGTGTTGCGCTAACTCACGAATAACAACTGAAAACGCTGAAGTTTTAACCTTTCTGCGAGGCCAAACTGTACGACTTCAAAACTCACAATGAACAAACTGACCGGTCACAACGCTGCATGCATACACAGAACGCTGGGCCCGTACTTATCAAGTGTGTCCCTCCTTGGAAGTTCATAAACTGACTCATGGAAGAGAGTGTGACAGCCACAAAATAGAAATTGTAATAATTTACTGTAGTTGCGGCTTGGAGTATTAGACGATAAAAAACTTTGAAATGCAGAAATTATGGATCAGTGGTGGAGAAGGCAGTGCTTTTCTGCAAGCCTTTATGACGTGTAACACCAGACAGCCAATCACCAGCATTATTAGATCTTGGTACAAGCAAGCTGCATGCTTATTGGCTCACTGATGCTGATTAGATTTACTACAGAAATCTGGTAATAAATAACAAGGCAATTTTGTGACACTCATTAGTATCAAAGAAACTACTTTTGATAAAAGTACCAAAGTTTGGGGGAAGATGCTGCCGAAACGTATAGAGAGAAGAGCCATCTGATTGGCTGGACGGCAGCGTGTTTCCCTGTTTACATACATACAGTTTCATATTTCCAGCAGGCATTTCAAAATGCTTCTTCAAATAGCAGTCTGAACGCTGTGCTGTACAGCCACCACAAAGCCAGAGCGCATTTGTTCGAATGCTGAAATTTTTTCCCTACTTTATTGAATAGAAAAGTTCAAACAGACATCTGTAGAACATACAGGTTCATTACAATACCTATATTTCAGAACATGACTGGGAAAAGATAATCATTTCAATTAGCAGGTAAAATAAGTTATATAAAGTGATAGCTGTTTTATAAAAGTGAGAGAGGGGATTACTTAAAATACAAATAATTCAAAAACAGGAGATCTGTGTGTGCGTGCAATTGGTTAGCACCACTAACATGTTTCAATCCCTTCCTGTGCATCTCTGATATCTTGCACAATGACAGCAGCAATGATGTTGCAAAGCCTCTGTGGCCTGTGGCACACCAGTCTATGGAGAACCCTGGATCTGCATTCTCCTAAATATCACCCTATACAGGAGGAGTAGTAGAAAGTTAATAGAATACTTTTACTCCTACTCCTAAAAGTAGGACCAAAATGTGTCACTTGATAAATACAGGCCCTGATTTGTCCACTGATCATTCCAATAAGTTTTAGTGAAAACAGATGGATATGCCCTTAAAAATTCTACTTTCAACAGCAAGAGGTAAAAAAGAAGAACTGGGAGCTGCGTATGGCTGGAAGATATGGCCAATATAGTCAGGTTGTACATGAGACGGTATAAACACCATTTAATCTCTTCTTTTAACTCTTGTACTTTGGTAAATTATTTTTAGAGCAGATACACACAGCTTCAACATGTGGAGGCCTAAATGTAGTTGCTGAGCTGATTGGAAAATCACTGTTCTGGGGCTGGTTTAACAATCAGACAATTCAGCGTTAAAATCATGTTTAATCTGCACAGTTTCACTCATTTATTTAGAAAGATTTAGCAGCACCCACCTTGGACTTGACTTCTACCTTCTTGGTCTTATTTGCAGTTTTTTCTTCACCATCATCCTTCTCTGCCTCCTCCTCCTCCTCCTCCTCCTCCTCGTCAGATGCAGCCTGCCAATTTCACATGCACAAATCAATCCGAGCAAAGTTTGTTGCATCTGTAAAATGTGTAGAGACCAATTCAGTTATGGAAAAGACCGGTGAACTGTCAGGCAGAGGGAGATGAGAGTCACACAGAAAAAGTAAACTCTGTAACACCAATCTGTCCTGTCATGTTTTGGCCATGGATTAATGAGTGGATGGGAAGCATGCAGGACGATGACATAGGACAGAAAGATTTTCCAGCACCCACCTTCACTTTCCTGGGCTTAGGTTTATGTTTTTTCTTGCCCTTCTCAACCTCCTGTTTTAAAGACACACAGACACGTACAGATATACCCAGAACTTTAATGTAGATCCACTCCGCTGTTAAAACAGAAACGTTACTGCTACAGGGCTCCAGACTAACTAAGGGGCCGTCCTACCTGACCCGTGAGCCAAACTGTAATTTGTTGTTAACTGCTATTAAAAGTTATCCAGGCCGCTCAAACTAAGACAAATCCCATGTATACTGCACATTTATTATGACGTCATTGACCTTCTTTCAGCTTTACACAGTTAGTACAGTAAGATTGTCATTCACGTCTGCGGTAACATCTCCCGATCAGAGTTCACTGAATAACCTTCGTCATGCATTGAATTTTAATAACAATGATTGAAAGATCTCAAGGTGATCCATCATTTTGACAGATGTACTGTGTGTTCACACAGGAAGCAAAGTGATTCTTTCACATGGCGTTATTACATACAAAGACATCATGCTGCGTTCCAGGCAACTCGGAACTTGGAAATTTCCGACCTCCAACTAGAAAAAGTACCATGGAACAGCACTTGAAGTCGGATTTCCTACTAGCAGCTGAATGACGTCACACGACAATGGCAGCTCCCATGGAAGCACACTTTGTAAATGGTAAACAACCTAAAAAGGCAACAAAACATATTTGCATGTATTTAATTAAAAGTATAAATACTATCATATAGTAAATCCTGTTCTGCATGTAAATTGATGTAGAAAAATGTTGCTAGGTAGCTGGTTATACAAAAGAATCTCTAAAGGTATATTCTCTGAACAAGAGTTATTCAGTAAAAATGTAAAAAATGCCAAAACATTTGAAAACATTAGGAAATATAATGTCCAACCTTTTCATTCTTTAGAGGATGACCACTTCAGTCACCTGTTCATTAAAAACACCATCATTTTAATTAACACCAAGGGCAATGGTGGGTGTACACCTGACAAAGAGTTTGTCACGGTCAGCCATATTTTCTGTCAGGCACCACCATGCACCTGGAACGCTTTGAAGTTGGAAGTCGGATATTTCAACTTGGAAATATCCCAGTTCCAAGCAGAGTGGAACGCAGCATTAGAATAGATGTGACGGGTATCGCTTGAGTTGAATTTCAGCGGGATTCTGCTCTGATCCGGAGCCATTTACCAGCAGTGAGCCACAGAGTTTCAGACCTCCACTGTCTGTGGGCACCCAGAGCTCTGCGAAACCACGTCATACCAAACAGAGACCGGATACAACATCAACCAATGAAGCTGTATATATTGTTCAGTTATTTACATTTACAGTGGAGCAGCTTCTATATGGCATTATTTAATTAATACATGGCTGTGTCTCCCTTCAACAAACACCTTGTTAATCCCCCCCCTCCTAAAAGAAAGCTGTGACTGCAGCCTGTTAGTAACTCCAAAAGGTAATAATTTCATTTTAACATGCAGAGTTGAGGTCAGTGAACACCACGCATTAATGCTGCGTTTGATGCCATGTGAAATACAGCACTGTACCTTTGTTTCTGGTTTATCCTCATCTGAATCAGCGTCCTCATCCTCATCACTGTGGCCCTGGCTGAGAGCAGCAAAAATGTTTCCACCCTGAGGGACACCAGAGAGGCTTTACTCTGCATGCAGCATGTGAAGAGTCAGGACGGTGGAGGTAGGCTCGTCACAATGAGACGATGGCCTAATCACCTTCATTTGAGCTGACTGCACGATTGTTAGATTCCACAGTGAAGGCAAGTATAAGCGAAGTGCATGAAACAAACCACAGCCACGTTTCCATCAGGCTTTCCACGTCATTTTCCACCGTTTGAGGTTTTCCTGACACTCTTAATTACACCATTTACAGACAGTCCTTTGCTGCTTAATGTCACTATGTTTAGAATTGTTGTGCAGCGTAACTGGACAAACAGCTGATCTGTCATGTAATATTTGCCACATCACTATTTATTTGACAGACACATTTTCAGCGATAATTTGTCGCATTAACTCTTTATAGACTAAAGGAATAAACACCTCAAGCGAGTGTGAAACCTTTTTAATGATACTGTGGAAGTTTTCATCCAGCTTTTCTAATTAATAAAACTTCTTGGATGGAAACATGGCTTGTGCTTCCCCGTTGCATAGTAACTTCCAAAATTAAAATTAGCATCCTTCTAAATTAACTGTCTTAAACCACTTTTTTGTACATTAGATCGTCATACACAACAGTTTTAGAACAAGCTATTTTAAATAAATCAATGTACAGCAGAGCAAGATGCGAATAAAGATAAAGATAAAGAATACAACAATACAATCGTTAATTGCAATTATCAACTACAACTTCATGGTTGTGCCAGCCCTAGAGAGGTGAAGCAAAATGTAGACTAATGACAAACCTTAGTCTTCTTTCCTTTGCTGGGGACAGGGACTGTGGAAAGGAAAGGAAAGCACACTGAATAATGACTGTACAAATGGGAGAATTATTTCATTGCAAGGTTCAGTCTTAAGCAGACCTGGCTCATCTTCCTCATCACTTGCTTGCACAGAGAGCTTTTTCAGCTTCAGCATCACATCTTCATCATCAGCATCCTCATCTGCATCTCCACGTTTTCCTTTCCGCCGGTCTTTCTTCTTTTTCTGAGGCTGGAAAGAACGGTTTCAAATGAAATGTCAAAAGTAGACAGAATCTGATCCAAGTTTGGAGGTTTGAGAATCAGGCAAATGTATTTTAGCCACCAAGCCATATCACTCTCCAGACACCACACTCCTTTGACAAAAAACGGCCATTTTACCTCACTCGCTTATTTGCTTGTGAGACTTTGGTATTAACATGTTAGTTCAGATCCAAACTAAGCCTTTAAAACACAAAACTCACACGATCAAAGCAGTGGTGAAAGAGCAACTCCCATGTTCTGTGGGGTAAAATTACAGTTTTTGTCAAAATAGTCTGGTGGCTTTGATGAGAGTGATACAGGGGCTTCGGTTACCTGTCAGAACGGGCAGTCTAAGTATATGAATTAATACTTAATATTCTAAGTATAGCGTACACTTAAACAAATATTGCATTTTTTATTTTATTTTTTGGTGGCTAAAATACGTTTGCTGCTGTCCCCGACCCCAGCAGAACGTTCTGTACCTCCAAACTGGGGGCATGCTGAAGGTCATACAGGTGCATCTCAGAAAATTAGAATATTGCGAAAAAGTTTCTCTTTAACCGTAATTTAAGTCAAAAAGTGAAACTTATATATTTTAGATTCATTACATAAAAAGTGAAATACTTCAGGCCTTTTTTTTTTAAATTTTAATCTTGATGATTACAGCTTACAGCTCATGGAAATCAAAGATCCATATCTCCAAATATTAGAATAACGAATGTATAATACAGAAATGTCGACCTGGTTCAGAACACACAACCACAATTATGGGAAAGGCTTCTGATTTGACAGTTGTCCAGAAAAACTAATGCTAAAGACTGAGATCACAGAACTGGATCTTTCCCTGCTGCAAGCCAGAAACGTTACGTTAGCCAGCCAAATGTCCACATAGTTGTTTTTAATCAGTGCATCAGTCATCCTGATAGTTACAGACCTGCTTTCAAATGAAAGATTACCTGTTTTCCTTGTGTGTCTTTCACAGCCACCTCATCCACCTTTTCAGCTTTGCTTTCTGTGGAGAGTTCTTCAAAGAACTGGAGAGAAATATTCAAACAAATCCGATGAGACACATCGCACCACAGAGACAAAACATTTTTAATACTTAGAAACTAAAGAAATGAGACAATGTAAGTACTCACACTCTTTTTCCCCTTTTTGTCTTTCTTTCCTTTCTTCACAGTTTTTTCTGCTGAATTTCACAAAAACATCAGTGGGCATTAGTGAGCTGAGAAACTGTCTGTACAGCACTGTCAGATATTATCAAGACAGTGACACGTACGTACTCCAGTGCACTGTACTTGAAATCCATCAATGACTATGACGTTAAGTGTTGACTGTCAGCTTTAACTGGAGGATGCTGACATCCTTAGATAAACGGTGTAGGACTTGTAGCCCTTGTTGCAGTCAATGAAAACCTTTAGATTGTCTGCACTTTACACCAACATCATCAAAACACCAAATGAAGGAATATCTTTTGGAAAATATCTTTCCATCCCCCCAGTAGAGGACACACAATCGGACAATCTACACTACCAAAAAAATAAGGGAACACTTAATCATCACAGTTTAACATCAAGTCTGTTAAACTTCAGGGATATCAATCTGTCCATTTCAGGAAGCATAAGCGTTTGGGATCCTGTGTTGGTGCAAATGACTACAGCCAGGTGTGCTGGCATGTTTCTGACCATACGGTCAGAAATGCGGGTGCGGGTGACATAAGGGCCTGACGTCCTCTAGTCAGATCTGTGCTCACAATCCAGCGCCGTGCAGCTCAATTGGCATTTGCCAGAGAACACCAGAATTGGCACGTCTGCCACTGGTGCCCCGTTCTCTTCACAGATGAGAGCAGGTTCACACTGACCACATGTGACAGATGTGAAAGAGTCTGGAGAAGCAGTGGTGAACGTTAAGCTGCCTGCAAAATCATCCAGCATGACTAGTTTTGGCGGTGTGTCAGTGATGGTCTGGGGAGGCATTTCCTTGGAGGGCCGCACAGACCTCCACGTACTAGCCAACAGTAACCTGACTGCTGTTAGGTACCGAGATGAAATCCTCAAAGTCACTGTCAGACCTTACGCTGGTGCAGTGGGCCCTGGGTTCCCCCCGGATGCAGGACAGTGCCCGGCCTCATGTGGCCAGAGTGTGTAGGCACTTCCTGGTTGACGAAGGCACTGATTCCATTAAGTGGCACTCACGTTCCTCAGACCTGAATCCAACTGGGATCCTCTAGGACATTATGTGTTGTGCATCTGATGTCTAGCTGGCCTGTGTCCTGTACTACGAATGGAGTTTAACCTACTCTGACTTAACCCAGGGTTGACAAACTGACCGCCTACACTGGTGTTAAACAGTACTACGACGGTGAATAAGATGTTAGTTAGTTTTGTCGGTGTAAAGGATTAATTACCAAATCAACCAAATCTGAAAAGTCAACAAATCCAAGCAGAAATAAGTCTGTGGAAACAGTTTCTCAATGACCATCTGTCAGTTTGGTCCTTAAAAGTAAGACTGGTCTCTGGAAATGTGTTGAATTATTAGTTGCATAATTTTAATGATAGCCTTTATTTTCAAAGTCTCCATTCTGTCTGAAATACAGTTGGCAGGCGGTAGATCGTTTTATTACTATTAACGTTAATTATAATAATTAATCTTAAAATATCCTAAATAGGTTTTTTATGTTTTTTGATTCATATTGAAATAATCATGTGTAGATTAGTTCTTACACGGTCATAACGTAATGTCTAATACGTAACTTAGCGCAAAACTACGTGGGGACAGTTTGAAAGCGGAGGCTGGCTTTACAGCAGTGCTAAGTTGTGGGTTAGCAAACTGTCGCTCCAGCTGCTGCTGTGAAGCTAACATGAAGCTAACATGAAGCTAACCTGCAGGGAGGATGAGACGGTCCCAGAGCAGCACAGCTCATCACAGCTCATCACAGCTCTCCTGCTGCTATAACTAACACCACAACAAGAACATGTCTAGGCGAACTAGAAAGTAAGCTGAAGGTCAGAGGGCAAGTCATTTAACGTTACTGACACACACATCATACCTGGAACACTTTGTTTCCCATTTACAGAGCCAGTGTGAGTACAAACACAGGATTGTTTTCAGCGCACACAGAACGGACAGCTAGCTGAACGTGAGGAGATTTTCGCTGAAGTTGGCAAAAAGACGTGTAATGATTAGAACCGCTGACCGTGGGGTCAGAGATTCAATGCCTTTAACGTTAGGTGAATAGTCTTCAATCCGAATTGACCTGAAGATACTAAAGAATCATGAAAGAGTTTAAGTAGATTGTGACAAGATATCCACCGTTGCCAGTGAGCAGTTGAAGCAGAAAGAAGTTTAGCATAACTGGTACCTTATCTGGTTAGCTGAAAAACGCTACTGGCTAGCTTCTCACTAAACATTAATGTTATCTCACCAGCTGCCGAGGAGACGTCATCGTCCACCCACTCTGCGTCTTTCGATTTCTTCGGCATTTTGTTACTTTAACTACAACTTTATGAAAACAACGTAGCTAAAACGGTGTCCTTTTTTTATCCAGCGGGTTATCAGCCACACACATTTCATGCGGCCCAACCGACGTGATGGATAATGCACATGCCGGGTAGCCTTCTTCTTCTTCTTCCTTTGATTTTATTGGCGGTTGGCAAACAACTTTCGGCTGCATTACTGCCACCCACTGATCTGGCGTGTGCACTAAATCCTCTCTAATTAGTCTACAAAACAAAGAAATATTAACAAAACAAATAAACAAAGTAGAAATAATTAAATACATTAAAAGGAAAGAAATGGGGAAAAAAAAACAAGGATTTGTTTAGCTTATGACTAATATCTTGCTCTCCAATCTCATGGTGCATCCTTTAAAACTTCTCTCTCTGAATCATACTTCTGGCAATACAATAAGACATGTTCCACTGTTTCTTCCTCTCCACAATAATTTCCATTATTATGTTTTCTAATCATGTAGAGAGAACTATTTAGACCACTATGACCGTTTCTTAGACTTCTTACAACCCTCTCCTCTTCATCCTCCAGACACTTTACTCCATACTAATGGATTAACTTATCTTCCTTTACTTTCTTTTTTCTATTCATTCTGCCACAGCTTTTTGATTTGACCCTTTCTGCTTCTTCATTTGCCTTCTCATTCCCATCAAGTCCAACATGGGCCAACACATACCTAACGTAAATGCATTTGGTAATTTCTGAATAGTGATTGTTGTATTTCAAACCATACATCCTCTCTACTCCTGGAGTTGAAACATTTTAAACCCATTAATGCTGCACACAAATCTGATGCAATTGCCACTCTCTCTGGATTGTGCTGCTCTACCCATTCCAAGGAAATCATAATGGCCATCGTCTCACATGGTGATCGCGATGATATATCTTGTTTTTAACAAGGAATATCATCGTGATAACCTGGGTGAAAAGAGAGGACAAGGAGAAACAAACGGGGGACAAACAAACAGGGTTAGAGATGCAGTGGTTTTCAGAAAGTATTCTTGTCAACAGGACTAAGCCTAAGTACTAGACTTAATAGATTAATTGAGAATGAGACCAACCCAGATAAGGGTAACACATATATGGTTATTAACAGTTGCGGTTCTAGACCATTTTTATTAAGGGGGCCAGGCTGGGGCCAGTTGTTTTGTTAGAGGGGCACATTCAATCCGGGACAAAAGAGATAAAGGCAATGTTCAACCTTTAAAAATGTCTTGTTTAGTATATAATATAATGTTTTAGTATGTTTCAGCAACTTAGTTATTTCTTTCAGTAATCTTTTCAGAAACTTATTTTTATTAAATTACATTATACAAAAAAAACCTACCTGTTAACTTTAACTCAAGTTACAGGACTTTCTTTGATGCAACACTTCTTTGTAAAGTCAAAATTAAATCTCCCGCTAAGAAAAAATGGGGATTCAAGAACATGAAGCTTTCTCAGGTCATCTGAAGGAAGTTTTAAAGTACAAAAAGATTGTTACAGCGCATGTGAAACTCAACCATGATGATGGGGTCCGGGGTCTGTGTTACAGGGGCACTGGCCCTTGTTGCCCCCCCCCCCCAAAAAACGCCACAGGTTATTAAAAAGAAGCAGCTTGTTTTATTTTTAACAACCCAGCCAAATCTCTTTGTTGGCCTTTTCCTTGTTCCCAGCATGGCTCAATAGCACTTATTGCAGGATGGTTATTATGTCCTTGTAAATGAATCTAATATGTCATCATAATTTGATGTCTTCTTAACTCCAATGGGATTTGGAGCCCCACTACATATCCTTAAAGCTTTTGTTTGTATTACATCCAATTTTCTCTGTATTTTAGATCTATATTATATATTATTATTCCATGTATCACAGTGACTGCTAGCAGGGTAGCAGGATAACAAAGGTTTGGGCCAAATAGCAGACATCAGAGGCAAAGCAGGTACAGTCCAGTGATTTATTTAAATGGAAAAATAGGGGCTTTTCTGAAAGGTGAAGCAGGGTGCAAGGGTGACTACCAGATAAGAAGTCCAACTTAAACACGTGTCATAACCAGGTAAGCAGTCCAAGACAGGCCAACAATTCAAAAAGGATACAGGCAAAAATGCAAAATCCATGCAAGGTCTAAAGGCAACAAAGAATAAATCCAAACAAAGAACAGGTACAACATCGGAGAGAACACTAGGAAAAGGCTGGAACACTAGGATGGTAGATAACGATGAACCGGCAAGGAGTGAGGGGAACGGGCAAAGTAAAATACACCAGTGAGGAGCAGATAATGAGAGACAGGTGAAAACAATCACGGTGGGGTATACATTCACACAGGGGGGAAAACACAAGGGCAGGAAGTGGAGTGGTGTGAAATGAGAGGAAAGGTGAGAAACAAAGAAAAACAGGAAACACAGAATGAAAGAATGACACGGAAAAAACATAATCCAGGGACAAGTGTCCAGGGAGCTAAGGAATGGAGCTGGTTGTACAGCCCTCTGGATGGCCAGAGGGCTGTACAGTTGCTGAGCACAAGTCCTGAGGATCTCCGGGGGAACTGGAGGTTGCTGCAGCTCAGCAGGAACAAGTATCGACAGAGAACAGGAACTGATGTCAGATTGGCCGCTGACCGAGAACCAGTCAAGCCTAGTGGTAATTCGGTTGACCAAGGCAACTGAGTCCATGGGGGGACAGCCGAATCTCTAGGGGAGCCGGAGTCTCTGTCCCTAAAAACAAAAAAAAAGAAGAAGAAAAAAACAAACATCTCCAACTATACAGACGGGCTTCTTGCTAGCAGGCCAGAGTGACGACTGTTGGCTAGCAGCCCGGATGCTAGTATATCCGGCACCGAGTTGAAAGGCCAACATGATTGTTTTAAGATCTGCTTTCCCTTCATCCTTACTAATCCAGTCATCTTCCTATTCATTCCCCAAACTTGGTTAATTGGAGTCACAAAACATTACCAGTACTTCCACTATTCTGTGTCCTATGAGAAGAAATTGTATTTTCTGCATGCAAGCTCCTGAGACTGTTGCCACTAAGTCCACTAACACCAAAAAACGAGTAGCTCCCAGCACAAAAGAGACTCCAACACAAACTCCACGTAAGGATAAATACAACCATAGAGTTTTATGTGCTGGAGCACATCAGGCCAAATGAATCAGTTTGATAGATTTTTTGTGATGCTGTCTCCAGTGTATCAGACTCTGTTCTGTTTTGGCTCACTCATGAGTTTGAGCACGCACACACTCTTGGAAAGGTAATGGTTGGACACCGAAATGGCACAGCTGGAGGCTGCTGAAAACTACATATAGCCCCTATGAAGGCCTTATTACATTTCTTTATTACCTGCCTCTCTCACATTTTTATTAAATATTTCTACGTGTCTATGTAACTTGTCTCACTTATCGCCCTGAATTTAACCCACTGAGTGTTTCTATACCTTTCTGATATATCTTCTATGACCACCCTACATACACAACCTACTTTATATAAAGTGGGGTATGATCACTTCCAACAGTTGACACGATTCATTACCTCCCACAAACAGATACCTGCCAAGGACTGTGGTACTAATGTCTGAACTTGACTTTAATTTAATTACTCCCAACATTTAAACACACAAATCCTGTGGAGTCTATCAAATCCTTCACTATCAAACCATTCCTGTAAGTCCTATCCCCTCCCCAAAGAGTACTATGGACATTAAAATCAGCACACCAAATGGCCCTTCTACTATTTAGCCCCTTCATTGCTTCCAGTGCTTTAACCTCTGACATGGATTATGGAAATTCACAACAACTAGACTACCAACCAAACTCCCAACAGCTACATAGTCCAAATCTTTCAATTTTTTATATTGCACTATATGAAACACAAATCTCTATCCCATCTTATGCATCCATATCCTTGAATCACAAATTTAAATTTAAGCCCTAGCTCTTCAACACATATTATATCAGGTTTACATTCTAAACTCTCAAGAAATCATTTAAATTCTAGCATTCGACAGCAGACAGCTTGCATTCCACTGAAGAACTCGTCAGCCAAAGAAACTTACTGCAGCAGATGAAAGACACATCATGCTTATTTCCCTTCACAATCAGAAGATGTCCAGCAGTGCCATCAGCTCAGAGCTGCAGAAAACAGTGGGACCCTGGAACACCATCTACTGTCCAGAGAAGTCTGGTCAGAAGTGGCCTTCGTGGATAACTGGTGGGCAAACAACCTCAGACATGGAAACAAGGCCGAGCCACTCAATTATACAAGGAAACACTGAAACTGGGGTGCAGGAAAATGGCAGTAGGTGCTCGGAAATATTTGGCTGCAGCAGAAGGCAGGTTGTTTGCTGAAGGGCTGGAGAGCGGGACAAGAACAAGTTTCTGCAGGCAACAGTGAAGCATGATGGAGGTTTCCTTATAAGTCTGCATTTCTGCAGACAGAGTTGGGGAGAATGGTCTCCTCAATGCTGAGAAGTACAGGCTTATTCATCATGCAATTCCATCGGGGAGACATCTGATTGGCCCTGGCTCCTCCAGGCTACATGTTGAAGTGCCCTTGGGCAAGATACTGAACCCCAAATTGCCCCTGGCGGCTGTTCCACCAGTGTATGAATGTGTGTGACTGGTGAATGCAGATGTAGTGTAAAAGCGCTTTGAGTGGTCAAAAAGACTAGAAAGGCGCTATACAAGTACGGAGCATTCAGTACTGTCTAAACAAATGAATTTTAACAAAGTGTTTTGCAAACATCTCTGCTTTCTCATCATCACTTACTGCTTTTGTTTCACCACTGTTTTAGACTGGGTACGTATACTATCTTTTTATGCCATTAATTATTTTTATCATTCTCCAAACTATAAAATATTCTGTCTCCCTTCCTAGAGAGCTAAATGTAGGTAGGTAGATTTTATTGTCACAATACAACAAGTTGTAGAGTGAAATTGAGTTCGTAGCTTAACTGTACACAGATAAGAGCTGACATCTCAGTCGCTGGGTGCTAGCTGCCTTCGACATGCTTTGACTCTTCGATCTCACCAAAGACTGGAGCATTACCTGCCTTGCTGTTTCACAGTAAGGTCTTTTTGTAATGTGTTAGCACACCAGCTAATGTGACGTTCTTCTTAATTAGCACTCCAGCTAACGAAGATGGACTAATCCACATCACACCAGAGGAGATGGTGATCCAGGGGCTCAGCTCTGCCCCTGAACTGTGTGCTAGCGCTAGCTGGGGCTCACGGCTGGACATAGCAGCGGAGGCCCCGCTTATGGAGGATGTGCTGGAGCTGGATTATGAGGATGATGACGAGGGCACCTGTTCTGTTCCGGAATGAGATGCTGGGTTTCTCCCGATTCCCCGCTGTGGTGTGCGCGTCTAGGTCAAGGGGAAGAGAGACTTTGTCCACGGAGGCAGCAGGTTCTGTCCTCCCTTTAAGTCGCATAAGCACACACCCTCACTCTTTATTAACAATAAAGCATGTTCCGCAGCTGCATCCAGGCCTAAGGTCAAGGGCACAGTCAAAAACAATGAACAGAAAAACAATAAGCGGTTTGGCAGCCTCACCGCTCCCGAGGATAGCTATGGCTCCCTTCGGGACGTGGGACGCTGCCGACTCCGTCGGTGAACTAACACCTTGCGCGTGTGCAGTGTCGACCAGGTATCACGCTCGCACCCCGCCACTAGTTGGGCCCATAACGGCATTATTGACGGCACACAGTGGGGAAGACACACCGGGGGCTGCCACTTCTCTCTTGCTGATGAGGGAAATCGTGCTATCCTGGATCTGCGAGCTCTGAACAAATACCTCAGCAAATACAAGTTCTGGTGCGTCTGGTGCGCCAGGGCAATTGGTTCACGTCTGTCGACCTGAAGGATGCATATTTCCGCACTGCAATTTGTCCTCCCCACAGGAAATATCTGTGGTTCGCTTTTCGGGATGTATGTTACGAGTACAGAGTACTTTCCTTTCGGCTGTGTCCCTGAGCCCAAGAGTGTTCGTGCGGTGTACAGAAGCGGCTGCGGCCCTGATGAGATGGCAGTGTTTACGTCTGGCTACATATTTGGACGACTGGCTCCTTTTGGCACAGTCGGAGCAGGTGTCAGACGCAAACGTGTGTCCTCATAAGACACCTGACAGATTTGGGTTTTATAATAAACACAGAGAAGAACGTGCTGTCCCCAGCACAGAGTATAATATTTCTGAGGTTACACCTGGACTCGGTGTCCTTTACAGTTCGCCTGGTACCAAGCAATGGCTCTCCCACTGGATTGTCGGGTCAATTGCTCTGGCCTACACTAGTCAACAGGCTCCGCCAGGCCTACGGGCACACTCAACTCGTGGCCTTGCTGCATCCTGGGCCCTGTTTAAGGGGGTCCCTATCCAGGACATTTGTGCAGTGGCGAGCTGGTCCTCACCCCTCACCTTTGCCCGGTTTTGTAAACTGGATGTCTCTGCTCAGAGTGTGGCGCGTGCAGTGCTGAGCACAGGGCCCTCACTGGAGTGCTGCTTCCCTGAGAGCCGGTGATTGTTGAAATAAGCTTGTCTGGCAAAACGGGAGTTTCCATATCCCATAGTAAGACATCGCAACGAGTGCTATGAATGAGAACTTTAGGTTACTTGCGTAACCCTGGTACTCAGAGTAGCATGAGTGAGATGTTTCACCAGACAGCCCTTCTTGCTGGGGCGAAGCAAGAAGAGGTGCTTATTTTGAATGGTATTGTAGTGTAAGCTATTTGAGGTTAGGTGGACCCACCAGACGCAGACACCGCAATCACCAGCCAATCAGGATTGGCGTAATGAGATAAATGCTTCTGAGAAATACGCGGGGAGGCAAGTTTTGTAACTCTCTTCTTTTACAGATGTCCATTTCTAGTCTTTTCAACCATTCAATACAATACATTCATTACATTCGCACACTGGTTAAGACCTTTTGTTAAGTGGATGACCATTCTAGTCAATATACCGGTGACTGTGGCTGGTTACAAAGTGAGAGCGCTGACCCCCAGGCCTCGGGATAACAAAATGTAATTATGGCTTAAGCCATGTTTCTTGAACACATATGATCTCTGATATCTTTTTAAAATATTTAATAATTCTCAGCTTACTTCACTACTACTATATAACTAAGCAGTTTAAGCTGTACCATTTTTCTCTGTTTGACCTGCCTCTGATCTCGACAACTGGTGGACATTTTCATCCTTCCCCCTTTTCCCTGTGCCATCTGCATAAGTAATGTTGCTGTTTTTACTTTCCACAGACCTCTTCCTGACTTCACAACCACCATATTACTCTGTGTTGGCCACCACAATTACAACATTTCTCCTGCATATTTGGGACAACTTTCTTTTTCAACCTTTGCAAACTGCTGCTATACAACCATACCGCTGGCATTTCAAACAGTGAAGTGGGGATATACCATAGACTGTTTGGGTTATAAAAAGGGATATACCATGTACTGGGAAGGTCATGTATCTGTATTTTAACCTTTTCTGGACTCCTGGAACTCAACAATTACAGACAAGCTACCAACACAACCCCTTTGCCAATGGTTGTTCTTAACATAGGTGCCATTTACACTGGGGACGCTGGGGACATGTCCCCACCACATTTTGAAATGGCTGATCATCACAAGTTAAAAATGTTCTGGAAAATAGTTTGCACCAAGAAATGTTAACTAACAAATGAATATGCTTTGAGAAAGGTTTATTTCCACAATAAGAAAACATGCAATATTTGCACTGAAAATGCAGTTTTCAATTCCTTTAACTATGTAAATATTGTACATATCCACCCTCCATATATTTATTTTATTTTATATTTTTACTCTGATATTTATATACTTCTATATACTACTACTATCTTTATTTATATTCCTTTTGCCCTTTCTTCAATGTGTGCAACTGTAACACAGAATTTCCCTTCGGGGATCAATAAAGTATTTCTGATTCTGATTATAGTTTTCCCTCATGTAAAAACAGACATTTCCACCGTAAATTTGAGCAGAAAATGTCTCCAGAATGCAGGAAATTGTGAGTTTAATGCTCAAAGTCTTCTGGGGGAGGACCCCCAGGCATATTTCCGCATCAAATGTCTAATCTAAATAGTGCGAAAAATCGTCTTGTCTTGTTCTCATCAATCGTCACGTCTCATGACCAAAATGTATCATCATGCTCCTAATCTGAGCCCTACTTTCCTGTGCCTCTCACGTTGGTCGATTTTGGTCCATGATGCAGTACCATTATTTCCAACAGCAGTGAAAGCAGCATTACGACTGACTGCGTGAGGCGTGTTTGGCCGGCAGGACAAGGACACACGGCTGGAATGACATTTGTGTAAGTTAGCTAAGTAACGCTTACTAGCTTATTGCTAGCGTTAACCTACCAACTACTGTACAAAACCTGACCTCGTGAACCACTGCATCTAGGCTGACTTCAGCGGGGTTTCGTCTGAGAAAGGTAACATTACAGGGACGTTTGCTAAGCCGGTGGCTAGCTCTACTGACTGATAGCTAAGTAGCCTAGCAAGCTAGCAGCTATGGTTGGCTGTCGCGGTAGCTAACAGCATAGGTAATGTCAACGTTCATGTCCCGGCTGTTTGTACAGAAATGTAAAATGCAGTTTCCTATTTTACCTAAATGGCGATTGACGTTTCAAAAATGATCAAGCTAATGTGATAATAGTGGTGTTCCTTTTTATTTATTTTTTTATAAATTTATTTAAAACTTCAATAATGAGAATGTTGTGTTCCCTGTTTTGTCACCAAAATCTTGATCATTAATGATGCACACTGTTATTATTCCACGAGTGTTGCCACACCTAGAAATTACCAGCATTATCTTATTATCGGGGCATATTTAGTAATCTGTTGCATTTCACACGTTATGTAAGGGCTTGTTTTAACGTTATTATTTGAATTATTGCTCACAATATGGGTGCTTTTAAACACATGTTTATTTAGTCAAACGTAAACAACTGACATGCACTTCACAAGTTACTAAGTGATGTCGTCAAACAACTTTGCCTAAGTAGCTGTAACCTTATATCAACCAGAAGGTATTCAGTAAGAAGATGCTTACTCAACGATTACAGTTACTGTACAATCCCTTTCCACGCCTGTACATTACAGGTTGTAACGATAAAGTCCTGTAAAACATTTTGTATTATGTTCATGTCTGGTTAATTCAGTCTCAGCTGTCACCATGGAGTCTGATTATAAACATGTGGTCTGCTGCAGGTCATGTGCTCCTGGCAGAGTCACTAGGCCTTTCTGATTTCTCAGTTTGTACCTCCTCGACTCCTCCAGTCGCATCTCGGGTGTGCAAGGAGGCAACAGACACTTATCGAAATGAGATGGCCTTGCCTCGGAAGCCATCATTTTAAAGCGCCGTCAGTTAAATATGACATGTTGCACAGCTGCAGCACAGCTCCATTGTTTTGTTTCAGCCTGCCGCTGTGATCTCTGTCAGAGGAGCAGACCTGCTGTTGGCACCAAGACAGGTCATATCTTCACTATCCAGAAACATGTCTGCCAACAGTGTGACATATAGAAGCATCTCAAGCCTGTGATGAACATTATAGCATCTTTTGAAAACACAGATTACAGTAGCCTACACTGTCATGCATTACACAGAAATCCAGTAACTCTTTTACATGAAAGCGAGAGATCATGTCAGCCCTCAGCATGAGCACTATTATTACAACATGAAATACAGCAGATCAGTGCTGAATACTTTGGTTGATATTACAGCTTAATAATGTGATTTCAGTACCTGTTTTGTTCGTTTTGTCATGGTTATAACAGCTGAATTGATGTGATGCACGGATCGGCTCTGACATTATGTGAATATTCATGTAAATATGCATAAATCATCCACCTGCCCCAGCTAACTCATTATTTTCTCAATTTTAAGGACCACACACACATGGACATTATACCCCACCTCTATCGGTCCCTAGAGTTTTCCACATGATTTCTTAATTGTGTTGTATTAATATATGTAGTGAGTGTTTTCTTTAATAATTTACTTTAATGACTGGAGAAGCTGCTGTCAGCAATTTAAATGTTTCCACGCGTGCAGTAATGTCGGAGCAAATATCGTGGGACAAAACAAAACAAACTGCAGTAATTAACCTGACAGGACAGACAGGAAACTCTCCAGAAGAAACAAAAATAAACTGTTAGCTCCTGAATTAAATTGTAGACGCTCCGATGGATCTCAGGATTGATCAGGAGGATGGCTGCTTTACTCCAAATAGTTTCACTGTATGAACCTGGACAGTGTGCGTGACCTTTCGGATGTGTAGAAGAACACAGACTATAAATTAACATTAGATCCTGATGATCCTGTCAGCGTGTTGGGAGATCTAAATAAATCAGAACTGTCAGAACTGAAGAAGTCCTTTGGATGAGGGACGAAACGTCTTCCAGTATCTTTAACCAAGTCCAGTTGCCCTTGATTTTAACCTTTGTCAGACGACTACTACTACTACTTCGTACATGTTCAACATAGTGACTAAAAACGCGCTCTGTAGAGCAGTTTGTCCATTTAGGCTACTGTAGAAACATGGCGGCGCATCACAGCGACTTCAATGTCAGAGGACCTGTGGTGTATTCTAAGGTAATAAAAACATAACTGTTCATTATGTAAGGTCTTTATACACCACTGAAAACATAGTTATGGATCTTATATTGCATTTCTGTCAACCTGATGTTCTCAAGCCTGAAGGAGTAGGTAGTAATGACATGCAGCTAAGTCATGTAATAAACATTACTTCCTAGAAATGTAGCGTAATGTTACACAGCAGCCAAAAAACCTACTCAGGGCTCCAGTAGCTTTTTCTACTGTAGCCCCACTGTAGCCCCTAACTGAATATTTTAGATGCACAGGCAGAACATTTAGGGGTGCACACCTTTAATTGATCTGCAAAGCAATATTTCACATTTTCTCCATTTTAACTGTATTACTGATAAATGCTTTGGTGATTAATACAGAAACTACAATGTGCTGTTTTATTTTAGTTTAGTCCCATTTTATTTGAATGGTACAAATGCACATACTGGAAGTGGCGATGCCGTTTCATTTGTATATCTGTCTCAGCATATTTTATGTTTTAAGCTGCTGTTGTGCTTCATCAAAGTGTTTAAAGTGTGTCAGCTGCCTCAGCCGACTTGGTTTGTGGACTACATCTAGTGCAGTAGATAAAGTTCATGGTGTTGGTGTTTTTGCTAAATCTAAGCCATGTAAACAGCCAGCGGTAGACTGGCACAATTTGTCTCCATCCCAGGCCACCCTGTTCACAAACCACCAGACTGCTAATGTTGTAGACTAACACTATTTACTGATACAACAGGAACCAAACTAGGGAAAGGTTTGGCCACTATGTTCATCTGGGAAGAAAGTTACCCACATTAAAATTACAAACATTTGGGACTGACCATTAAAGTAGCCTAAAGTTTTCAAAGGATGCTATTGCTATGGGTGCACCCTCAGAAACTCCCGAGAAATAGCCTACATCAATCATAGCACGAATGTACACGGCTAGAAACAAAACAATTAGATTACACTTATAAAAATAAGATTGAGCGATACAGAGGTTGCTCAAATGTTCAAATGTCTTCAAATCTTTATATTGAAGAATCACTCTTATCAAAAGTATCTGCACACACACACACACACACACACACACACACACACCTTCACTGAATTTGCACATAAGCTACAACAATGAAAGTAAGTAGGCCTATAATGCCAATAAGTCCAAAAAGCTTACAGATATAAACTATTAATTACAGTGTCCAGAAAGAAAACAGCACAAAGATAAACTTTTTTTTTTGTTCTCTAGTCTATAAAGCAAATACAGTTGTACTGATTCATCAGCACACAGTAGCCATTGCCATGGTTACTGCCCATAGAGTGGTGACTATGTGTTCACATGAGGACGCAGTGAGACCCTGCAGGTCCAAGACAGTACGCAGGACGAGCATCGCTCCTCGTCTGAAAAGGCTTTAGACACACACAGATGCTAAAACATGTGGCCTTCTGCGTGGAAGTTCTAACACGACTTATTGGCATTTGCTGACGCATACTAGGCAGAGAAACTGAGAGAGAGGCACGGGCACAGTGGAATCGTGGATTCTCCTGCTTGCTATATTATTGCTGCAGCTGGTCAAGTTGACAATTAACGGCAGGCCAGAACAGCCCTTAGGCCGCTGGGAAATCTCCCGGTGCAGACTTGCTCTCTTGTTTTTATTTATAATATAAGTTATAAATATTACCATTTTCCATAGCGTTGTAAGCGTCTTTTTCACAGCACTTAAGCCAAACAAACTATACCATTAAGCTATATCGAGCAGCATATGGAGGCTGTCCTGCAGAAGATCTGTAGGAAGAAATTATCCGTAATCAAGTAATGACCTATTTAAGAGGAGACAAATCACAGTACAAGTATTGCAACAACACGTGAATTGTGCCCATTAATAACTGCACAGAGGCCTACATTTGAACATTTCTATGTGCACGTTTGGTTTGATACATCAAATTCTTATTGATTACATTACATTTTCTTATTGAGATGTCAAATATTGGTATCCTATAAGTATTCATTCACCATAGAATTGCACTTTCTGGTCACAATATGTGCTTCAATTGTAAAACACAGAATTCATAAAAATCTAAACAGAAAACACAGAATTTGGGGAGAAATAAAAAAGATTTCATAGGGCCCTAACTAAACCACTTTGGCCCTATTGTAAGGGATGTGAGGGGCCTACACTATTTTTATATTTTTGGGGGGAGGGGCGGGGGTACAAAGTTCAGTCTCTCAACCCATTTGTTACGCCAAATTTAACTTAGTTATGACACAAATTACTTTAATTATAAAATATGTAAACAAAAACAAACTTTTCATTCCATGCTTTTTGAGGGCCGGCCCCCCATTAGGGCTCTGGTTACAATCAGTCCCACTTTCTGCCCACTACGATGCCCCTGCCTGGGGAGATAATATAGCAATAGTAAATGGTCTTGTTTGAAAAGTTGGGACCATCAGCTATTTGACATTTTTGCTTGATAAATGACTTTATTGGCATGAATGTAACAACAACATTCCCAAAGCATCATATATACAACATAAGAACAATCAACCCCATACAATTCATTAAACAAGTAATTAAAGCGTATGTGTGTTTGTGTTAAAAAAATTTTTTTTTAAATTAAATAAATAAATAAAACAAAAGCGCGTGTGTGTGTGTGTGTGTGTGTGTGTGTTAAAAAATAAATAAAACGGTAAGCATGTCTGTGTGTTATATACATAAATGATTAATCAGGTCACCATGAAACCAGTGATTTGATTGTTGGCAGGTGAATATTTTCAGCAGATTTGATTTCATACCATTTCCATCCACACCACTCCTGGTGGAAACCAAAGAGCTCAGTGTGCTAACTCTACCCTCTGGTCTCTGTGGTCTCAGGTTTTTTGAGATAGAGAGACTGCTGCTGTAGCTGGGAATCGACCAGAGTCATAAGGTCCTGAGGAGACGCTCTGTGTGTTTGCGGTGTCCTGCTGCTGTGGGAGATGGTCAGCAGGTGAATGGCTGTGAGCAGAGGGGGCATCGCCTTCTGGGTGGGTTGTGTCCTCAGCCACGGCAGAAGGCAACCCATCAAAAAACTGATCTGGAATGAGGTAACCTGCTTGATCCTGAGATCCTCTCCTCCATTATATATTTGAGTTGTGTGTCAGACCACCTCAGGGGTTTGAAGGCCACTAGGCCAGTGTCAACAAAAATAATATTTGGATTTTGGAAGATAAAATGGCAAATTTGACTACTTACTCGGTCCTGCACTGCATGATGGGAAATGTGGGCAATCGCTGCATCATACATTACAAACTGGAGCAGTGAGCCAGAGAGCAGCACATTGTGCTCCACCTCGATTGCAGAATTTATTTATTCAGTGCTGTTTTAAATTTTTAATGGGCATTGACCTCATGCTTACGTGCGTATTGCCGAATAAAAAAAATGACAGAAGGGTGCTTAATGCTGAACCAAACAGTCACTTCATGTGATTACATTCACAGAATGAAAACAAAGTGCATCATATGCTTATGGAGTTCTATTATTATCATTTAGAAATAAACACATCACTATTTTCAGATGAAACAGATATTTCTCTTCGTATCGGACTCTCGAATAGCTTCTATAAAAGCTAACATTAATATTTCTGAAAATGTCAGACTTGTAGTGGAATGTCAGTTTCAGTACAGTGTGTGGGCAAGTATTGCATGTTAAAAGTCTTTTTTTGTTCCTTCAGGCGGTCTACTGTCAGTGGATCTGTCAGACACGCCCCCTGAGCAGAGCATCATGGGCCCTGGCGCCGCCCAACAGTCTGAGATATCAGAACATTAAGCAGCCGGTGCTGTCCCACCCGTTCCACCATGCCAGCCAGCCTCAGAGAGGAGGTTACTGCGAGGAGGACTGGGAGGAGTCTGTCAGCGTGTGTGTGCTGGTGCGACAGGGCGAGTCAGACGGCCTCCACACCCTGCTGGAGATCCCTCTGTCCGCTCACAATAAACTAGGAGAGCTCCTCGTTCTGGGGGCTCCCAACTCCTCTAAGTTGTCGTTCCCGTGGACCACAGTGGAAGGCAGCAGAGAGGATGACATCAGCGTTGACAGCTTCGAGGGAAACAGCGTTCATGCTGTAAAAAGAGAACATGGCTGTTTCAGAAGCCTGTTTGAAGCAGAGAGGTGTCCGGCACCGTTCATGTACGGCTCTCACTTTTATTGTTTCCATTGCCCGGGCACAGAGCCGGTACCTGGCAGCGGGCTGAAATCTAGGCAGGATGTTGGACTTGACAGCAAGCCTGTGGAGCTGCCCCTGATGTCTCCCACCTCACTGTGTAGCCATGCAGAGATAGCAGAGGGGGAGCGTACTGAAGGAGACAGTGAAAGGGAGGAGAAACTGGCCATAATGTATGAAAGACTGAGGATAGAGGTAAGAATGCACTGTGTCTGGATAAGTGAATCAAAGGTGCTCTGCCTGTGACTGGTCTGAAGTGAGGACTGGTCATTTCATAGATTTGTTTTCCTTTGTGTGTGTGTGTGTGTGTGTGTGTGTGTTTTTAAAATGTGTGCATGTAGGAAAATTGCATTGTATGACAACATTTAATAGGATTTAATAAAATATAATTTTTTAGACCGTGGCCCTAATACTCAATTGTAGGATTTTATTCATCAGTGTAATGACACTGACTGTCACACACAGTGCCTCCTGTAGGATTACTGAATGGTGACCAGACACAGATCTTACAAACAGAATCAGAGCCCATGCCATGGCTGTAGGGGGGAGAGCTGCAAACAGGTGAGAGGTTCATTTAAATGAGGCAGTACAGTGAGCTGTTGGTATTTTGGTTGAAATCGGGTCTTATTTATTATTATTAAAGTATAGCCTCTTGAGATGCATCATCTCATTTTCAATCTATTCCAACCTATCCTGTATTCTTATGCATTGTGCTGAGAAGACATCTCAGAACCACGTCTTGTTCTAGATCAAAGTCCCTCTGCTGCAACAACAAGTAAACACTAGCAGAAAATACACAGCAATAACAAAATGCTGAAAACTGTAAAACTGTTTAATTAAAACATTTACAATCAGTAGGTATATTTAATAAGCATCAAATGTTAAATGTGATTAAACAGCAGTGTTGGTAAAGCAGTCAACATCTGTAAATGAATATAGGTGATATTTATAGCATCTGTTGTCCACAGCTGCTTTCTACTTTCTACTGCTTCTCCTTTAGTTCATTGCAGCCACCAAGGCAGCAGGATATATTTGTGATTATTATTAATAATAATAATAAATATAGTTCTTGATAATTATGTGATTAAATCTGCATCCTTGGATTTAAATATTAAATATTCAAATAACACCAGAGCCCCCCCCCCACACACACACACACTTCTGCACACAGCAGACACAGCTGTGTTATAACTGCTTTCCAACTGTCTTTTAAGCAGGTGTTTTATATTTCCTTTCTTGAACTGTTGTTGTCGTGCTCCACTGTGCGTTCCTCAGTAGCTGTGGAGCTACTGTGTGATACCTCTGCTGTGACTATCTGACAGTGTATTTATTAATCATCACAGCCTCTGATCTATATTCCAGTACACCCAGCCCTTTAGCCCTTAGCACCTGTGCAGTTGGGCCAAGACCACTTTGCACTTGTCAGTGCACCATGCTGTGTTTCTTTAGGCCAGCTAAAGAGGGGAAAAGCATCACTTGTCTTTGTTATATGTTGGAGGTTTTGCCAAAATGTAAAAAGCTTCCATTTGTCTCCACTGAACCGCCTCACCTTTCTGCGGTTCCACTTTTTTTTATTTTTGCTCACAAACTCTTGAGTCTTTGAACAACTTGTATTAAAGTTTTTTTCTGATCTGTTTTCCTTTACTGTGCCTTTTTTGTTGTTAATGTTGGCTAACCTTTCTGCCACACACAAGCTTCAAATCAAATTGAATTCAATGTTCAATGCTGTGACTCAAATTAAAACACACTTGTTGTGAAGCACATACATGTGCTACTTGAGTGACAGAATAACTGCATATAGTGATATATAAGGCAACGATATACAAAATACACTGCCATTTAACACCTCTGATCACTATAAGCTGAGTAAAGTTTGAATTTATAGTCCAGCTCTTGTGTTGGATTGCTTTAGACTGTGGTGTTACACTCAGAACAGAACTGGGAGGTCATTATAAAGCTATACCACACTTTCAGGAATTAATCTTTTTGTGTTTCTCTTTCAGCTTCCAAGTTTCTTTATGAAAAGCCATGATTACACCATGTACTCAAATGATATGGAATTCATCAACGGCCTCATAAATACCAAGACCAGGTGAATCTGCTCATTCAGTTTGCGCTCATGGTGATGCGTTATTACAGACACTTTCTGTGTGACCTGACTGCTGTGTGTGTTGGTTAGAGGCCGTGTGGTGTACCAGCTCACCCTCTCCCTGTGGCGCCTCCTGTGTCTGTGTTACTACGCCAAGGCTCGGCTGGAGGTGCTGAAGCTCACCAAGCACATGGAGGACGGGAGCATTAAGGCTCGCTGGAGGATCAAGGGCCTTCCCTTCTACTCTTTGCTGCTGCGCTTCTATCGCAAAGACAAATCTCACCTCTACAGGTAAAGCCTTCTTCACACTACACAATTTTAAGGCTGATTTGCCGGTCTGCGAGCTCGGTGACCGTCGAGCTGTGATCAGGGGTAAATCAATGACCGATCGGCGGTCGCCAGACATTATGTGTGAACTACTCAAGGACGCGTCGAAGCGGCTCCCTGACTCTTTATAACTGTCTTTATAATAACAAACAACAGCTGTGTGTATGTTCACGTCATTTCCCGTTTCACATTTCACGTGTGTTTTCTAGACCAGCGTCGGGTGACACTGCCGTTGTCAGCTGGTGTAGTGTGTGACCCCCTGTCACCGATCAGTCATGTAGTGTGAACGCCACAGTGACTTCAAGACTCCTGTCACAAGACGGCAAATTGTGTAGTGTGAACAGCACGGCCATCGGCCTTAACACACAATACATCCAGACTGCTGGATCAGGTGCTGTTAAATAGTTTAGTCTGATAAGAGGATTTTAATTTTAAACCACTATTTTTAAACCGCAGTTAGTGCAGAAAGTAAGTAGCAGTATGCAGAATGTTACATAATGTTTGATTCTTAGTGTCGAACCTTTTGTCACAATGATTAATAACCTAACTTAATCCATATGTCATCTATTATAGGTCATATGATGCATTCTCTACTTTTTACATCGGACAGGACGGACTCATTCACTGTCATAAAGTTGAAAAGGTAAGCAGCTAACTGTCATATGCAGGGGGCTGGCTCTCATACAATACAATCACGATGCCAGCTCAGTATTGTGATGTCTGTCAGATGGGTGAGGGCATTGTCTATCGGCTCAACCCTAACACATATTGCCTGTTTCAGAAAGTGTTTGCAATGACACAGCCGTCTCCAACACCAATGTTGGAAAAGGAGTTTCTGACTCTGTCAGACAATCCAACAGGCCCTTTTAAATGTACCATGTGTAAGAATTGCGACTACTCTCCACCTGTCGATGTCATACTCCCAAAAATAGGGGGCAGCATATCACATATTAGGTCATAACTGCTGCTAAGTTAGCCGTCTGTTGTTGCACTTTAAAATTCATTGACCTGTATAAGACAATGTTCAAATTACTGTCAGTAGTTGACATGAATGTGTACACAGACAAAGAGATGTTAATGTGAAGGGCTAACATCTGACTTGGAATAGCTCCCATTTCCATGGGAAGAACATTTTTATGGAAATTAAGTTACTAATTTTCAGTGTTATATCAACCAGATGACCAGCTGGACAGCTGTTTTGTGCATCTCGGTGAGCTTCCTGTTTAACTCCTCGCAGCCTGCCAACCATCTTTTTAACTTCATCTCTTCTTCTAAAAGCACTGAAAAGTATCAGAAATAGGTAGAGATGCACAGGTCGATTGGCTGGTGACTGGAATCAGCTGGTTTTCAGATCGGCCATGATTGATGACTGAGGTGTTCAGTCTTGTGTTTTCAATCAGTCACATTTACACACACATGCTGCACACTGTCACAAGCACACACAGGTGTGGAAGTCCTTCACTGTGAGTGAAGAAGGCACAATGCTCACCATTTATAATACCTGTAAGGCAACATAAGCTGTGTTTCCCCACACTACTATAAGGGTGTGTATACATTAGTATACAAAAATAAGAAATTATTGTTCCAGTGGGAAATTTGTCTTGGACGTCACAGTATCTGCAATATAACATCACAGCAAAAGAGTAAAAAAGAAAAACAACATATTCATCCATCAATTATACATGCCCATCTACAAGAAGTGCACACAAAGTACAATATATAACGGTGATCAACAAGGACAGATACAACATACACATATGTCAGCCTAGTAGTCCAGTCAATCTGGTTTTACCCAGGGAACATTAGTATCATCTAGGTTTTATGTTATTCATAGGGACATCCAAAAAACATATTAACAGTATACTATTATATACTTAGTGGATCAAGGCAAATTTAGGGGTCAGAATTTGGTGCCTTCATGTCTCAGCGTCACATACAGTGTGTATCTGTGCTTCTGAACATGCTATTTTCACAGTTTATGTCTATCCATTAGTTTTCTAGGGTGTTCTACATCCATCAGATATGACCTGTTCTCAATATAGGCAGGTGCATCTCAGATAATTTAAATAATTTAAAATAATTTTATTCAAAAAGTGAAACTTTCACATATTTAGATTCATTACATATGAAGTGAAACATTTCAGGCCTTTTTTGTTTTAATCTTGATGATTCTGCTTACAGCTCGCGGAAGTCAAAAATCCATATCTCAAAATATTAGAAAATTAGAATAAAGAATGTAATTGTCACAGCTGGCACAATGACACAAAACTGCAGTAAAGGTACCACTACTTTTATTTTTAAACAAACAACTTAATATTCAAATAATCCTATGAAGTGTGATAATCAGTAGGTCAGTCATGTCAGCAGGTGTGCATGCTTGAAGGAATAGTGAGTGGAGTGTTGTATGGTGAAAGAAACAAAAATAACGTGGAGCATAGGGAACAGGGTTTCCCTCCTCTGTAGCCCACAGTGCAGAACATGAGATGTACTTTTATACTGGAGAACACTGGGCCCAGGTGTCTCCAATACCTGATGATCTTAACCACACCTACTGGCATCTGCAACGTAGAACACAAAGAGATAGACATCCCAGCAGCTGAATGAGATGGGGATGTCACAGTAATACAGAAAATATCAACCTTCTGAAGAGCCTTTAATCTCTCAGTCTGGTTCAGTACACACAACAACAATCATGGGGAAGACTTCTGTCTTGACCGTTGTCCAGAGGACAAACATTGACACCCTCACAAGGAGGCTAACCACAGAAGGTCACTGCTGAAAGGGCTGGCTGTTCACACTGCTGGATCAACGCATATTCATGGAAAGCTGACTGGAAGGTTAAAGTGTGGAAGGAAAAGGTTCACAAGCAACAGGGATGACCTCCGCCTTGAGAGCATTGTCAAGCAAAGCCTATTCAAGAACATGGGGGAGCTTCACAAGGAATGGACTGAGGCTGGAGTCAGAGCATCAAGAGCCACCATGCACAGACGGGTCCAGGAAATGAGCTACAAGTGTCTCATTCCCAGAGTCAGGGATGTTTTGGGGTGCCATGTCATTTGCTGGAGTTGGTCCACTGTGTTTTAGCAAGTCCAGAGTCAATGCAGCATCTACCTGGAGATTTTAGAGCATTACACATTCTTTATTGTAATATATGGATTTGAGATATGGATTTTTGATGTTTTTGTTGTTTTCGGTTCATTAATTCATTACGGTTTCATTAACCCGTAATCAATTAAACAAAGGTGTTATTTAGTCTAGTCTCACAGATTATTTTAGTAAGTGTTCTCAATAATTCTAAAGGTCAATGGCATAGAACCAATGGCAAGCACATTAAAGGATTTACAAAAAATGACCAGCAGGTGTCGCACTGCTCCTCCATCAGCTGTGATCACCTGGAGCCACTTGATAAAACAAGCCCCACTAAGTTCATTCTGCAGTGCTTAAAGAGGTGCGCTTACATGATTTTGCTGTGATTTAATCACGATAAACAAATCAAAAGGAAATGACTGCTGAAATAACTACGCCATGATGCAGATTTATTAAACACATGAATTCATGCTTTGTCACGTCTGCCCACAACAAGCAAACAAGTTATAAAAATGCTTGTTTCCTGAAGTTTGGACTGATCAAAGCTATGCTATGCAAACTTGTTTCATAGCAAATTACGACTGATAGCTGAAAACATGTAACAGACACATTTTCAGAACTTACTAGTTACTAGACTTATTTTTCTCCAAGTGATGTCCTGTTGTGGCCGTCTGTATAAATATGAAGTAGTATCACAGAGCTCTGGGTGCCCACTGACGGCTACAATAATGACAGTGGAGGTAGGAAACTCTGTGGCTCGCTGCCGCAGACAGCCTGAGAAGCCAGAGTAAATATAAATCCACTTTTTTATCCCAAACGTTCCTCCTGCTGGGAAAGAGTTCTGGATCAGAGCAGAATTAGTCGGTGGCAAAAAGAAGCACTTTCTGTGGACGTAATCTTGGTGGGCACAGTCGCCCCGAAAGAATACGTTGCAGCCACTGCAGCCGGGTGGCGGCTGCCGGCTGAAACCATCCTCTACTAAACATCTCCACACCAAGATATGAGAATAGGTAAAAATAGGGCACAGGTTTAAAAATACTGAAATGACCTTTTAAAACCATTTTACCCAAGCTGCATCATTCTAAAACTTCAAAATTTGCTTTTGACCGTGAACATGTTTTTTAAATATATGATGAAGAAGTCTCACCAGAAAATGTACCAGTATGTTGGTTTTCTGACTGGTGCATTCATTTGTGTAGAGAGTGAACAGCACAGTTTAGCTAATCACCATCCTGGGGGTCACAGCTGGTTGGGGTACTGATATGAAATTGAAATTGTTTTATGGCCTCTTGTGTACTCAGGTGGTCACTGGAGGCAGGGCTAAATGGTCTGTACATGTATAGTGCCTTTGTAGTTTTCTGCTACTATGTCACACTCACCCATTCAAACACATTGACACGGCACAGCCTTCAGGAGCATCACTATGTTGAAATGGCAGTAAAGTATTGAATCGGGAATCTTACTCTCTGTTGCAGGTGATGCCGGCTCAGCCCCCTGTCCTGCCCAGAGTAACGTCTCTCCTGGCAGGGGCTCTGGTGGCGCTCGGGGTGCAGGAACATCGACCTGCCCTCAACCTGCTGCCCCTCCTCCTGTCTTCGCTACGACAGATCAGAAACTGACCCCAGGACGGTGATGAGAGGAATACTGGAATCACCGGTGTGTCTAAGGTCCATGTGACTCTGTAAAGTTTAATTCATTCTCAGCATTAAAATGGAGCTCTCTATCCTAAAATCTCTTAATGTTGCCCCTGAATTAAATACAAAGTCAAGACTTTACACTGCTTTTCCTTTTTCTAATTTTAGTTTAGCTATTTGAAATAATGAAAGTGTTTAACCTGAACACAGAATTGGGTTTTCAGGTCCAGGCGTCACATGCTGTCATCTCTGCCAGTCAGCCGCCAGCTGTTGTGTTTTTTTGTGTGTGCGTTTACTTAAATTTTTTTCTCCAGATTTTAAAACAGAAACTACTACGTAGACACCAGTCCTTATAAAAACTATTTGAAATTTGAGGATGTAAAACTGAAGACAACATTAAACTGAGCCACATTGCAGATGTTGCCTAACATCAGAACTGGGGCAGCCCTTGAAGATGCACGTTTATAATATAAATGTAATTATTTAAATATATATTTTTGTGGCATCAGAAAATGGTTTGAGTTCCAGGGCTGAGAAAGAGTAACGTTAACACTGTGCTACATTACAGAGAAATACAATAACGAGCCTTCACAATACATTTTAGAAGCGTACGCCGCAGCAAGCCGCCTGTTCACGACAGTGCTAACAGCAGTAATGATCCTGGCCGTGTCGGAATAACAAGAGACTGAACCTTTGTTGCTCCTGTTTGGAGTCGCTGTAAATCACCTCTGTCATAATTTGTCTCCGTTGGTCTCCTGGGCTTTGTTCTCCTGCTGCAGCATCATGCATTTCAGACATACTTACCAACCTTGAGACCTCCAATATCGGGAGTGGGGGCGGGGAGCACCAGCTTTCTTCTGCATCACGTGCATGCTAGGAAACGACATTTGGGGCAGCTGTATTGTTGTCCAGGTGGAAACAGTAGAGAGAGAGCTGTTGAGGGCTTACCAGAAACAGGATGTGGCAATGGAAAGGACGAAAAGTTATGAAAGTTTGTCATAAATCGGGAAAAATATTGTGACCCCGGAAAGAAACTGGGAGAGGGCAATGAAAAATTGGAGTCTCCCAGTAAGAGTTCACAAGTATATATTTCAGATGGTGCTGCACCATGACGCATGCTTCCAAATGAGCAAATACCAATTTACACTTCCCCCTCCTTTAGTTCTTGGTACAGTAATGGGAAGTTATTTTGGATAAGTCTACGAGACCTATTTGTGTAAACCACTGTTGCATGATGTTGTGTTTTTGCTCTGGTTGGGCTCATTTCACCAAATATGCTGACAGAGGAACACACGGATTAAACTGCAAACATTGTTGGTTTGTAATTTGGTTTTAGGTTCTGGTACGTTTTTGGTACAGGAGGGAAAACAAGAAGCAATTTTTTTTCAATTATTTTGAAAAATGGAAACCTTTAACCGGAGCTCATTGGCCATAATTCTTACTGTAACAGTCGCACATGTCGCATCGTAAGGTTTCTACAGAGCAGACCTCAGATCTGCAGCAGTAAACACTCCTGTAGCATTAGTTCTTGCTTTGGCAGCATCTGAATCTGCAGTGAGAGGCTGAACACTGATCAACCATTCGAGTGATGCCCAACTTCAGCTGAACAGTGTCGGCATACCATTTTCTCTAACTAACCCATACAGTGGATCTAAATGTCACAGAGCGTCCTCCAGCTCTGGTCTTTGTGTTTGCCATTCGGTGGCAGCCACACTGCTTGAGCTTCACTAACCTGGCTAAGCTGACGAGAATGCTGTTAGACAATGGCTGGTGTGCTGGCAAAACATTCAGGGTAAAACTGGGAATAACTGTTCCAAGTGTGTGAATAGTAGACTGCAGGCTCATTCAGTCGTCTTTTCATACTTGACAGTGAACTCTCTCCATCTCTTTATCTGCTCGGTGCAAATTGTGGCAGTTTTAGCCACATTTCCACCACCGGTCTGATGTCCCTCCCACCTGTAGGCTTTGCCAGCATCACTGTCACCATGCTGTGTTTTCTTGGGAGTGTTGATACAGTTTATTACTACAGAAATAGGAATACATGTGACAGAGGGCCTGGAGAGGAGCTGCGTCCATTGTTGGGTTCTTGGTTAGTTACCTTTTAGATGAAGGTAGTGAATGAGCAGTTGATAGTTGATGTTAAAACAGCAGGACCACACTGTGACACAGAAGCAGCCAGTCTGTCACTAATATAAGTGAAACAAGCTCTAACTGGTTGCTGCTCAGTCACTGCAAGTGACTCAATTGCCAATAAATGCGTTTTCACTTCTTTGGTTTTAGTTTTAGTAAAATGTAATACTTGTGAGGTTGAGGAGTAGTGGAGAGGTCCCAGTTCAGCAACATTTGAGTAAACTAAAGAAACAAAACAACATCAGAGTTTAAAGGATAAAGCTGATGCTATTCTGTAATTGTCTTATCTGCAAATCCCATGTGCTCACACACAACACTTGTTAGTAGATACATTCACTGTTGGCTCTGTTCATGTTTGGCTCTGCACAGAGGATATGTTGACAAGAAGAAAGATATGGACTTTTGTCAGACTTATGCTTTAACCATCAGCCACCCACAGGATGTTAGTGTAGAACTATCACACACTGTTAGCTCAGACTATAAAAAGTGACATTATGAGTATGTAGTATTTATAATGAAAGGTTAGATTCTACTCCAAAAAGTGTGTGTGTGTGTGTGTGTGTATATACACAATATATAATCACGACCATATAACTGAGACCTTAAAAATACAGAGATGCAAACCCAAAAGCTTTTAGTAATGTAAATAACACTGAATATCTGGATCAGCATGTTAGCAGGGTCGCTGTGTAGCCTTCTTTGTTTGATCAAATTTGGGCAAAATAGTTTTTGACTTTGCGGTTAATGGGTAAAGTGATCTGTTTAACAGGCAGTCAGAGAGGTAGCTCAGTAGCTGGGGACCACAGAGACCATGTGCTTGGTGAAATGCTGAAACAAGCTAATTGATTATTTTACTGCCAACGAAAACTTGAAAATGAAACAATGGCTGCTCAGCTGGCACTGACTTAGTATGAATATGGGGGTCATAGACTATACAGGATGCTGAATGCCCTTAACTGTCCTTTAGCAGAGACCTGACCTGTACTAAATGTGACGTTGACGTAATGCATCTGTTTGTCATTAATGCTGCAGTAAATGCAAAGGAATCTGTGTATGCGAGCAGTTTCTATTCAACTTTTAATTTGGTTGAAGTCGTACCTAAATCAGTAGCCGTAAGTACTCAGCTTGATAATATTTAGTGCTTCTTAATACCAGACAATAAAGCATGCTGTAACTGTAGCTGTGGTTCTCTGGTGTCACATCTGTATGAACCATGACTCGGCAGGTTCTGTGTAGCTTCATTTCCACATGTACTGCTGCAATAACTCCTGTGTGAATCCTGGTTGTGTGAATAAAATAAAGTTTAAAGATTAAAAATGATCAGCGTGTGTTATTTGTCATTTTTTGATGGTGATGTCAGTCTGTGCGTGTGCAGAATATCACAACAACTACTGACCAGATTGACATTCCATTGCCGTGGTTATTAATGGTCCCAGAGGATGAAGCATGTGTGGTGGCTGTCTTTGTGATTCTCCACTCACATACAAGAAATATTAGATGCTCCGATCTGCCTGCAAAGTTACAGATCACATTCATGCTCCCCAGAGGATGTGCCCTTTCCCTTCCTTTTTTGGAATCGGCATATTCTTTCTTGCACATACTGTCAACTCACATAACATGTCCACAGATTACCAAAAATGCTGCTGAGCACATTCCTGCTCCCAGGCTGATAAATTGATTTTGGTGATAATTTTTCCTTGGTTGTTCAGGGTAAATCAGCTATGTCTGCACAGGGTGTTTTATTTAAAATTTTAACCGGACCCTCGGTGCCATTTCTATCTCTGACTTCCTGTCAGAGTGGCTTCCTTCAAAGACTCGTAGTCACAGCAGAGCAGAGAGCTGCTTCTGAAAATCGCTGCGGAATCACAGCTGGAACACGACACAACCTTGCCAACCCCTAATAAACTTTTTCAACGGTGCTGGTTAAATTTACACACCGTGGGTATGAGTCGCTCAAGCCTGATTGACAGGTCGCCATGGTAACGCCTTGTCAATCACTCCTACCCTGAAGCATACTCTGCTTTATGGTCTATTTTCCTTTAAATGGGACCATAATTTACTAAATGAACATCATGTTGTTGGAAACCTCTTAATGTTACTCAAATCCTGAGTCTTTGTAAACAAACAGTTGAGAAACATTGATATTGAATAGGTTCATTTATTTCAGTGATGAGGAACCATTCAGCCTGACGCAGCTGTGCTTCAGACAGACATCACACACCTACCATCACCACAGCCTGATTCTTACACAGCAGCGAACACGTGGTTCACTGAGGTATCCTGTCTAAGCAGACACAAGTGTCAATAATAAATATGACTGACACCAACAAAGCTCTATGACTTCACTGCCCATTTACTATGTACAATATGCGCTCATTTACACTTCTGCAACTACATTTGCACCATAGAAGTGCTCAGAATGAGTATTTCAGGAAAATGACATTTGGTGTCACAACATGACAATGTAGTCAGAGTATTCCAAGGAAAAGGTTGCAAAGAACACCATATTCATGATTACATTGGATGTGCATTCCGACACCTCATGTATTGTATTTTTTTGCAGTGTCCCTACTTTACTACGACATATTTCCATTATGTGACTTTATTGTTGAAATATTGTGACTTTGTTTCTAGTAAAATGTCAAGTTTAACTCATAACTACTTCTTTCCAACTTAACTGACAATATTTGGACTTTTCTCATTTTAGGACTTTTGTCTGTGCACCACTAAAACTTATAAGATCACTTGTTCTTCACAAGATTAGCATTTTTCTCAGCTATTTTTTTTCTTCGCAACCTATGACTTCATTCTTAAAATTTGATCAAGTTTGATTTTGCAACATTCAAACTTTTCTCAATGCTTTTTTTTAACATTCCAGCATTGTTCTCACAGTATTACGACCTTTTTCTTGGAACTTTTCAGCTTTTCCTCAAACAGGTCAATTGTCTATTCTGTGGCCCTACTACTCCGTGGTATATGAAGCTATGATGCTCGGACTGTTTCAGACCTACAGAAGAGGATTGGTGCTTCCTGTGGCCCAGTCCTCTCCTGCACTGACCTGCTCAGATCTGGTCTTACTTCCAGTGGGTAGTACTCTGGCATTAAACTGATTCCATCACTAGTTTCTCAGAGGTGTCCGAGAGCAGAGGGAATGTTTTAGCATGAGGTAACTCAAGTAGCTCACAGTTCCTCAAATCATGCACCATGGAGGGTCTGAAGTCCGAACTACAGCAGGTGGAGGACGGGGAGGAGGAATAATTCAGTCAGGAGCTTTCGCCCTTTCAGGCCATGTTTACAACAGGATGTTAAAACACTACGGACACCACGCTGCAGGTAGTGTGTACAGATCCTGCTGTTCTGGACCTGGCCTTGATCCTCTGTGGCACAGGGCTGTGGATGATTAGGAGTCTTCTATAGAGAAAGCTCGGTGCGTGTTGGGAAATCTCTGGGTGTTGTAGTCCGGATTGTCTCTCACTCGCTCTTTGATGTCACTCTTTACCTGGCAGGAGGACACAGAGAGAGGCAGCGGGCTATAGACAGAATGACCTTGATATTAAAACTAGCTGAGCTGACTAATTTGTCTTCATATGTGAATAAGTATTACATAACTTTTCAAAAACTTTTAACTGTTGATTTGACTTCTACAGGTGCATCTCGAAAAAATATAAAGAAAAAATTAGAAAAATATAAAATATTTCATTTTCTAAAGTGTACCTGTGCAGCATCAAACATTTGAACTGTCTTTCTAACTTTCTTGAGATGAACCTGAAGTACGGATTAAGCTCTAAATATACTCAATCATACTGCTCCCACAATGCAACTGGATAAAGGTCTTTTAAACTTCACCTCTTCAGTTTGTAACATAAATGTGTAACCTCCAAACCCAAGGTCAATGTTCCTGATGACATCACTATGAGATCATCAGGGTTACTCCTCATTACTACTATGAGACAGTAAAACTATCTATTAATCACTGTGAGAGAAACTTTTACGCCTCTTTAGCATTTTTATTATTTAGACACTTTTTAGTCTTTTCATTTTCATATTTAGGATCCTGTATAAATATATATAAGTGCTGCTGATCTTGGTTTCTACTCTCCACTCATGTTGCCTTCATTTCAAAATATCCGTCCTCACCCTGTGTTTGAAACTAGCTGACTAGCAACAGGAACATTTAAGATGACAAACATCATGCTGTCCTGGATTGGTTTAGGGGCAGTGCATTACTTGTTTGGCGTAGGCTTCCTGCAGCTCTGGCCTCTCCAGCTCCACCTGCAGGCTGTGCCGGGCAGTGACAGGCAGGACTCCTGCAGCGCGAGCAGCCCGAGTCACTGCGTCTGACAGGGACAGGTGCGGCCCGTCACACTGGCTCGTCTGAGGATGAAACAGCAGCCACTCTTACGGGAACTCTTCATCCAATAGGAACATTTGCTTCTAATTAGCTAACAAGTCACTGTTTCTTTACAAGCTTTTGAGAGAAGCTGGTGAGAGTAAACCTACAATAAACACTGACAGAAGTGTGCTGCTCACCTTCCTCCTCTTGGCGGGCATTCCGTGCAGGTAGGCGTCGGACAGCGGCGGCTGGGCTTTGAGCTTCCTCTGAGACAGCATGTCATGTCTGATGATGGGAACCCATTCCTGACCAAGACATTATCTAGTCATAATCCAATGAACTGATGGTGACTGCTCATATATGCAACTGATCTACAATATGGGGGCTGGGCAATAAAACATTAAATGATAATTCTTGCAATGTAATGTTCCTCCATAAAAAAATAACAAATGTTCAATATATCGTCAATAAATGTTTGTGATTCAAAGAAAGTGGATCAAACGAATTAGCACTTAATTGTTCTTTTAAGATATTTATTTTGATGAGGGCTAGGGACTGAAAAAAGATTTACTGATCATTAAAAAAAAAAAAATCAGCCTTTAACCTTGAAATAAATTATATTTAGCCTGATAATTATCAATATCGAATAGTATGAAATGTTTTTATGGCAGTAACACTGTTGGCCGTTTTGCCTGGTCACAGCACTTTTTAACATCCAGGCAATTCAAAGTGCTTTATGTAAGACATGATGAGACTTAAGATAGGATGGAAAAGAAACTCCACAAGTTGCTCTTGTTTGCTTGGACCACAACCAGCCTCTATCACAAACTGAACAGAAACTAGCTAAGGACCCGGTTTTCCAGTCTGTCTAGTTAGATGCAGACTGTCGGCAGCAATGAGCTCCAGAAGACTACGACTAAAATGTTCCCACTGTAAATCCCACTGTGCCCACGTCACTGTCTTCCTCATGTTGTGACCCCCTACAGTACCCCGCCCCCCTCAGCATTGGTTTGTACTGCCTGAGAAAACCTCATTCCTTACAGGTGGAACTGCTGCTGTCCATTGCTCCACCTCAGGGGTCGCCTCCTCCCATCCTGCCGGGGCCCCAGCGGGACACTGAGTGTCCCCCGCTGGGGCGGCGTCCTGTGCAGGAGACGTACCTCTCTCTCCGCCGTCGGCTGGTGAAGCCACGGCATCCTCTGCTGTGGTGGCTGGAGCTGGAGACAAACTGTCCTCCATCTGACAGAGGGGGGGAGCAATCACACCAGCGCTTCATTTCAGTTACACTGATTTACATTTGTACTGCAGAGGATCAACACGACCACGATATGTGTCAGGGATGGTGAATCTTATGGAGAGAAGAGCTCATCGAACGTGAGGCTGCACGTGACAATCCAAACAGATGATTGTGTGTTCAAGATTATTGATGGTGACTGATAATAATAAAGAATGCATCTTTTCCCATCTCAGCGTTCTGATTTGAGGATTCTTTTTCACAAAGCACTTTCCTGCTACGCTTCATTTTTCTAGGTGAAATAAAACGGACAATTCTTTCCAACGTTTCACAGCAGAAAAACTCAAGCTCCAGCTTCTGGTGATATTCTATATTTTTCTTCCTGTCAACAAAAGTAAATGCTCCGTACCACCGATCTTTTGATTAACAGGCAACGCGCTCTACCTCCTGAGCCACAGCCGCCCTGAGGATGTCAACAAATCCCTCGATGTGCAGAGCCAAACCAACAGTGGATGTATCCTCCTCACGATGTCTTGTGTCTCACAGCCTGATGTCTCTCCTTCCTCTGAGCTCCACTCTTCCAGAAACTATTACAGCCATCAGTGAGCCTCACTGCTGCTTTGGGTGACATGTGCCTTCATCACACACACTGTAGTTTATTTTGTCAATCCCACTTTCACCAAATACTCACTAGAGCACCACATGTGCATTCATCTGCCGTTAATAATAGTCCCTAACAAATGCACTATTTCCTGCTGTTTGAGTGTTTGAGAGTGTATTACTGAGAGACAGACTAACACGTTGTTAGTTTGGTTCTGCACATGGGATTTGTTAATGATGACCAAAAATAAACCGACCGATCCTTTAAGAAGAGCCCTGACTGGCAAAAATGATTGAGATTTAAACCTTTTTAAGAAAAATTTGAACAAACCAAACGCACCTCCACATTTGGACTCTCAGATAGGGGCTCCAGCTCATCCCCTGTCCTCTGGTTCATCGGACCCTGAAATGACATTGCTGTTAGGGCTTACATCTTCGTGTTTATCCTTTTGACCTCGACTTCAGCCCATTCACACCCTGATGGCCCAGCCTTCAGGATCTTGCCCAAAGAAACTTGGACATGCAGACTGGAGGAGCCGGGGATCGAACCACCAACCTTCTGAACAGTGGACAACCCGCTTTATCTCCCGATTCACAGCCGCTCCACTCATCCAGTATTAACAGTATTATCCTGCCTCTTCTAATGAAAACACATTTCAGCAAACAATGGATGGACTGGATCCTGTTTGTGTTACTGCTGCAGAACTAAATGTGCAGAGGCAGCTGCAGATATTTCTGGATATATGAGCACGTCAGGCCCACTCAGGCCGCTGTGCAGTGTGTCCAGCTGCAGCAGGTGCTGCTCACTATTACCCGTGTATAGATGATGTAGTGCTGGATTTGGTCCTCGGTAACTGGGTTGTGTTCCAAAATGACATGCAGCCTCATAGACATCATACTGGTCAGCCAGTTGACCAGACTGGGATTGACATCTGCAGACATCCTCCTCTACACAAACACACACAAACACAAACATGCAGCTGTTGACTCGGATCACACGAGTAGAGCGTTATGCTGTGGTTACAGATGATGTCCACTTACAATGCGGTGGTTGATGACTGCAGTCAGAGCTCTCTGTTCTCCTCTGAGGCAGTACAGGTTTAGAGCCAGACACTCAAACAGGCCCTGAGTGCACAGCAACAGAAGACGGGGGCCAAACATGTGATCTGCACAATGAAAAAGCCAAGACAGAAAAACATTCAGTCCTCCCCATGTTCACATCAGCGTGGTGTTCACACGCCTAAAGAATCCTCTGCTAAACACAAGTAACAATGAATAAGAAAATACCCCAAATATGAAGTTGAAGTTTGAAAGTTTGGGTTCGGGTTTAGAGCAGGAAATCAGTCCTAATTAGCCAAAGACTCTCAGTGACACATACCAAAAGGCATTTTGTCATTTTCTTAATTTAGGAAATGACTCCTATCTAGGGTTGCACAATTAATCTAATCACAATCACGACGTCGTTGTTACATAAGCGCAAAAAGTGTGCGATTAAATAAAACATTCTCGCTGCAGTCTGCTCATTATCTCCGCTAACACGGGGCCTCTAAAAAAAAAAAGCCTACGTACAATGAGAAAAATATTTTAAGAGCAGTGTGCCAGTAACATTTAAGACAACAACCTACCGTAAACCCCCTCCCTGCCCACGCTAATCGTTCAAATCATAGAGCACCGAGAGAAATGCCGGTGTCGCGCCGAAAACTGATGTTTGGTAGGCCTATGTTTAATATCTTTGTTTATATTTGGAAAACGGGCTGTAGCCTAATTAACATGACTTACTGCCAACGTAGATATAAAATGAAGACAATTTTGCTGTTAGGATGTTTGCTGTCCACTCTTTTTTACCTGTTAAAAACCTTTAAATGGCCAGTACAACTCTTAAAATGCAGTATTTCACTTGCCAGAAAATGATTGAAGCCTTTTGTTATTGACTGAAAGGTGATTTCTGCCCTGAAATTAGTTGATTTCATTCAGAAGGGTTATATTTGACAGATTATAGCTCACCTAGTACTTTTTACCTCTTAAAATACCTTTAAATGGCCAATATCACCCATAAAATGCAGTAGGCTATTTCACTTTGAGACTGGGCAATACAGCTCCAGCAGACAGCAATCAGACCAATCACAGCCTGGATGGGGCGGGACGTTAAAAAAAGTTGTGCTATAACAAAATCATTAAATGTTGAACAACATGATTATGGACAAGTTAGTACTTAGCATTAACAAATTAGAGACCATTGTAGAGCCTTTTTCTTGCACAAGGATTACATTTTATATAACCACCCACAAAAATGAAACAGCTATATATACTACTAATATATGTGAAATTCTAATATTATTGTTATACCAACAGTAAACTATATACTAAACATTATACTCTTTATTTAATACACCATCTGTGCTGATATTCAGGAGAACTCCAGAGACCTGACATGTCAGCAGCTGCGGGAGATGGAAGTCAGGCAGAAACAGTCCGTGGAGGGCACATGTATGGAGCGCTAAATGACAATTAGTAAATTAAACGATACGACAAGAACTGAATCATTGACAACAAACTATTTCTGCAGAGCTCAAACTAGATAGATAATGCACAAGACTCAAGAGGCCTCAAGGTTCTGCAAGGGCCCTCATATGAAATTTTCCACTGTCTGATACTTTAAATCGCAACTGTCGCAAAAAGGTACTACTCCTGATTTACCTTGTCAGAATGATTCACCGGGACTTTATAAATACAGTCCCAGGTGAACCAGTGATGGTGAAGCTCCTGGAGAGAGTGTGACGTCACTGTGAGCAGCTCGTTTTGACCATGTGCTCTCCTTTGCTTCCCAAAGTGCTGAAAAGGCATCTTTTTATAAGCTCATGTGGTCTCCTACAAGTTAGGACTCTGGAGCTCCCCGAAATATCGGAACAAATAGAAGTCACTTCACAAGTGAAGACTGAAAGGTTGACTGGCCTGTTAGGATGGATGATAACTCACCAGTGACTGCTGCTGTTTACTAACTTATTATTGTCAGTTAGTGTCACTGTGTCTTCAGCATGTATTCTAACTAACTGACTACTGCAGTACTACTGAGGAAGGGGACAGAAGACTGAAACTGAAAGCAGCCCTCTGACTGAACTTACCGCGGCAGTGCAGGATATGAGAGGCCACCTGTGTGAACTGCTGTCTGAGGAAGGACAGGTTGGTCTGAACGATGTCCACTCCGTCTCGCACTGTCACTGTGGCCTAGACACAACACACACCACTCACTTATGTCCATCACTACATACCTAGGACACAGCCCAGTACATTAGATGGACTGTAGCAGACAGACCGTGCGTGACAGAAGTTGTCCTTACAAAGCTCTCAGCTATGTAGTCCTCCAGTCCGTTGATGAGGTCCTCAGCTGCTGTCTGCAGAGAGGACAATGTGTTAAAGTCTTTCCTGTGAAAATGACAGATCCATACAGTAAAGTCAGGTGTGTGAATGTTGACATGTAGCGTGCAGAGATCTGAAAGTGCAGACAGCATCATTTAACACAACAGACTTATGAATGAATTTGTCCTCCATCACTTCCGCTGACATCTCTTTAATAATGGATCTCTTTGGGTCCAGTGTGAACAGGAGGAAGGATTAGGTAAGCTGTGTGACTGTGTGCTTAACTTTAAGACAGACTGGGAAAAATGAACCTATCCTTTAATGAAACTTACATGACTTATTATTGATTACGGCTACTTAATCAGCATTTGATTTGGATCGTTAACTCATCAGAACAAGTGCCTGTCTTTCCCAGCAAGCTGCTCAATCATTGGTGTGCTCAACTTTAGACTCGACAGGCACGATGCCCAACACGTTAGCCCTCACCTTCAAGGCACTGAGCCAGCAGGGCTGAAAGAATGTTATGAGGGGCTCAAAAAATAGTTTATACGGAGACATATTTCTAGCTCAACAGTAGTGATAATAGTGATGTCCTGAACACATCTACTAGCTTGGGGTTTGGGTTGATGAAGACATTGTTTAATTATTGTCTAAATAAAACCTGATCCTTTTCTAAACCTTAGGTACTGTAATCCATTGTGCTATAGGTGAGCCAGCTGTTGATGACACCCCACTGCTCTCAGCTCTGTGGGCGAGTGAAGTAACCAGCACCACAAATAACTTATTAGTTATTAACATCCACAGTGTTAGAGCTCCTGTATCAGCAACATTCCTCAGGTACCTGATGTCTAATATTCATGGTATTTGGAAAAGACACTGCATGTCATTTCCGGCAATAATTACATGATTTGAATGCAGCTTCCACCATGTCCACACAGGAGGAGTAGCATGAGCAGCCTGTCTGTGCCTACGCAGGATGAGTGCAGGTCACCTGCCTTTTGGCAGCACTTAGAGCCCAACGCCAAATCTCTAGTTATGCACATAAGACAGAAGAAAAACAGGACTTGAAGCTTAAAAACACACTTTGAAAATGCCAAGCCGCTCCGCAGCCTGTGTAGACATGTGGGATGGACAGGCAGCTGAAAGGCTTTCTGTAGGGGCAGATTAGGACAAGCCTACTGAACGCTGACAGCCCTTACAGTTCTTCAAGCAACACATCAAGCAGCTCCGTGTGTGAGCTCTCTCTGCAGTACTTACAGCTATGTTAGCATCAGTGGGCTCTCTGCCCTGGAGGTAGTGTTCGGTGAAGAAGTCAGTGAGCTGGGGCTGGATGCGGCTCAGAGGCTGGGCGTTCCCATGAAGCAAAAGCACCATGTCCACCATGGAGAAGCTCTGACACACCAGGGACAGCAGGTCACCAAAGAACCCTTCCAAGATGAGAGTCAGTGTATCAGTCATAGTAAATGATGTGAACAGTAAACTTCGTTTAGAAGCCATTCTAAGAATGCATTAAGCCAGTGATATGTCTTTAACATGACTATGAGGTCAGTGTTGACTAAAAGCTGCAGGTAAATTCCTTCTCCTGTTTTCTGACTCACCCACAGCATCTCCAGAGCTAGGGGTGAACAGGTTGCTGGTCTGGGACAGTCTCTGGATGAAGTGGGCGATGCTCTCTCCATTGCCCTGCTGTGTCCCCAGAGAGCTCATCATGGTGGACAGCACTCCCTGCACGATGCCGGTGAATAGCTCCGGGCTCAGAGAATCTCCACCTGCACCGCTGCGGGCCTGAGGCGGGGCAGGACCGACGGACTGAGGGGGGACTGGGGCAGCAGGGCCGCCGGCAGGTGGCTGGGCGGAAACGAAAAACTGTTCAGCTGCAAACACACCTGTATGCTACAAGAGTCCGTCTGCACACAGGGCTACTCTGAGTCAATGCTGACTGGATGCAGGGAGACTGCAGAAAAACAGCAGCTAAACTTTTCACAGCTAAGTCACAGCTGTGTGACTTTCTACAGAGCAATAGTTTATTTGAGGATTTTCAGTCAGGATTTAGAGCTCATCATAGCACAGAGACAGCACTGGTGAAAATTACTAATGACCTCCTTATTGCATCAGACAAAGGACTTGTCTCTGTACTGGTTTTATTAGATCTTAGTGCTGCATTTGATACCATTGACCATCAGATCCTATTGCAGAGACTGGAATATTTCATTGGCATTAAAGGAACCGCTCTAAGCTGGTTTAAGTCCTATTTATCAGATCGATTTCAGTTTGTACATGTTAACGATGAGTCCTCCATGCACGCCAAAGTTACTCATGGAGTTCCTCAAGGATCTGTCCTTGGACCAATCCTCTTCACTTTATATATGCTTCCTTTAGGCAATATTATCAGGAAACATTCCATAAGCTTTCATTGTTATGCAGATGATACTCAGTTATATCTATCGATCAAGCCAGATGAAACTCATCAGTTAGCTAAACTTCAAATGTGCCTTCAGGATGTTAAAACCTGGATGACCTGTAATTTTCTCATGTTAAACTCAGATAAAACTGAAGTTATTGCTCTGGGGCCTAAGCACCTCCGTGACGCATTATCTAAAGATATAGTTTCCCTGGATGGCATCGCCTTGGCCTCCAGCACCACTGTGAGGAATCTTGGAGTTATCTTTGATCAGGACATGTCGTTTAAGTCTCACATTACGCAAATTTCAAGGACCGCCTTTTTTCACCTACGTAATATTGCGAAAATCAGGAACATCCTGTCTAAAAATGATGCAGAAAAACTAGTCCATGCATTTGTTACTTCTAGGCTGGATTACTGCAATTCCTTATTATCAGGCTGCTCGAAAAAGTCCATTAAGACTCTTCAGCTGATCCAGAATGCTGCAGCACGTGTTCTGACAGGAACCACGAAAAGAGATCACATTTCTCCTGTAATAGCTTCTTTGCATTGGCTTCCAGTAAAATCCAGAATAGAATTTAAAATCATTCTTCTTACCTACAAAGCTCTTAATGGTCAGGCACCATCTTATCTTAAAGAGCTCATAGTACCTTACTACCCCACCAGAGCACTGCGCTCCCAGAATGCAGGGTTACTTGTGGTTCCTAGAGTCTCCAAAAGTAGACTAGGAGCCAGAGCGTTCAGCTATCAAGCTCCTCTCCTGTGGAACCAGGTTCCAGTTTGGGTTCAGGAGGCAGACACCATCTCCACATTTAAGAGTAGGCTTAAGACTTTCCTCTTTGATAAAGCTTATAGTTAGGGCTGGCTCAGGTAGTCCTGAACCATCCCTTAGTTATGCTGCTATAGGCCTAGACTGCCGGGGGATTTCCCATGATGCACTGAGCTCCTCTCTCCTCTACTTTCTCTCCCTCTGTATGCAACCTTATCCCATTATTGCATGTTACTAACACAACTTCTCCCCTTTCTGGTAGTCTTGTGCTTTCTCGTCCCTCTCCTCTCTCCTCCTATCACTTCCTGCAGGTTTTCTGGCTCTGGAGCTGTGGAGTCTGGATCTGTGGCTGCGGGTCACCTGCTGCCCCCGTGTTCCTGCTCGACACCCTCTACTGCAACGACTTGTTGCTAGTCTTATTGTTATTATTGTTTTTATAATCATTAACATTACGATGGTTACCATTAACACTATTATAAATATCTGTACCATTTTTCATTTAGTCTATAGCAACATTACCTTCACTGTCTGTACCTCTGTGTGTAAATTTTGTAGGCTGCCCCCCTCCCCTCTCTCTCTCCTAACATCCCTCTTTCTTTCTTTCTTTCTTTCTTTCTTTCTTTCTTTCTTTCTCTCTCTCTCTCTCTCTCACCCTCTCTCTCTCTCTCTCTCACCCCAACCGGTGGAGGCAGATGGCCGCCCACCCTGAGCCATGGTTCTGCTCGAGGTTTCTGCCTCTTAAAAGGAAGTTTTTCCTTGCCTCTGTCGCCTAGTGCTTGCTCTTGGTGGGAACTGTTGGGCTTCTGTAAATATCATCACAGAGTATGGTCTAGACCTGCTCTTTTATGAAAAGCGCTGTGAGATAACTGTTGTTGTGATTTGGCGCTATATAAATAAAATTTAATTGAATTGAATTGAGCTTTTGTGCTTGACTTTATGTTGATTGTAACCTGACACTTTAAGCACACCAAGCTATCTTCATCAGTCATTCTGTCTTCTTCATCTCTTTTCATTAGCTACTGTGAACGTAAATCCTACAAACTGTAAAGATGATCAGTTGATAATTTGAAGTTTAGATTCTGCTCTGTTAGGGTACTTTTTATTTCATATTCATTTCAGTGGCAACACACACACACACATTATATTTCAATGTAACTGAATTAAACTGGTTTTCAAAGGACTTTTAACAATTAACTTAGTGAAACCAGCATCATTATTATTTTGACCCCTTATATGTATTATTTTAATAGAAATTACATTTAATTTTCAAAGTCACTGTAATCAGTTTAACACATCGCTCGCCTCACTTACACTCTAACACTCACATGTACACTGAACTGAAGGCAGCATTGTAGATATTATTTTGTCCTTGTAATCCACGTTTCCATTGCAAATGATAGCCTTTGAATATTGTTGTAAATGATTCTGAATTCCTCCTCCTTTAGGGCTAAATTATAATTATCATAATAATATCATAACAAAAATGCATTGCATTTAAACAGCGCTTTTCATAACACAATGCGATTAAGGAGGGCTACTTGTCCGACCAGGCTGCACGTTACGGGTGGGTGAAAAAAAATCGATACAACATACTATCGCAATATTTTCCGTGATTGTATTGATACTTTATCGATACACAGATGCCATGTATCAATCTTTTATTATCTAAATTGTACATGAGAATTTTACTTTTTGGTACTATAAAAATAAAATCAATTGCTTTTTCAGTCCACTAGAAAAAGAGTTTTCCTTTGGAAACACAACAAGCTGGAAAAAAGGTAATAAATTCCAGTACATCGAAATATGTTTAAAATCGCAATAATATCGTATCGTGACATAAGTATCGTGATAATCTCGTAACGTGGGGACTCTGGTGATTCCATGATGCACAGATGATAGCAGGCCATCATCGAGTAATTTTCAGTGACATCACAGCTGACAGCTGTAATTCAGTATTGACTAGTCAAAGCTGAAGTCATTTCCTTTCTGACGTGAGCACTTGAGTACATTTCTGTTTTTTTCCTTTTTTTAATTAAAGAACAGAATAAGAACAACCAATCAAACAGCTTCTGGACCTCACCACAGGGGAAGAACCATCTGGATTCAGGAGGAACCCTGCAGGCCACCATATTCTGGTTTTCTGTCACACTATGGGAACTCACCGGGATAAAGTCGGACATGCCCTGGAAGACACCCGGCAATGTCACAGTGATGGAGGGAGCTGGTCCAGAGCCGGGACCCCCTGGTCCAGCTGCTCCTCCTAGCAGAGAGCCCAGGAGCTGGGCCAGACTTCCCTCAGGGCTGGCCTCTGGTTGCTGGCCCACGGTGGTAGTGCTGGTGGTGTGGGTGGATGTCTGTCCAGAGGTGTTGGCAGAAGGAGGGGGAGGAGACGTGGTGGAGGAATCAGACGAAGAAGAAGAGGTAGAAAAGGAGGACTGAGAGCTGGCTGAAGAGGATGAGAACATGGCATCACCTGGAGGAGAAACAGGACATAAGTATAACACGAGCGATACTGAATATTTGAGGCCAAAAATATCAATATTTGGGATTTTTAAAATCTGTAATTATTTTTACATAAATGATCCTGATGCTGATACACCTAGATTTGTTTTTTATGACTTATGACTAACATATATACAGAGTGGGACATTTTATACAAGACTCACCATGTGGACAAAGCATGTGATAGAGACATTGTTTCTTAATGACTTCAAACCTAGTTTAAACATTTCTGTGCTGCAAAACCATACATACATACATACAAGCTATCGGTTGATTTATCAGCTTCGTAGATAATCGGTCTAGCTATACAAATAAGCAGACAGTCACTTGAGCTCAGTAAGTATTCAGTGATCCCCCAGAGTGAGTGAGTTTCCCAGTAACTGGGAGTACAACACAGCCAGTAAAATTATCTGATTAATACATTCTGTTACTTGGCAGGAGCTTTGACAAGTATGAATGTGACCCTCATGTCACAGCGAGAGGTTATCTCAGCTTGAAAGAGGTTCATAATGGGAAGACCCAGTGTTTTTGGAACTTGAACCACCGTAAGTCAGAATACCTGGGGTTCTGCTGCAAGAAGTGCAATTTAAAAAGTCCCTGGAGTATTTCTTTTAAGGCTCAGGAGACAAAATAGATTTGTAAAATATGAAATTATATATTTTTTTGCTTCAGAAAGAAAATGTCTGGACTGCTCGGAACTTTAAATTAGTGTAAAGAAGGTGCTTTTTATTCAGATTGCTATTTCATGGTTACGTTCTGAAAACATAGACAATGCTTGCAGGGCGTAGCCCTCAGCACACAGCCTCAGATATATGCTCTTTTTTATGTTTTTTTTTTTACATAAACGTTTTAACCTACTGCAAGAGGATTACTGCAGTTTCACAGCTGAGATTGTTTTGTGTATTCCTACCTTCAAGTAGTTCGATGCAGCCTTTTGTTTCCACAAACTTCATTTTAAACAATGGAAATCATCGAGTACTTTCTACTTTATTTAGATAAGCCATTACAGTGAACATCATGTCTGCGTTCACTGCTGTCAAAGTTGGGTTATTATTTTGTAGTAATCCAGAACAGAGAATACAAAACCAATCTACATTTCAACATAACTACAGTATGAAGAACAACATAGTGACTCGATGTCACTGGGATGAATTAATTCACGCAGGTCTCAAGTCTCGGGCCGGTTGTCATGTTGAATGGAAATTAATTATTGGTTGGTAAATCACATTAAAAATCCAAAACATACTTTACTATGAGTTTTTACTGTTCTAAACTCAGGGTTCAATAACTTGCTTTTTGTGGAGCTTTCAACCGTATCCCATGGTTGTCTTCCGTAAATGGATCGTGTCATCACAAGTACGGACTTTGGTCAAAAGCTCTAAAAAAAGCTAGCAAGTGAAAAAAAGAGTACAGAATATTTGATCAGACACTAGCTTTAGAATTCAGGTAGAGCTCAGTCAGGTAGAGCTGGTTCACAAACATAATTATGCACTGTTCATCCAGTATCAGTATCTGTCTGTAGGAAGCACTTTATGCCAGCACTGTCAGTACTGAGGAAAACAATAATATTCAGTTTGGCAGCTACTCTAACTGTAAAAAACAGCTGGCACTGACCTGGCTGTCCCGGTGTCAGCAGCTGACCCACAAGACCACTGATCATCTGGGTGAGGGAGGAGGGAGCCAGAGGTGTTCCCTGCTCACAGAGGTTTAAAGGGGGCAGTGATCAACAAGGTGCTACATACTTACTGCACAACAGTTCCTTGATCTGTATTTTTCAATACACTGTAGGATGTAGCTACAACAATTACTTGATTACCGATTTCAATAGAAATTTAGTGTTAATATTGGCAACTTTAATCCTTTAAGTCATTTTTGAAGTAAGAAATTCCAAATGATCTCATTTTATTTCTCAAAATGAACATGTGCTGATTTTTCTTCTCAAGATAGTAACTTTTGTATGTTTGTGTTGTGGACCATTGGTCAGGCACAGACACATATTTCATGACATTACTTTTTTTTTTTTGATGGGCATTTCAAACTGTTTCCTGATTATGAAGCCCTTGACACGGTTACATCTCTATCCTGTGTTGGTGTTACCTGTCCTGGCTGCTGGCCAGCTGTGGGTACTGTGGCCCTCAGGTTGATGGTGGTTCCCCTGGTTCCCACAGGCTGCGGGATGCGGGGGGAAAAGGATGGTCTGGTGATGACAACCCTGGCCTGAGCGGGGTGGGGGGGCTGTGTGGAAGCAGTTCCCACAGCGGCTGGTGTTGAGCCAGGGCCAGACGCCGCCTGTCCTGGGTGGCCTGCTGAGGCTGCAGCAGCCATGGCGGCGGCTTGGTGGGAGATCTGGTGCACGATGGCCTGCATGAACTCAGGGGGCAGGCCTGGGAAGTGAACAGGTGTCCCTCCTGGAATCAGAAAGAGGTTTGTCCTGAAAAGCAGATCTCTGAATGTGTCTACTTAAAAGGTTTTTTGAGGTGGCTAACATACTGCTGTGGACGGGGGCCCTTTCTGACAGGGAACTGAACTAACTGAAGGCTCTTCAAAGCCACCAGACTCCTTTAACAAAAACAGTCATTTTAGTACACTTAATCTGATTGTTCCCACCCGCAGCAGTACGCTGTTAACGTCCATGCCGGTACAACTCTCTGCTTCTCCAAGCTGGAGGCGCCCCGAACACCATGTACTGCAGGTAATACACTACATAAGGATAAGTAGCTCATACCACTCCACTTCAAAAAGTCCCTCTTACCCAAAGTGTTCAAATAAAGTACTCCATCTTTAAGGAAGAGACAGCTGTTACCATAGCAACAGAGCTACCCAATCAAAGATCAGCACTCACCTAGCTGTCCGGGACCTGCAGCATTAGACTGCCCTGAAACCTGAGACCCAGCAGCTGGCTCACCTGTTCAACACAACAAGAGCAGAAATCCCTCAGCTTCACAGTGAGAGTACAGCACGGCTGGTGGAGACAGGGTGGTGCTACACTCACACAGAACAAGAAAGGTCAAATCAATGATATGATGTGATATGATGGTGACTTTGACCGTTGTAGCCTGTACCTGACAGCTCACAGTGGAGACTGAGGGGAAGCAGTGGGAGAGAGAGAGCACCAACCAGTGACCGGGACCAGACCAGTGCCTTATGTGGCATTTAAATGAGACATTTGGAATATGTCATTAAGAGCGTGATCATTGATTTCACATTCAGATATAGTGATGCTTTCCATCTAAACCCTGGCCACCCACTCAAACAGCCCTGCTTGCTGTTACATTTGCTCTATTCTGCTCAAACTGTGAGCCTGCACAGAGATGTTGCTGCTCCGGGTCGTCTGCCTCCAGCTTCAGCCCTGCTTCTCGCTGCTTGTGTGTGTTGGTGAAACTTCTGATCTCAGATTTCTGCTCTGTTTTCTGCCCCAACCAACAGAATGGCAGGTGTAGAGCTGACCAATAAAATGATCCTTGCTGCGGTGCTGGCTTGTACCCTTCCGGCAGTTACTCTTTAATTGTGTTCATCTACTCCGGCCCTCCAAGGCTTACTTCCTTTGCTTTCTTTACGACTTTTGAAATAAAAGGACACTTTAATTGATAAACCAGCGCCCATAAAAAATAAGATAAAATAAAATAGCTACACCAGCCTCCCATCTGTGTGCTAGAGAGCAAAACAATGTCCGTGATTGACTGATTGATGAATGACTCAGAAGTGGATCACTAAAGAGTAACCACCTGTAGGGGACGCTCTAAGCAAACAAGCCCACAATGTGGCAGGGATCATTTCATTGTTCAACAGTACGGCGGGCATTCTATTGGAGCAGAAACCAGAGATCAGACATTTCACGAGTACACAGAAGCAGCCTGAGTACGAGGAGAGGGGCTGCAGAAGCAGAGCAAATGTAAGAGCAAACAGGGCTGTTTGAGTGAAAGTGAAATCAATGACTCTTTAAAGACCCTGCCCCATAATTGTAAAACTGTATGGTTATATCTCCAAAACTAGTTGACCAGTCTCTCCCTGGGTGAATGATGTTATGATTAAATCATGTTAAGTGACAGACATTGGTGATGACACTGTGATGTGAATGTACTTCATTACTGTCACTGGGTTCTGTATCAATTACAGTGTTACAACTTTTTGTTGAGTAATAGCTGATGTAATGCTGACACTGAGAAATGGAAACTGTACACATTTTAATAGCTCATGATCATTAAGGCCCCAAAGGATATAGGAAATGAACAAATGAATAAATGACAGTGTAACCTCTGGTTTTTTTCCTCATTACTTTTTTCATTGGTATCATTTATGCAGAAGTAATACTGAAGCACTTGGTGTCTTTTTGTCCTCTCACTACACTTGTCCATATATATAATATCCTAATAAATAAATGGATAAGAAGGATAAAGTAATGAATGGGCAATCCATTAAGTAAGACTATTCTGTTTTTCTATATTTCTTGGTTGTTTATCTCTGTATATATTTTGTCATTACTTTTCCATTTTTCATGTCCACATTAATTTATTTCTGTCTGTTTTATCCTTTTCCCAATATATTAATATGAAATATTACTTTCTTTCTTTTGAATTCATATCCTTTATTCTTTTCTGTATTCCAAAACTAATCTCTATCTGAGCGACTGGGGACAGTCCTTTCATACACTCTGCTCCATCAGTCTATGTCATCCCTAATTCCCACAGAAATACAGGAGAGACTGGCTGTTTCACACAAATAACGGAAGCCCATGTGACCATGGTTCAGTCGGGTTCTGATGACACGGCAGCACACATACCATCAATGTTCATCTGCATCATGACTACAGGCTCCATGGTCTGGTGGGTGATCCGGATCACTCGGGGTCCTCCCTGTCCTTGGTGATGAGTGGTCCCATTTGAATGAAGAGGCGGAGCATCACCTGCAGCCTGCTGATCTGATTGGCCAGCATCCTGATAGGGCTGGCGTTGTCCTTCAGCTGCCATTGTTACTGTTGTCCCCATGTTTATCTGGAAGAGAAATACATATTAACTTCAAGTTCCAGCAGGAAGTCATGTAAACAACAGACATCGCCTTCTGATAAATTCTCTTCGCTTGTCCAAAGAATCGACATTTCAGTTCTCAGGCCCCAATTTTGGATTGCGTAAAATATGTGGGGCTATGGATTGACCCTGAATTTTCATATAAAAAAGCGTATAGACTATATATTAAAAAAAGATTTGCTGTTCTATTGGTGTCTTGTACAGCTCAAAGAACTGTTTCACCATGACCGTAAAAAAGAGGCTGGTATCCCAGTTGTTATTGCCTGCTCTTAACTACGGATACTTTGTATATCTAAATACTTCAATGATACTTCAATGAATGTATGATTTGGCAAAAGTTGATGTCATATTTAATAGTTTATGCGGATTTATTCTCAATTGTCACTTTCAACCTCATCACTGTATAATGTACAATCAACTGTAATGTCTTTCTCTTGAAAAGAGACGACAGCTGCACTTGTACAAGTTTCTTTTCAAATGTATTCATTTCAATAATCCAATCTACAAGAGCTATTCATCCCATATAAATCTAATCCTATTTATTCTCTTAGAAGCAATAACCATTCCCTCTTTCATATTCCAAAAACTTTGCCTGAAAAAAGCATTTAACATTAAGGCTCCTGGAGACTGGAACAACCAACCTCTCTGAAATCTCTGCAGTATCTAGGTTCATTTAAAAATGCTCTCATTACTTACCTTACCAACTGCTCCTGTTAATTAATCATCACTACTTACTGTCATATTGTACTGTTTAACACTAGTGTGGGTGTCTAGATTTCATGGCATTTGCATGGTGCTTGAGTGAGTGTGTTTTGTTGTTGTATTTTTATAATGAGTGGAGTGTCCACTGTAACTATGTCTACTATTTGCTGAATATTGTCTTATGTCATTATATGTCTTTTGTCAGGACCCCCTCGAAAACGAATTTCAAATTTTCCATTGGGGAAGTTGCCCTGAGCAAAAAAGAAATGTGCAAAAACAGTGTGAAAAATCTTCAGCTATGTATACGTTAAAATTAATCTGACAAAGGCCCATTAATGACTAATAATGATAATTGCACATTAAACAAGGCCAGTTCAACCTGATTCACTTAAACTCATATTTGAAAATACATTTACATTACACTGCAAAACAACAGTAAGTATACCAGTACATAGGTTATTAGATTATTCTGTCCAAAACTTCAGAGGAAATTGTTATAAAATTACAAATCCATAAAAAGAAAGCATTATTATATGTTCTAATTAATGTTTACAGTTTTGAAATTTATCTGTTTTCTCTTCCAAAGTAGTAAGTGGTTTGGAAAATGCGAGTGCGAGTGAACTTTAAAAGAAGCAGGTTGGTAAAAAACTTGTTGACCATCAGTCAATGTGTACCAAGAAGCCTTGATGGGGTGCAGAACAGTAGGGAACACTAACCACACTGCTTGGGCTGCTGCCTAGTTAAACATTTGCATGTATGAGAAGCTAGACAGATGTCTCTGAACATCAGGAATTCCCCCCAGCAACACACACCACCTATTCACAATTAGTTGGGCATAAAAAGCCTTCATAAGAAACACTCTCTATACATGTGGTCCATACAGCCCTTTCAACCTGAATTAGAAAAGTTATGCTGTTATCACCCGTGTTGGGAAGTAACGCGTTACTGTAATATAACTTTTCCCAGTAACTATGTAGTGTAACTAATACTTTTCTAAAACAGTAACGTTAATATTATTACAGTTGCTAAGGCAAGTAACGCTGCGTTACTCGTTACTGAACGCACCATCTTTGACGTGAATTCACGTGTGCGGCAGCTCAGCGGGACCCGACTTTGTTGTTCATGTCAGCTGATAGCCAGAACTAAAGGAAAAATGGAGAAGAGGCGTTCTTTCTACAGCTGTAAGTAGCTGCTGCTATGATTGTGTCACAGTCTAAGATGCGAAGAACATCGTCGTCTTGTGTAAACCAGCAAAAGCTTTCAACCGCGAACATTTCTACATCTGATTTATTGAAGCATCTGTTGAAGCAGCACAGCAACGTGAAACTTACAGAAAGAATCTCCGGCAGAGCTTTCACTGATGCTGGACTCGTCGGGAGAGAGTGGCGTTGACGTAACGTCTTGTAACCACTGAAGACTGCTATTATAAACAGGCTACATCTGCAGCAAAACCGCTGTTTAAAAGTCGGGATTTACTTGCGTATTAATTTTCTAATTATTTACTAGGCGTATTTAAAATCCTTTTTGATTGAGGAGCATGTATTCGTGCAGCACCTCCTGGCTCATTCACTCTTTCTTTCTCTCTCCCTCTCTCTCATGAACACCGCTGCACAAACCTGTCCAACGTTAGAATACCCCCCACCCCCCGTGCTTTCATTCTGTGGGAATATAGCTACGTAACCATCAAGTAATAAGTAAAGTAATAATATAACTTTTGAGGAGTAATAGGTAACTAGTAATATATTACAATTTCTGAGTAACTTGCCCAACAATTGTTATCACAGTGTCTCTTAACACAACAGAGTGGACCTACTGGAAGGGGCATGTGTGGCAGACCAGCCTGGAGCAGGACAGGGTGGGTGTAGTGGGCCATGGGGCGAACCGCATACAGGTGACGTGGAGGAGAGGTTGCCAGGTTACAACGTAGGTCACCGAGGACAACTAAAGTGTTGCCAAGGAGACGCAGAGCATCTCCGACCAGGTTGAGAACGCGCTGATCCTCCTCTCTTTCCTGGGTCTGTGCACGAAGACACAATCACACAGCTTTGGACAGTCAAGACAAGAAAACCCACTGCTTTGTTAGCACCTGTCAAATATGCGGAAAAGAGGACAGTACATTTTGGCAATCTGCCTATTAAATTATAGTATTATGTATATAGGTGAACATTCTGAATGATAATAACACTTGATAAAGATATCTCTGACGACCAGGAATTTCTACAGCAAATGTCATGGTAACCTGACCGGCAGCATCACATTTCTGAATGTGATGTGATGTCTGTTCTCTGCCTCATGCAGTGGCAGCTCCTCCTTACATTGTTGTTGTAGTCTGCAGAAGTGGCGGCTCCGAGAATCGAGTGGGTCCTCTCTAGGAAGGGACGTAACCGCTCTTCCACCCTCCTGACCTCAGAGAGAACCTCCACAAACTCTGCTGGACTCGGGTGACTGAGGACAAACAGAGGGCAGGAGGAGTCAGCACAGCAAAAGCCCTGCTGATGACCACTGTGTTTGATACCAGAGGCCATACCTATGATTAGAAAGGTGATGCAATGAAGTCTGGATCCACAGCAACCTGACAGTCTGAATGTTATAAACACATTTTGATGGAAAATTAACATAAATGCAAAAATCAGCTCATTTGTGCCTGCAGTATTTAGGAACATGATGTTGGTAAGCAAACACTTTGCAGGTGGATTTACAAATGAATCTTATTCAAAACTTGCCACTGAAATAGTTAAAGGAAACTTTCATTTTTAGGACCAAAAACAATCAAAAGTGTTACGCGTTGTTTTGCATTCAAGCATTTTTTTGGACTTCCACATATGGTTCAAATAATTACTATGTCCTTCTCAAATTTATTTTTATGAGTATTCCAAGTAGCTTATATTGAGACTGTCAACATAACTGTAGGGGAGAGCTTTCTTCATATTAAACCATGCAAAGGTTGGACACAACACATGATGGGTGGTCTTAATCATGAGAAGATGCTCCAAATAAACTGTTTCACCAGAACCATTTACAATTTGCATTAATATGTGGCTTGTATGTAGATATGTTATCTGGAAAAGGAAAAACACATGCCAACTGCAAACGCACTTTGTGTTCGGAATCTCAGCGGACAAGCCAGATCACATTTGGAGGTAGTCAGGCTCGCACTGTGATCGGATCTCAGCCAGGTGTGAATGCAAACTACACAGCGTGACCGCATTCTTGGAAAAATATGCAGCCAGCAAGCTGAAAGGTCACCTAACTCAGCCCCTTCCAGCTGGCTCACAAAGTAGTAGCTAGCAAGTCTTCAAAACGTCATGGAATGAATGATGTCCAAAAAGGTCACAAGCCACGCCCAGCTAATAGTTCCAAATCACGTTAATACCAGGTGCTAATGGGGCTATTCAGTGCACAACTCAGACTTACCTGGGCCCAGTATTGGCTGGTGCCTCAGTCTGAATGGAGGTGGAGGATGATGGAGCAGGAGGAGAGCTGGAGTCCGTGGGTTGTGATGCTACAGCCCCTCCAACAAAAGAGGAAGATGGCAGCATGGAAGAAGAGGACTGGGATGCCTCTGGCTGTGAATGGGAGCTGCGGTCACTGGAAACTCCCTACAACAATTGAACACATCACAATGCACCCAAACACACATGCACACTCAGTACTGTGCTCCACCCTGGTTCATTAAAGTGATGTAAAAATGGACACTGAAAGCAGCCATCTGATGAGCCAGTGAGCTCCTGGGGAAACATGCATAACAATTTTTTTTTTAAGGTTTGTTCCCTTCACTAATTCATTAAACTGAAATTACTGGTTGTATGCCTCCATCAACCAGTCAGGTTGCATTTTCTATCCATGTCTGTGCAGACTCAAATATGTAGTGAACTGAATAAAAAGGTATAAAGTGAACTGTTTAGCTAAATGGTAGATATGATTTCAGTGAAACATATTGAACTGATTCATGATACATGTACTTGATTACTATGTAAAGATGGATTCTTATAGAGTCTAGCTACACAGCACGTGGGGCCTTTGTTTTCTCCTGGCACTTTTAGATGCGACGCCTCTCTATAGTCCCTGTTCCACTGGATGGTACCAGCTCCACTCGCCTCGACTGTACTCGCCTTTTCTGGTTTTCCATTGTAGGTTTTTTGGTGTCCCCTCTGTCGAGGTTCTACGTGAGCTGAGGCCATACCAAAAGGTGAGGTAAAAACACTGCAGACTTCTGATAGAGAATCGTCACTATTCACCGCGCACGTCAGACGGGTTGACCTGTACAAACCCGCCATTTTTAAATAGTTTAGCCAGAGATTGCAAGATATTAACTGTAACAATACTCTCTGTACTTATTGCTTTAAACAGCCACATCAGTTTCCTCCATTGTCCTTTGTGTGGAGAGACATGTGGCACGTGGTGTGTCTGGGTCGCAGGTGTGAGTCACATTGAAGATTACTTCACGGCAGTTTTGTGTGGTGTCGCAATGATTACCAGCTAAATTGATGGGGGTACTAAATCTGCAATGGAAAACAGAGGGTGGGGCACTAAAAGCAAGTTACCAGCTATGGGTCAAATGACCTTTAAGTCAAAAGTGTCACCTATTCAGTGTCTGTGAGGTCACAGTGACTTTGACCTTTGACAACCAAAATCTAATCAGTTCATCGAGGCATTATGTTTTCGGGTTGTCCATCAGCATAAATAGAACATAATAAATAGAAAGAACAAAAAAAATAGTAACAACAACAAAAAAGTAACAAAATCCATGAAAACTGACTTGATGATTCTGCCATTTCTCAGGCGTTAAATAACAACCTACTGTAGGTAGCAAAAGCAGTACGTGTACTGTACCTCCAGCCTGTGGATCAGAGAGCACGCGTCCCTGAGCAGGTTCTCAGCCAGCTGCAGCCTCATCCTGGCCTCACTCTGCACTGACTGGTCCAAGTTGATCTGTACGTCCACCGAGCCATTGTTCTGTACAAATAAACCACTGTCAGCTGTACAGGAAGAGTGAGACAAAAGGGCTCAAAAGATTGATAAAATGATGACGAGTGAATAACGAGCCTTTACCCCGCTGCTGGTGCCAACCCTGGCACTCCTTCCAGCTTCACCAACTTCAGCCATCATCTGCTGAACGGACATCTACAGAACAAATTCTAGCTGTCAGCATGAACTCGTTCTTCCCTTCAGAAAAATATTGTGAAATGTGAGTTTTCCCGTAGCAGGGTCACCCCCACCTGTATCTGCTGGGGCTCCATGATGCTGACGGGCAGGTTGAAGGTCCCCAGCATCACGTAGCTGTTCGCATTGCGGTCATGTGGTGCACCCTGGTAGGAAGTGTAGCTGCTACTTCCACCTTCTGCCATCCCGGCAGAAACACCCGCATCCCCAGAACCGGACATAGAGGATTGAGGTGGGGCACGCTCCACCAGGTGGATGACCTTCCCGTCTACATCTGAGGGAGAAACAAAGGCATGGACTTCTTTACATACACTGTAAACAAGAAGAAGAAGTTATGGAGATTAAACTAGCTGAAGTCAGAAGCACCAGGAGATTTCCCTGTGGCCTGAGGCTTCTTTGGCCTGCCGTTAATTATCAACTTAACCAGCGGCAGCTATGACAAAGGAAGCTTTTTCATAGCAGGTGAATCCACACAACAGGCACGTCTCACTCTCTCACTTCTCTTGCGAGGGTGCACGTGTCAAATATGACATCCAGACTTTTGTCAAAGAGAATATAAAAGTTGAATCTGTCACAGGGCAGCCACAGTCCCTCAGACCTGTAGACCGTCAGCCTACCCGGTCGCTTTTAACCTGATGGTATGATCTCTGTCATCACACGTGACTGGTCACATGCACACACACATCAACACAGCGTTCAATCAGTGCATGACTGTGCGTGGCCGACCAGTGTGGAGAAGAAATGCACAGCAGAACGAAGGAAAGAAAAGGGCAGAGCTGAGGTGGAGAAAAGGCAGGAGGACAGTGCCGTTAAATGCTGTAAAATACAGATATCTTCATGATTAAGGAACATGATGGTGTTTAAAAAAGAAAACAACATAGACTACTAGCAGGACTGCCCTTCATATTGTCATATCATAACTGCCTTTCCAGAGTTGATTCTGTTTTAAGTTAAAAGTTGTAATTCCATGTATGAAAGCAGAAGATGCGTTTGTAGAGGAATAATCTGGAAAATAAATACCTGTATACTCAATTCATATCTCCAGTTACTTAAAGCTACTGCAGAGCTTCATAATGATAAACATAAATCTAGTCAAAGCTCTGAGGAAATGCAGATGCAATTTTTTTATTATCCTATTGCCTTAATTGTGTGTGACTTTGCTCTTTTCTCTTTGTTTCTAATGCAGATCATTTTCTACTCTGTATTACAGCCTACTGATTTTAAATAGGATTTAAATAATGTTTCTGGTTATTTATTTTGTTTTTATCTTTTGAATTAATCTTTTACACCCATTCAGCACTTTTATTATATAATAAGAAGGTACTCTTTTAATGTGTTTATCTTAATAGACTACATGTTTTCAAAAAAACCTTATGATAATATTAGTACATTTTAGCACACCATTGTCAACTTTAATTGTATATTACGTAATTTCCCAACAACAAAAATGTGGCTAATGAAAATGCAGTGTGGCTAGTAACTTTGGAAAAGCAAAAATGTTAATGTCAAGCACTGGTTGTAATACTAATGTGTAATATTCTCTGTTTCAATACTCTGATTACTTAGTCTCATTATGTTTTATTTTGTTTGTTTTTAGACTCTTAAGGATTTACAGTCTATCCCACCTCAACACAACCAGCGCTATTATTATATAGCATTATTATTATTACACTATATATTCATTACTGCTATTGATTGTTACACTTCTGGTAATAATGTATATATCCACATTTATTATTTATTCTTTTCATAGATTTTGACTTTCTTAAATTTTCAATGCCTTGATGTGCAAGCAAGTGTCTGTTACAAAGAATTTCCCCTCAGGATCACTAAAGTGTTTCTGATTCTGACTCTGACACTGCTATGGTCAAAAGCAAAGGTGAAAAATCAACTTCCCTATCCTTTGGAGATTATAAAAAGACATTGACTGTTTGTCCCAATCCATGCTGCTCCACTATGTTCACTGTTCCTGTGAGTTTGCATACTGTCGGTTAGCAGGTTTCATTTAGGCTACTCACTGTATTCAGTCAGCGTTCTGTCGTCCTGCAGCACTCGGCCCTGGTAGATGAGCCTCTGCTTGTCTACTGGGATCTCCACTGATGCTGCTATGTGCTCCTTGAACTTCTTCACTGTCAGCTGGGGGACATCACACATTACACCACCTGTCATTGAAACTGACGGGCAGGAGAGGAGTCTAAACAGGGCAGTATTTAAATCACGCTAAGAGCATTACCTCGCCTCTGACTTTGTAGCTCCTGCTCTGGGAGTCCAGAGTCTTCACAGTAACTTCAATAATGCCGCTGGACTCAGCCATATTCCAGAATGTCTGAAATAATAATAAAGTTAGAACTGTAAATGAAGCTTCAGTTAACGTTAATGTCTGCTATAGTGCACTAGGGATTATCTTTAATATGGGGAATGAAGAGGAACCAAGCCGCAGCTACGTGATAAAGCTTGCGTGATGGCAACCTTAATCTGCCATCAAACTAATAAATGTGGTAAAATAATCAGGCAACACCTTACTGACAGCTCCAGAGCCGTGTTGTTGTTATTAGCTTTTTAGCTAGCTAGATAACGTTAGCAAAGCTCAATAACTGCTAACTACTAATGTCCCCAGCGGAGAATGTTGTCTACCTTCTGCGGAAAATAGGTTAGAGCTTGCTTTTGATTTAAAGTTGACAAAGTATATAACAACCCGTATTTATAAAGAAACTCTTGTTTAAATTGCTCAGATTGATCCGTTAGCTAACTAGCTTAATTTCCCCAAATAGAACACGCAGAGCTCAGAATGCAACGTCAAAGGACCCCAATGACGTAAAGACAAGCGTCTGTTTCACGCCTGAGCGCTTTTGTGTTTTGATTGCTGTCACTTCGGCAAAGTGTAGGCCTGAAGTTAATTTCAAAGTGTTCGAAGAAGTACTGGACATGCTACTTATTTCTACTGTCACCTCAATATATGATTAGATACGCTGAAAAGACAAAACAAATAAGTATTAATTATCATTATTGTTATTTGGGCTAACGTTAGTAGTAGTAACCTAGTGGTACTTGGTTAATGTAGTGGTAGAATGTTTTGTTTATTTGTTTAATAAAATATAAAATACAATTCATTGCACGGATTGTATTTTATATTTTGCTCTATTCTTCAGACAGTCGGCTACGCGCGCGCGCGCGCGCACACACACACACACACAGACTGTGAACTGTGGTCTGAGTCGATGTTAGGCTATGTGTTTTCCAGGACACACCTCAAACTGTGCGATTGAAGGAGTTAGTGATGTCTGTGACTGAATATCTTCCTCCAAAAGAGTTCCACAGACATGGTGAGGATTCCTGAAGCTGTCAGGAGGCTCATGGAGACATTTGTGTTAATTTGTCATCCATCTGTATGCATACACAGTGTGTGTGTGTGTGTGTGTGTGTAGGCTGTAGGCGGCTCTTCTCAAGAAGTCCCGGTCTGACGGACAAGTTGAGGCGGTATGAAGGTGTGGCAGCAGTCATGAGGCGGAGTCCTGTCTGTGCCATTCAACTATCACGGGGGGAAAGTTTATGGAACTTTTCCTGATGTCCATCTTCATTCCGCGAGCTCTTTCGATTAATACTTGTGAGCATATGATAGTGCTGTAGGAGAAGGGAGATCTGAGTCAGTGCGGCTGACCGAGCCGAGAACAAATCTCGAGGCAGCAGTAGCGGCAGCAGGTTGGATTTCTGTGTCCTTGGGGTGCTGAATCGGCTTTGCTGGATCCCGATCCTTCACTTCATGCACATGTTGCTCATGAGTTCTGGAGGACCCTAACGACCTGCATGGAGAACGCTTAATAACTGCTGGGAGAAGAGGTAAACATACACTGACGTTAACTCACCATAGTAGAGCGTTGGCACCTGATGCCTTACTGATCCAGATATGAGACTGTTGTTTTCAGCAAGCAGAGGTCTGGGAGGGCTGGATGTCATGAAATTAATAGACACTTTTATCAAGCACAAAATGGCACTGTGGTGACATTCAGGACTAACAAGCTGACAGTTTGGCTTTCAGTCTGGTGATAACAATGACCATGCCTATTTTGTGATTTTTTTGAAGCCTAATTCCTCCAGGAATAAATAAAAGAAGATGAGAAGTTATAAATTCCTAAGTGTAAATTATGACATACCTAAGAACTGTGGCATTATGAAAAAGTGTTTGTGTGTAAAGAATCCCTGCTAATCAAGATCCAACTGAAGACAATAAATTGTCACAGTGACACTTTTTCTGAATTGACAGTAAAATCTATTTTGCTTTTTGTATGTTGGTGGTACAGCTTGTGAGAACAGAATCCCTATCATTAATGTAATCTACGCTTGCATTAATGATTTAACCTGTGTGTGTGCGTGTGAGTGTGTGTGCATAAATTAGGAGAGGTTAAAGGGCATTTCTAAGCTTTTATAAGTTGGTTCCCAAATGGGCTGCCATTCACTGAGCAGAAACAGTAACGTGGAGCTATTCATTGTCTCTGTGACCCATTTTTCTGGTTGTCTAATTTTATTGTCTCTCACAACCCCCATCCTCTCTGCTTTATTTACCAGGCTGTGCTTCACTGCAGCTCTGATCTTTTCTTAACCACTTTTCCTCATTTCCTGCCTTTTACTTCTTTTTCAATTTTTTGCAGCACTTCCTTTTCCTACCCTTCCCCATCACTTCTAATACAGAAGAATGCGCAGATTCAGCTCTGAGGGATCCCTCCTGGATCTTGACTTCCTCCCATGGAAGAAGGTGGAACTGAAAAACCCAGATTATGAGAAGAACCAGGGTTGTGGCACCTACACACCTCACATAGCAGAAGATAAGCTGGGTGGGATCTTAGCTGTCCCGACTCCCACTATCCAGGAGCCCAGAGCGAGTCCTGGCGAGGTGGGGAAGAAGGAGCTGGCCAAGGAGCACAGCGTCAGCGCAGAGAACCTGAGTGAGCTGGGCAAACTGGAAAAGAGCCACCTTGGAGTGTGTCTCATCAATGAAGGATGCAGGGCCTACAGTGACGGCCAGCTGGCCCCGGCCGCCCAGGGCAGCACGGAGAACGTAGCGAGAGACGACCAGACCCCTCGCTCTCCATCATCATCCTCCTCCCACCACTTCCTCTTCAAATCCCAGCACACCCACCAAAAACCAAGACTGTCATCGGCTAAACTGCACCTCAAGAGTCTGTTTGGGCAGGTGGGACACCTCTCAGTCTACACTGAACAGTAGTGCACATACAAGCAGCCTCCTGAGAGCTCAACACACTGAGATATTTGAACCAGTTTGTAAACAGATAAGCAGCATTTAGAAGAAAACTGAGAAAACACAACTGAATACAGAAACGCACTCTCAAAACACAACCAAATACAGAAGCACGCTCCAGAAGCAGAGATGACAACCAAATACGCACAACAAAACACGCGCTGCCAATACAGTTAACAACATGACGATGCCATGGTTTGCGACTCTTGAAGTTACTGAAGTAAGCTCTCCATCAGTGGTGTTGGAAAATGAATTCAGATGTATGCTTATGTGGGTTATTTTAACATACTATCATTGCATTGTATAGCATTGTTTTCTGATATTGCAGTGCGTTTCTGTACGGGGTTGTGTTTTTTCACCGTCGTTGCTTAAAAGATTTACATTGAAAGTTGCTTATTGGGATTTCAGAGAGTGGAACAGAAGCAAGATCTCCAGTAAACTTTGTTGTATTTTGTTTCAGAGTCCTCATTCCTCAAACTCCAACCTGCTCAACACAGAACCCAACAACAGGTACGAATGCCATTATTATTTAGTTTTGTTGATCGGAAGATATAATTGCATGTAAAATAATCTCTGAATGTCTTCACCACACTTAAGACAGTTCATGTTCTGTCCTATAACAAAATGAAATCCATTTGATCCTGAAGTGCTACACACAGGAGGTCTCGCCTGCTCTTCATGCGTCAGTGGAGTCAGGTGGGCCACAGTAAGAAGAGGAAGATCAGTCGAGAAGAGCTGGAAAAGTGGGCTGAGTCCCTGAACGCCCTGCTGGCCAGCCAAAGTGAGTCCTGCTTAGATCTGAGATTGGTTTTATTCAGCCAAAGACCTCTTGGAGGCAGAAGCACTTTATTGATTGATTTAAAGCATGTGTTTGAGAAGTTAAACAAATTCCCCACTTTATGTTTTTGAGTTTTAAGTTGATTTGGGTGAATGGGTGGCAACTATGTTAACTTGTGAACCTAGATGACTTCTGAACTGCACTTTTGCCCTGTTAGAAATAAGGAATGATGTTGGCAATGTTAGCTGATAAGTCTCTCTATCAGTCCGTCATATGGCTAGGTCCACGGGGGGGGGGGGCTCAAAAATTGCTACATTGCTTTGGCAATTTCAACTGATGTAATCTTCAACAAGCATAGGCCCATGAGGATTGGTGGAGTCCCCGGAGCCTAGATGTACAGGTTTTGTGGAGTAAAACCAGCATAGAAGATAAGATAAAACCTCTCACTTGAATCTGCCAGATCATCCAGAAAGATCATTGGCCAGATGTGGTGGCGTCACACGGATTTCCACAGTGTGTGAAATGATTAGTAGCCTGAAGGAAATTCCCAAGTCAGAGGAAAAAGATCTACTGGATGTGGTCCATAGGATGAATGCTTATATTTTCGGTGACCCCCAGACCTTTCTTCTAGCACCACCATCAGGCCAAATCCTTACACTTCATGTCTGCATAGCTATAATGGTGTACATGTACCTTACCCATAGTACAGTATACCCAATGTTGTATGAACAGAAATGCATGTACTGTCACTTGTCTGTTGGGCCTGGTCAGAACAGCACAAAACTTAATTCAGCTCAGGTGGAACAACTCAGCTGATGTCATTTTCAGTTTTGGAATCTTAGGGTCTCCGTTCTCTCAGATGTCAGCACAATTGGGACGGCTTGCTGTTGGTCCACAGCTCCATTCATACATTTACTCTGCCTCCATTGAATGTATCTATTTTGATGTCAAAATATTGCTATTGTAGTGCAAGCAGGCTCTATATCTGCTGGCAGAGCTTTAGCCTTTTACTTTGTTCTAGGAGCTCTAGGTTTCATGATATTAAATGGACGGTGCAGAGTTTTTGACCACTGATGGTGCTGTAGAGTAATGTTTGGAAGAGTGGTTGATAGTCCCTGTTCTACCAGTGAGCACATGAGCATACGGAGTGAGGAAGTCCAAGCGTGGGAACAACTGGTGAAAATATGACATAAAAGATAGCAATGTTCCAAGTAAACGGGAGAAGAAACAATTCAGACTTTGCAAATGATATAAGTTATTTGAGTTGATGTGAATCAGGATGCGTTCAGCATGTTTGTACAAGCTCTTTAAGATACACATGGTGCTTTATAGCAATGAAAACTCCACAGGGCACCATTGAACTCATGTCAGATGATCGCTTCTTCTTTTACACCTGAACTCTACACCCTGACATTTAACTCACCGACCACTTCTGCCATGGGGCAATGTTTGTGCAACTAAAAGTCAGATCTGTCTCAAATTCCCCTAGCTTTTATCTGAACTCGCGTGTTGCTGCAGTGATGTTGACATCTGAGCCAACGTCATTGGTTACTGTGTGCTGTGCAATAAAGCTGAAAGAGCAGCACTTCCCCTGACCCTGCTGCTTCTATGAATAGAACAGACCGTAAACTCCAAGACTCTTATAAATCACTGCTGTAACAGAGTTTGCCTCTCCAGCCAGAGGATGTTTGACCATTCTGACATTAACAAGGATTATGGTTGCAACATTGCTTGATTAGCAAACCTGCACGTCTGCACAGGTAGATTCCTTAATCACGTCTTTGTTTCCTGATAATGAATTTTCTCTTTGTGTATACCTGTATTCTCCAGTATCTAATGACATGCTCACATTGTCACGCGTATCTTCAAAACCAGGGCAGGCACTGATTGAATCCTCTGATAACACAGACAATAATGCAGCATATTTTCAGAGATCAATCTTCAGAGATGGCAGTGGCCCTGTTCACACCGGCATTAACATGCATGTGCCACATTGAAGGGCCGCCTGCTCAACTGACGTCCTCTCAGAAATGATTCTCGTGGGTGGAGTACACATGAAACACGCTATGCTTTAAAGCTAAGTGGTCCTTGAGATCCATGTGGAGACGCATTCTAATGCCAGGTATGAATTGGCGTACTTGGAGTTGTCTACTTGTGATTGGATCACAAAATACTCAATGCTGCGCCGGTTCTCGTCAAGGTATATTAACAGCCACTGTAGTCTATTTGGTGACTAATTTTAGCAGAGAAACAAAGAGAAAGTATCTAGTATTCCAGTACTTTAGAAGACTTTTCCAATCTACCCGGCAACCACTGGGTTTCATCCATTTCATATCAGTATGAAAAACAACTTGCTGAGACCTTAGACTTGATCAGCATCATTTTCATGTCAATGTCAGTTTATCAGTCATGATGAGTAGTACTTAGTCTGAGAGAATGACTCATGAGAACCATCCTAGGTAGAGGTCTTCAGTGGTGCACTCCTTCAGCCCTTCCTCGAAGTGCTACTCTGATAAACTGGCCTGGCTACAGCATTGGCCAGTATAGTTTTTCTGCTTGAGACCACTTATCAGTGTAATTCCATGATTATGGAGAGCGATTATCCAAGCATGAAGAGAAACACACACAAGCAGCTTGTATTAGCGGGTCTCCACCCTGCATCCCAAGGACAGAGAATCACTTCATCAGGATACACAAATTCAATAACAAGATAAAATTAAGCCAAAAGCCAAATTATTAGGTACAGTTGAAACTTTTCCGTGACTGATCACTATAATTGGATGGTTATTTTAATTTTAACTGAATTTTATTCTTTTTCTTTCTTTCTCATGCAGGTTACCATCTAACTGACGTGTGTGTGTTTGTGTGTGTGTGTGTGTGTGTGTGTGTGTGTGTTTGTGTATATATGTATATAGAAAGCTATTACTGTACAAATTGCACTGCACTGTGTATAATTCAAATACAGTACTATATATAAAATACTTGCTGTAGTTCAACTTATAATCAGGCTATAGCCTAAAACAGTATTGTGCTGTTGACAGATACAGTAACGTCAGTACTGCTAACAGCCTGCACAGCGCAACTGGTTTCACTGCATTGCTCCATTCATTTTTAACCCCCTGAAAATGAACTGCAGGCTATCAACCAAAACAAACATATTAATGAAATATTCCAATTTTTTTCCATACGTTGTCATGCAAGCCTCAAAGTGAACGCTGTAAGCAGACTGCTTGATTACTGGAGGCAAATGATTTAAACAGCATTTGTATAGGAATGATTATGTCCCAAGCTTTTTGATCCAAATTCACGGTTTCCACTGTAACACCTAACTCATTTACTTCTACAGGGTCAGGTAAGTTATCCACTTGTAACTGGGGAAGGCTGTGCAGATACAGTCCTGACTGGAAAACCAAATACAAAGAACAAAAAAAGAAAAACCATAAGCTGCGCCAAATCCCACATGTAATGTTATAATGTGAGCTTGTCCTCCTTTCATTGACTTAATGTGTAATAAGCTGGGCAATGTGTCATCTATACACACTGCTGTGATTTAGTTCTGGCTAAAATGCAGTTCACAATGATGCATCTAATTACAGTGGAAGCAAATTAGTAATGTTCTCTTGCAATATTAATCCAGTCTGAATGGGTCTTTTGACCACAATAAAAATATAAATGATGTTCGAGTCTCTACAAGTTGATTTTCAGACTGCATAGAAATGAATGGAAGCAAATGGCCACCTGGAAGGCAGAAAAACACGTTCAGTAATCCAAAGCACTGTGTTTGGACACGGGTAATCAGTTTACATGATTGGTAGTAAATGGGCTAACTGTTACACTGACATGGTCCTCTAGGTAATAGGGATGGGTATTGAATCACGAGGTTACAGCCATGCTAGTGGCTCTGCGAGACTATACTTACTTCAGCAATGCATTCATATAAGCTCGAACAGAACAAGTTTGTATGACATGTTGTCTAACCTTTTTGTAAACCAGAGGTTTCACTCTGAGAGGTGGAGTGAAAAACTGACCATCCAGTTGCAGTAGTTGTTAAGTAGCAAAGAAAGAGTCATCCTACCAGTAAAAAAAGGCACAGTGACTGTCCATGAAGAATGACGCCACGTGCAGTTCGCTATTTATGCAGCTTTGCATTGAAAAACAGATGGGCAAGTACAAACATAAAATTTCCAGAAAAGTTGGGATATTTTCCAAAATGCAAAAAAACCCAATAATCTCTGATTTGTTATTTCACATGAACCTTTTATTTAACCAGAGTAATTGTATTTTGTTAATATAAACAAAGGTTGTTCTTCTGTTACATCACCTTTCCTTTCAGTAACACTTTCTAATTGTTTGGGAACTGAAGATATTAATTGTGCCACGCTATTGTTGCCCGTGCAGAATGACATTGTCCTGCTTATTTAAGCATGGATTTCCCGGGAAGAGATGACACCTTGATGGCAACATATATGTCTCAAATCACCCAAAATATGCCTTTCTGTCAATGGTACCTTCACACACATTGAAATGACACTCAAGTGCTCAAAAGTGACGCACTGAACAGTGGTTCCGACCTTGCCCTTTACGCACTGAGATGTCTCCAAATTCCCTGAAACTTTTCACAATATTATGAACTGCTGGTTTTGAAAGGCTGAAATTCTCTGCAATCCTGCGTTGAGAAACGTTCCCTTTGAACTGACAACTGACATGTTGTACCATTTTCTCACGAATGTTAGCACAAAGGGGTGAGCCCTGGCCCATCTTTACTTGCAAAGACTGAGCCTTTGGTGGCTACTTTTATATCCAATCATGACACCTCACTGTTACCAGTTAGCCTGCTTATTGTGGAGTCTTCCCAACAGGTGTTACTTGAATATTCTGTGCACTCTTCAATCTTATTTTAACTCTGTCCCAACTTTTGTTGAGTGTGTTGCAAGCATGACATTCTAACTTTGTCATGCCTGCAACAGTTAACATCTATCAATTAAAGTAATAGTTTAATAAACTAAAATAACGCCACTGTTTCTCTTGATCCTGTTAATATTAGCGTTCATTACGTGCCACATGCCTTTGGTGTGGTAGACCTGGGATCGATTCCCCACTGTGACGTCCACCATTGTGTCCCTGAGCAAGACACTTAACCCCTAGTTGCTCCAGAGGCGTGCGACCTCTGACATGTATAGCAATTTTAAGTCGCTTTAACTTTCCACGCTGGATACAAAATGGGTCTGTTATGTTTACAAAATACAATTACGCTGGTCAGTAAAACTATTGAAGATCTGTTCTTCACAGGTTCACATGAATGAACAAATCACTCATTTTGTTTTTATTGCATTTTGTAAAATATCCCAAGTTTTCTGGAAATGGGGTTTGTAGTTTGGATCAGATACAGTTTGATCTTAAATATGTACCTTTCTTTATAGTTTAATGAGTCAAAAATTTCTGTTTTTCAAATGAAGTAGCTCAATTCTTCTTGGCTGTTGTCGGAAATCAAATATTTGTTGTATTAAATGGACATGTGAGATGTTTCTAACATTTTAGTGATATTGTAAAAAACTTCTATCATCATCATTACAGGGGTGTACTCAAGTTTGTTATACGCTGTAGGTTGTAAGGATTAACCTGACAAATCCATACAATTTCACAGCTGACATTGACTTTCATTTTGGTTTTTATGAAATCGCAAATAACTGCCAACAAATTCCATGTGCGGACCCAAACCAACAACGTGTTAGTGCGTCTCTCAATACTTTCTGACTTCCCTTCTCTGTCTTACTGCTCATGCCATTTGTTTTGGTGTACACAGACTAACCTCAGCACTCTGTGTGACTTGGCCTCCTTATCAGTGTCATGCTAATGTGGAGCGCCGTCCTCTGCAGCTGGTATCTGTGACAGTGACATGTTGTACATGTGGTGTCAGCACCTTGAAGCCTCCCTCTGTACTGCAGTCATTCATGTTTTCTACCTTGCTGCTGGCAATACTTGGGTGTTTCTCGTGTGCTTATTAGGCCGGAGGGATTGTTTTCAGTGTTCAGTGTGTGGGTGTGCTGCTTTTGGAACATGTGTAATGTGAGTTTCCATGGTGAGGTAAGCCCCACTTATCTTCCTCCTCCTCTCAGCTGGAGTTTCTGTGTTTGGAGCATTCTTGCGCTCTGAGTTCAGCGAGGAGAATCTTCAGTTCTATCTGGCCTGCGAGCAGTACAGACACTCGTCCAACAACTTCAGCCTGCAGAGGAGGGCCAAGGACATCTGTGCCACCTATATCCAACCAGGTGCCCCCCGCGAGGTACACGCCTGTTTTTATATTCAATCTAGCTGCACTAAAAGCTAATCTATGCAACCTTTGTTCATGAAACAGGGGGTGTAATTCAAGTCCATCCAAATGCCCACACATTTCCTTCTTCACCTCAGTGTACTTTCAGTTGTTTTATTACAGAAAGAATGTGTCTCCCTACAAACAATGTGATGTGTGTTTTGCACGCTGCTTGTGTTTTCAGAAATGTGTGTGGGATGTTCCAGTTTATTGTCACAGCGTTCCATCAGTAGCTGCCTTTATGCAAAGCCTTTCTTCCACTAACAGCAAGATGTCAAGCAGAATAAAAATATTTTGTGCAAACACCTCAATTAATGTTAATGTTAAATAAAACCTATATTTAAGCAGGAGAGTTTTGTTTGGATTAAAAATCTTTTTCCAGTGTCTTGGCCAAGAGAGGCAGCGAAAACTAACAACATGTAATGGATAACACAAAAGTATGATCAATAAGATCTGTAGCAGATAATTAGATTTCAATGGTTTTAAGCAACTTGCTTAACAGCTGTGGCCACACCTGACAATTGCAGGATAATGGTACACTGAATTTCCAAGACTTCTTGAGTTGCTTTAAAGCCCCTGGAAAAAAAATCTCAAGTATTTAATTTGATTGATTTGATTGACAGTGACCAAACAACCCCCCAACTGTCTTCAGATTCTGATTTAAATGTTGCTAAATTCTGGTGATTGCTATGTGACATCACCAGATTTCCAGTTGAGCCCCTGTGAGGATCATGTAGGATCCCAGTGCTAATAGAGCGCTCACTTCTGCTTCCGGCCCATGGGACCTTATTTCGGAAAAAATATGTACGGTACTTAAACAACAACTTATTTTTTGATCCTGTTTGAACTGTGCCCTGAATTACACATATGGTGTTGGTCATTTTAAAAGATAATTTTGTAACAACTCTCAGTCCTTTTATCACATCATCTACACACGGAAGTTCTATGACGTTGGCTTCAGTAACATTAGTTTCAGTCATTGAGAGAAAAAGTTACGACCCCACAAACGCGACTTTTGGGTTTGGGGTTCTTCCTAATTATGTATTTTCACAGTCTTATACCTCAACAGTATTACATCAAACTGTGACTTTCTTGACTTTTGAACGTACATTTTAAATTGACTATCATTTGTGTAATTCAGAGCACAATTCAAAGGGGATCAGAAACTAGCTGTCTCTTGCCATTTTTTGCTGAAGTAAGGTCACATGATGATCCACCGGAAGGGGAGGGACTTAGGCTCTCTATAGTAAAAGGCTGATGGAGAAAATAAATAAGGTTTTAGGGCCTTAAAGAAGTCATTGAACGGTTCTAAACATTAGAAACATTATGTAACAGTAGCACAAAGGCAGCAAACTGACTCAGTAAGGTCTGTCTGGAATACCTAAGTTTGCGAACATTAGCCATCATAAATAACTGGTCACACCAGACCAAGGCTGTAGCAGCAGAACCCGAGTGTCCTGAAGTGAGCACAGGTGTGTTTTTATTTATGAGGGTAAATTGTAATAGCTTTCATTACAATTTATGACTCTATGTGCTTTGTTCTCCTTTTGTTCATGTCATAGGCCCACATCCTCAGTTTGATAACCAGCCCCCGCTTCTTTAGCGATGAGTTTGACCTCACATTCTTATCAATCTTATTAGTTTTCCTCTTTCACCATTAAAGTATTTGGATCTCAGAAACTAAACATGGTAGATGCCCCTAGCATCTTTAGCAAGCTTTGTGCTTCTCTCAACCAGTAAGTAGGGAAAGTCTGGGCATTATCTTATCTACATCATATTTGTTACTTCCTATGTTATGTGAAATGACATTTTATATTTCTAAAAGTAAGTAATTGATAAAAACTCAGCACAAGTATGTACACATGTATTCTTCAATTCCAACCAAATCTGATGGAGGACAAACCTACCCCATCAAGTTTTCTCCTTAATCCATCTTTTCTTCACTGTTTGTCCGGTCTTCACCTGATCTGACCCATTTGGACTTACCCAAATGAAACATTTCTGGTAGATTTGAGAGTTCCCCAACCACCCTGAAGAAATGCATTGCCATATTGTATTCTTTTGCCTTTTTCTTTCTCACAAAAACATTTCACTTCAATTCTAAAATGGTATCTATATGTAACTGCACGGAGTGTTCGGAGACTCTGGACTTCATTAAGTCATTTATTTATTATTTTAATTAAACTTGAGCAACATTAAAGGATAACTCTCTTTCATTACAGCTTGGTTCTTGTTTTTACGGAGTCGCCCACCAAATGCAGTATAAAATATGCAATACTGTATCATAATACCACTCAGCCTTCTTCTACCAATCAGAAGGAATACAAAAACATTACGTGACAATGCAAAATTGATTAGGAGGTAAGACAAAGTAGTTGCAAAAAAAACAGGGGAGCCTCAGGGGTCTGTATGTTTTCATTCACAGACAGGTTGGAAACAAGTGAACAGTTAAGATGATGGCTAAAGCTACAAACGCAGTGGTTAAGGTGTAATACACAGGAACTGATCTTAAAGTGAGTGTGTTGTTTTATCACAGGTGAACCTGGACAGCAAGACCAGGGACCTGACGGTCCAGCTCCTGCAGGCCCCGTCTCACACCTCTCTGTCCCATGCACAGAAACGCATCTACTCGCTCCTGGACACAGACTGTTATCCCCGCTTCCTCCAGTCCAGCGTCTACCTCTCCTTACTCCAGGATGCTGACTAGAAGCATGTGTTGCTGCTGCACCTGGACTCTGGAGGAGCAACAGTGGCTCGATGCTTTCCAGGACTTCCTAAACATTGTAGACCACAGAGCTAAAAAGATAAAGCTACTGTGAATGAAATTTGTGTAAAAATATATGTATGGAGCAAATGTTGATGTCCATTGACAGTCTGTGTGTAGGAATGTAAATCACTTATATTAAGAGTTAAACCTTTGGGAAATACACTTTGCGTTCTTTCAGTGAGTTGTTCAGATTAGTTTCAATATCTGTCATGTTATCTCATGTTATCCCTGCTTCCAGTCTTTATGCTAAGCTGAGCACATCCCAACTCCAGCTCTGTACTTACCAAACAGTCATGACACTGATATTGATCCTTTCATCCAACCTTTGAAAAGGCAAATAAGGTAATTTCCCAAAATGTTAAATTATTCCTGTATGTGCCTTCCCGATGGCTTTGCGCTGCAGCAGTAGCTACAGCTGGCCCAGCCGAGGCAGTTTTCTTTCCATCACTTTACATGGTACGTGAAACTATGTGGCTCTTGTTTTAATCATTAAACATCGTCCCTGTAAGCAGCTAATGTCCCATGGTCCAATAAGCTCAGACCGAGTTTCCTCTGCTGACAGAAAGGAAAAACAGGTTCAGCAAGAATGAGCTCTTTAAAAAGGTCAAAGTACTGTGTGAGGTAGAAGGTGGCAAACGGGTAAAATGACAGTCTGCCTTAATACTCTTCACACAAAGACCAACTGTATGCAGACAATAGCCTCAGCAAACACTTAGTAATTGAAATAGGTTGTTCATAATGAGTATACTGAGTAGCATTTCCTTGAATGTTGGCCCTTTTAAAAAATAAAAACACCCTCAGATACAGTAATGAATGTGTGTTCGGTTTGACAGTTGAGAAATACAATGCTGTTTTTCTATCTGATGCGTCTGTTGGTTCTTCAGTGGTCATGCAGAGATGGAGATCAGCATCAGCAGTAACTTTGGAGCTGCGTGTGTGTGTGTGTGTGTGTGGCTGTGTTGTCTGCTGTTGTTTCCTGGCTTGAACCAGTCCACTCATCTAAACTGACCATGTTTAGCTCTTATTGAATGGATAGTGTGTGCTGGTGTGGTTGATCATTCCTTTGTATTTTGTCAGACAAATGTATTCTGCACTATCCTCAATACATTGAAATGTGGTGGGTTGCAGCAACTGATTTTAAAGTATATAAAAGCTACATTTCCTTCACTCATTCGTCTGTTTTCTGACACTTATCTGAATTAATGTTGCAGCAGACCAAGCAAAGTAACACTGACACTCTGTTCCCAAGCTACTTCCTTCAGCTTCTTCTGGGGGACCCTAATGTTTTTCCAGACCAGGTAGTAATATTAATATTCATAATAATTAATTATTATCATTATGTATGTGCCAAAGTTCAATGGGAATAGTTTCCACAGATGACGTCACTTAACCTAAGTATGGAACGCAGATTTCATAAGCAGCTCAAAAACAAACTACTATTGGCATTAGTTTAGCCAGCCCTACCCACACACAGCTAATGCAGAGGACAGCTGCTGAAACCTGGAAGACTGACATGTATTCATACAGGTGAGGATGTTTTTCCGTTAGTCGCTGCCTCCTGTAGCAAGAACAATCTGGGTCATTGCAAAGGACAGCTGACTGAATTGCTTGAATAATTCTCAGGACAAAACAGTTGTTTCTGTAGTTTATTACTGACAGAAATGCAGTAGAAAACATCTCTGTATGCAGTGTACAGTGCTTCTGCCTGACCATGTAAAGGAAGACTTCTTCACAGCCTGAAGGAACTTAAGCTTAAATGTTCCTCACAACTTGTGCATGTCTTGCTTTTTCTTGTTTCCGTCTACAAAATGCCCGATCCAGGTGGTTCCACTCAACAGCCAAACGGTCACTTTGTTCTTTTCAGCAATTCTGTTGTAACCCACCACTCCATCAGATGGACGCTAGTGACCACAGAATATTGACTTCCACACTGATTCAAGCACATTATTTTGCATTATATAAGAAAATTCCCAGCTTCTATGAATCCTAGTGTCTCCTCCTTTGGTTCAGAGTGTTTGGACTAGACACAACAATGCTGTTTAGCACCAAATGCCTGAAAATCCTAGAACTGTACAACATATTCCAGGAATGACTCCAAAAGGGATTACGAGTATAAAGCAGATGATGACATCTGAGAAGCCTGCTTGGAAAGTCAAGGTTAAAGGTCAGTTAACACAGCAATCAAAAAAAATATTTTCTCACTTAGCCACGTGGTGCCTCCACCCCAATATGCTGGATGTGAAGTGAATGGAAATTCTCCACCCAGTCCACAGCTTTCATTGTGCTGTTTTGGGAACAAAGTTCCATGGCTATGTGCCTCTAGGGTTATGTCACTGTTACTAACTGGTGCAAACACCAAGTGTGATGACTCAAGCTACTTAAAGAAACCCACAACTTTTGTTTACAAGCCTAGTTTCACTTATAAATGGCCGGTAAACCAGCCATTTACAAACTAATGTTGCAAACATTCCTGCTCTGGTTAAAGGTCTCAGTATGCTTCAAACGAACCATGTGACAAAGGTGAGGTGAAAAGCCTGCTGTCATAGCCTCCTTCAGGCAGCATCCCACTGATCTCTCTCCAACAACTGTGTCTTCTGTGTGTCTTTGTGGTCTCAGCACCATCAAGTCATACAGATGGGGACAGTCATCTGTGGAGCGATGGCGGAAAATTAGTCAAGCACAGCAAGGTTGAGTAAGCCTTGCATCCTTTTCTTGTTGTTAGCAATGAAGGCCTTCGCATATGTTGTGGCCTGCTAATACACAGAGGAAACAGCCACTCCCTGATCCCACGTTTAGAATGACAGTTTGACAAGCACTCACTTCAAAGCATGAAACACATTTAATATATGTTGCAGTTTCAGATTAGCAGCCACTGCACATTATTCTGATCCCAAATGCTACAATGAAGTGTTCTGGATTCACTGCAGCTCGAATGTATTCATCTGACTGGCTTCATCTTACAAAATGATTGGATGCAGCCTTCCAATTCTGCTTCTGGAAGGGGGGTTTCAGACGCTGTTACACAATCTGACAAGCACTTTGTCTGAAGCATACTGAAACCTTTAGCCTAAGCAGCAACCCAAAATACTGTACTGAGTTACCATTTCCCACTTGCTGCTTTAACACAGCTTTAGAACAACATTTTCAAAGGGTTTGGATGTTGGCATCCATGTTTGGCTCCTAGCACCAGTTTGGTTAGCCAGTTAAGATGACCTGGTGTACAGTTAACTGAGTTTGGACCCTGAAGTGAAGTTTGAAAGCTAGAGGTCTCGGCACTTGACCAAGAATTCATTGCATCAATGATTCTGAAGGTCCTGAATATCACACAGAACTTCTGCTTCAGCACCTATTTGTCTGAAAGCAGTGAATTGTTCTAGAATTCAGCACCAAATTACATTTTTTGCAGCAACATTTTAATAATGTCTGAATGATGGTAATCATCACAGAACCGATCACCAGGGCCGGGTGCTCCTGTATTCCTGCTTCTGCTTCACCCACTGGGAGGTGTAGCAGTTCTCTCCAACAGTCCACGACCAGCCTTGTCTGCTTCTGTCACTCTCCTTCTCCAACCGATGTCTCTGGTGGACCAGCATGTCTCCTGCCGGACGCTGCGGACGGTCCAACACACTGATCTCCTGTTCAGAACCACAGGCTTCAGCATCTGTATCCAGGTGTGTTTCTCTGCTGTCTAAGGAGGTCTGGCTGCAGATGCCATCCTTCCTGGATGCAGACAGAGGTGGAAGTGAAGGCTGGGACCTGGGTGAAGGGGCACGACAGTACAGGGTCAGTGGAAGGAGGGGTAAGGATGAAGGCAGGGGGCAAATATGCAGAGAAAAAAATGACATGATATGCCATGATAATGGCATAATAACCCTATGTGCAGAGATATGCAACTGAAACGCACTGCAACTCAACACTTTGACCGCTGCCTAAACGACTACATCGGTAAATTGTCAGCGCCTTTCAAAAGGACTCTCATATAAAAATGATTTAAAGTCAAGCTGAAATAATGTTTACAGTATGTATTAAGAATTCAAATGTGTTATTAATAGTTAATTACTATAAGGAAGAACAAAAACTCTTTGGGTAAATATCAGAGACACAGCCCAGGCAGAGGTACTGAAGAGTACGGACCACACCGGCACTGTTTACATGCGGTAAATGTTTGTCTGGTCACTCGTTCAACAAGCCATGTTGCACGACAAGACGTTTGTTCATGTTTGTAAGTTAGAAAAGATTAGGGACCAATGTTGACATTCAACTATCCCGCCGTCCTCTTCTCTGCTGGGCACCAGTTTACACAATGTTTTAGTCTTTTCAGATGGTCTCTGTGATGGACTAGGTGATCATAGAGTCATACATTCTCACCAGGAGACACTACAAGTTGGACCCTGACCAATCATAGCTCCCTTTCACCACTTGTGTGGTACCAGGGTACCAGGGATTTACCTTGCTGTTCCACCTGACAGCAACGACAATGAATGTTTCCATACTTAGGGTTTTCTGAATGAAATTGAAGCTGAAACCATTCATGGTCGCTGGGTGGCGAACTGGTATGTTGGAAAGACTGTGTGAAGGGCAACAAGACCCGAGGGAAAATGAAATCAAACATCCCTCCTATTTGACTTCTCCATGTTAACAGCGAGAGTACTCTGAGCTTCTGAGCAACGTCACGGAGCAGACATGGTCAAACTCAGGGAGAGAAGGCACGCTAGTCTTTTGGTGGGATGTTGTGAAGGATCCCTGC